ACCCAGTTTAGTTCATAGAGAAAAATTAAGTTTTATAGATAGTTCACTGAAACAGAGTTTAATGTTCATGACTGTCTAAAACAGATTGTATTAAAACACAATTTTCATCCTAAAATTGCCCTCGTTTTCTTTCTCTTTTTCAGATTTTACTTATTTTTAGACAGAACGGGGAGAGAGAGAGGCAGAGAAATATCAGTGTGTGGTTGCCTCTCATGCGCCCCCTACTGGGGACCTGGCCTACAACCCAGGCATGTGCCCTGACTGGGAATCGAACCCATGACCCTTGGTTTCTCAGGCCAGCACTCAGTCTACTGAGCTATACCAGGTAGGGCTATTCTCACAGGGCCAAATCAAGACCAATTCATTAACTGTGTTACATCCAGTTTCAATTTGGCCTTATTCTTTCCATGAACACAACAGGAATAGCCATTGGTCGTACGGGCTCTCTTAAATCTGCTTTGCTGGAGTGTTACCAGGAATAGTCAGACTAAACTCTAATTAGCCCCACGGGGCAGAGACGCCAAGCTACCCCCTGCAACACCAGCAGGTCCCACAAAATGTCTTGAGGTTCTTCTTGCCGTCTCCCGGGAAGGAGCCTCCGCTCCTCGTTGGGGAGGCCGCCGTGAGCCACGAGAGTGAGCCACGTGCCGCCGTGAGCCACGAGAGTGAGCCACGTGCCGGCCGTGAGCCACGAGAGTGAGCCACGTGCCGCCGTGAGCCACGAGAGTGAGCCACGTGCCGGGAGACTTCCCCGAGGGGCTTCTGTAGACTTGGAAGCCAAACTTCACTCCTCGAAGCTGCCCGTGACATTCAGAGCCTAGGCAGGTGGACATTCCAGTCAAAGTCTTGACTAATAAATCCTCCATTGGGGACTGGAACAAATCACATGTGTGGAATTTATACAAAGAAACATATTGCCATGAAAATAATAATACTCAGTAAGATTTTCCAAATTCTGGAGGGATCGAGTAGGGAGAAAAATATAAATGCTTCAATATCGCCAAAATGTACCAACTCTCTCTAAGAAAAGAAACAAGTTTTGCTTTAAAAATCAGTGATATTTTGAACGAAGTTAAAAGAACAATAGTCATCCTAGTTCATTCAGGCCACAGTCCATTACTGCTGACCCTGATCCCCCACCACTGCCTCCGTCATTTCCCAGGGCTCTAAGAATCCCCGTCTATTTCAAAGGTAAGATCTGAAAACTGATTCAGAGAAACATATTTTAGAATAAGTCGGAGTCCCTTCCATGGCTCTTTGTGAAGATGCAGTGTTTTTGCAAATGCGACCGAGCGGCCCAGAGACAGACTCTGAATGAGAACATGGCTCCAGGTCGAATTACATGGACAAAAGAATTCCAGTTGCTTTTGCAACGCTTTAAGATAACACTCGGAATTACAGACGCAAGTACATCAGACCGAAGAAATCCATTCATTTGTCCCCCACCTGTGGTTTCTTTTGGAAAATAACACTTGGTTTTGGGAAATCAAAGGGAACTTTTGGCCTTTTCATTTGTCATTAAAATGATCATTGCTTCTCCATTCATCTACGTGCCTTTCGCTTTCCCTCCTATTCATTCTTCCCTCCATTTCCATTTCCCTGACTGAGTCCCCCTCCGGGGTCTTTTCTTCGGGGTGTCCCTTGTTTTCGATCCACTCCCACCCCCTCAGCCATTCTGTTTGCTCCTTCCCGCTGCTCCGTCTTTCTGTGACCCACACGGACCTGTGCGGGTTTTATAACCCCTTTTAGTTTGCCCTTCTAACTCATCTCCAAATAAGCAAACTTGGAATAACCCACTTTCAACTTTCTTTTCTTCAAAATATATTGCCATAATTTACACCTTCTATTACCAAAACCATGTATTCTTTCCCAACTTAATTAGAATTTTCAATTTCTAGTGACAGCTAAATTAAGGAATTAGCATTCTTTAAACTGGTGAATTTGTGAATACATTTTATAACTTTCAGAAACAGGTTTTTTTTTTTTTACACTGGCAAATATGCTTAAAATTTTTTCCCGATGATCACCGCATCCTTTAGTGTGCTCAAGATTAAGGGGTTTCACTGTCTAGTGCCCTTAACAACCGTAAGGAGGCTGAAAACCGGGGTTGACTCTGACGGGGCAGTGCTTGCGCCGCCGAATTTAAAATGCCTATTCCTTGCCATTTCCTTTTCTGAGCTGCACTGTCTGAGAGGGGAGTGAGACCTTTTTTCTCTAAACATCAGTTTTAACCCTGGGTAGAACCCTTGGGATGGGACATGAAAACCTCGCCATCCGAGACTTTATCCCACTCACTGGACCTTTGGCAAAACGACTCCAGACTGGGACCAAGACGCTCTCCTCCAAAGAGAAACAGAGCCATAACCAAAGCCACGACAGTTTAAACAGACGCGTGCTCTCTGACTAAATCCTCAGAGATCAAACCAAGTCTCCGGAAGATAAGAAAGCAAACAAGACACTGGAACCAAGGCTCCTTTCAGACGGAGGAGAGAAACAGGCCTCTGCCCCTCCCCACGCGACCCCAGCAGGCAAGGGCAAAGCGTGTGCAGCTGTGAAAGCAAACGATCGCTAAACCAAAACCAAAACCAAAAGCACACTCCCACCAAATCCCACTCTGAGGAACCGGGATTTTTTTTTCCTTGGCCCTGTGCCTGTGGCTGAGAGGCACCTGTTGATTCCTACAGAATCCGAGACGGCGTGAAGGTCCCAAAGGGGGGGGCAGGGGCTCGAGGCCGTGCGCAGCAGGGTCTCACCCCGTCTGGGCCCGTCAGCCCGGCCGAGCCTCTTTCTGCCACCAGAAAGGGGAGGAAAGGCCGCCGGAGCCCAGAGAGGGAGGGTGGGGCGAGTCGCCGAGGCGACAACCTCCGGGCGGCTGTGGGGAAATCCCTGCCGCCCCTGCCAGGGGACCCTCTGCTCAGGGTCTCCGGGACTTACCAGGGTCCACACAGTCCCTGCTGGAGCAGCCAAAAACTATACCCAAGGGCAGGTACAAAAGCCAGTGCTTGAGAGGCAGGTGCCGATGTGAATAAAAGAAGCCTGTTTATTCGCAGGTGCTGGCCACCTGGATGATGGAGACTCGCGTCTCAGAGCCCATCTCCCCTCTCAGTGGAGGCAGAGGTTTCGATGAGGAGGGAGAGGGAACTCAACAAGGAGACCACGGGGGGGGGGTGTTGCCAAGTGCCCCACGTGCCGGTGAGCACAGCGAGCACAGTGAGCACAGTGAGCACGGCCCACCCCAACAAGGCAAGGGATGGTTCAGCGTGTGCCATCCCAGCTCCGTGGATGAAGGTCTGCAAATTTTGAGGAGCCGGGATGCCTGAAGGTCGGGGCCTGTGCTTCTGAAGTCAGTTCCCAGGACTCTCTCCAAACACGCCGCATCGACAAGCCACACGTGAGTCAGAGTCTTCCCTCACGGAGATGGCGCCACAGGAGTGGCGGGTGGGTCCAGGTCCCCACCATTAACATTTTCCACTGTTACAGCATCACTAATACCAGCAGGGGTTTTTCCCCCTGTTTTCCACTTATTGTCATGAAACGCTGAGAGCAAAATGCAATGAAATGACCCAAGAGCCTCACAAAGGCCTGGTGGGGCAGCCAGGACCACTCCACCCCCAGCCTGAGCAAGGGAGGGTGGTGCCCGGGTCAGGCCTGAAGCACAGGCTCTGCAGACTGCGGGCGGTCAGGAGGCTGGGGGCAGTGGGAAGATCTGGACACGGGCTGCACCGGCCTGGACCGGAGTCTCCTGGAAGCCTGAAGCTGAGAAAAGACGGCTAGGCAACGGCAGCCCTGGCAGGGTGCCCACCACAGGGCCTGCAGAGAAACCGAGGCAGAAGGACGCGGGCGGGAATAAGGATGAGGGTCTCGGGTGGGCCTGGGGAAATGCCCCTGACCCAGGCCGTGGGTCAGGCAGACCCTCAGCTGCCCCTCTGCAGCGGGCCTGGCAGCTGGGGGCGGGAACCTTCTCCCCAGGAGCAGGAGGGCCAGGCGAGCCCTTGGCCAGATCAGCCCCCGCTGCCCACTCCCCAGAGGGGCGGCCGTGAGAAGGGGAAGTCAGCCTTCGTGCTTCCTGTCACTGCCGACCGATCAGGTGGAGACGAGGACGGCACCTTCGTGGGCGCTCCACTCGGATGCTGGCGTCCGAGGGGGTTCGGTGCCCCAGCAGGACGTCTTGTTAGCTTGTCTCAAACTGACCCTTTCTGTGAGGAGAGGAAAGGGCAGGTAAGGGGCTCAGCACGCAGGGAGAAGGTGAATCGGAAAAGGGCGGTGGCCCACCAATTTTCCTAGCGCCCTTCCATCTGCCGACCGGCGAGCCTCTGTCTGTGTCCAGGGCGTCCAGGGTGACCTGGCTGTGAAGTCCCTCCCGGAACACGCTGCCTCAAACACCATCTTGATCGGAAGTCTCTGCTCCTCCTAGGGCACAAGGGCCAGATTGCTTTCGGGTCTCCTGGACCCAGGGTGGGTCATGCCGCAGTCCCTGGAATGGCAGCCTCTGCCTGTGTCAGTCACTCAGCGGGGCGGGGGCCTCGGGGGTCTGGCCGGGCACTTGCCTGGGCCCCCAGCAGCAGCGGAGCTGGTGGGTCTGAACACCGTGGCCGTCAGGGCTACACAGAGGAGGCCAAGTGGGCCGTGGGCCATGGGTCATGGGCCAAGTCCACCCTTCACTGCTGCTTGAGGGGGTGGGCCAGAGCCGGGGATAGGGGCCAACTTCCCATGGACAGGAGGATGGCTGGGGAGAGCAGGAAAGAGCCACCCCTCCCTCCTCTGGAAAGGAAAAGAGGCAGTCCCAAATAAAGAGGCAAACTTTTCCTTGGGATGGAGAGACGCCCACGGTGGGAGGAGCACATGCCGCCGCCGCCCTCTCCACTTCTGTCCCCTCTCTCCTCCACACCTTCTTCCCCCGCCCCCTCCCCTGTCACTCTTCCCCATCGCTCTCTCCACCCACCCACCTCGTTCCCCGCCCCAGTGGAGGAGGAGGAAGACAGAGCGGGGCCTGGGACGGTTTCCTTTCTGCTTGCACTTCTGCTACATCAGAGGAGAGGAGGAGGTCGCACCACTGGTGCTGGCTCGCTCGGGGCATGGGGATCCCGTGGACGCCCTGGCCGCTCCTCTGGGCAGTGCTGCAGCTGGGCTGGCGGCCTGGATGGCTTCTAGGTAGGTGGCCAGGACTGTGTGATGAGGGTCGGGGCTGGGACAACCTCAGGTCCTGGCAGGGGGACAGGGCTGTGGCAGGGCTCCTGGCAGGTGCCGTGTGGCTTTGAGCCGGGAAAGTGCTCTCTGGGCTCCCCCGGTGGTGAGGCTCCCGAGCAGGCAGCAGTGTCCCAACTCCTCCTCTGTGTCCAGTGGGCAGCAAGCCGGTGCCCTTCTCTGTAGGGTAACAGTGTTGGGCTGGCCAGAGCCCCAAACCTGGGCCCCGTTGCTCCAACTTGAGTTTTCCTGGGACGGACTGGCCTCACAGGGGGCTGACTGGTGCCTGAGGTGACAGGTTGGTTGGCCCCGACACTTACTCTCGTCACATCAAAAGTAACCGTGTGAATAAAGACCGTCCCCCGACCCCCTCGGGCACCTGGGGCACACATGCCTCAGGTCTCTGGAGGAGATGCCCAGGCGCAGACCCTGGGCACGACTCACAGAATCCACGGCAGGTTCTGGCAAAGTGGCCTGGCCCTGGACTGCTCTGCGTGAGCCGTCCGGGGAGACCTCAAGGCCGGCAGAGAAGCTCAAAGCTGGGGTCGGTTGTCCCAGGGCTGTGACCCAAAGGAGCCTGGTGGAAGGCCTTGGGGGGACCCAGACATAGGAGGACAGGGGTGTGTATCACCTGGGAGGAGGACCCAAGGTGTCCTGGGGAGCTGTGACCCGGTCCCCGCAGGGCCCCTTCCCCAAGCCGGGAGAGAGAGACAGAGATGCTACCCAGTCGGTCCCTCCAGTTTCAGGCGCATCAGCCTGTGTCTTGGCCAAGATTTTGAACCTCGGTGTGCCTCAGTTTCCCCCTGTGACCCGGGCTTCGGGGGTGGCCCTGCTGTCTCAGAGCACCTTGCTGCGTCTCGGGCATGCGGGCCCTCCTCCGCCTCTCCCCCCGGGCTCGGCTCTGGGCCTCAGGGGACTTTCTACTCCATGACATCTTCTTTCCTTGCTAATTCATTCCCTCCGTTTATTGATTTAGCCATTCCCATGGAAACCCCCTCCTGTGTACACGTTTTTCTTGCATTTCACGAAATATCCCACACCCAGCGGTGGGCCGCCCCCGCCCTCTGTTAGCAAGGGGAGTGGACGCGTGTCGGGAGCCGAGCTGAAGACCTCGGGCCAGATCGCCGGCCCGGCAGGGTCTTGGGTCAACTCGGCTTCCTTACGGAGACCGCCCGGCACAGCCTGTGGCACGCTTTTCAAGTCAGACCGTTTTATTAACTCTTCATCTTATAGTTTTGAAAAAGAATGAAGCCTATAGAATAGTCACAAAAGCAGCAGTGAGTGCCCTTCACCCAGAGTCACTGGCTGATACCGGCCCGTTTGCGGCGTGTCTCAGGGCGGTGGTGACCGACGCCGCAGACCGGGCAGCTCTGCCGCAGGGGGGCACAGTCTGCCAGGTCAGCATCGGGGAGCTGGGGTCCAGGTGTCAGCTGCTCTGCTTCGTCACAGGCCCGAGGCCTCTCGCACTCCCGGTGGTGCCCTCGGCCTTCTCCAACCTGGGCTAGAGACGCCTCACCCAGTCTCTGCCTCTGTCTTCACGTGGTCTGTCCTGTGTGTGTCTGTCCAGAGCCCCCCTTCTTCTACGGACACGGTCCTGTTTACAGGGCCACTCTCTGGACCCCATCGTGAACAGTCACAGGTGCGACCACCCATTCTCAAATGAGGCCTGACCAAAGTGCTGGGTCAGCACTCAGCGTGTGAGTCAGGCGCACATCCCGTCCTGGCGTGTGCCACCGAACTTGGGCTGCTCTGTGGGTGCGAAGCCAGGCCCTTGTCTCAGAGCCGAGGCTCCCGGCAGCCTGAGCTCAGATGCCCGCAGCCCAGCAGGGCCTGCAGGTGTGAAAGCCACGGTCCAGGGCAGGCACCGCCTCCCTGCCTTTGCAAGCCCTGGGGTTCTTTCTTTTAAAAAAATCCAAATCTCAATTTTACTTTACATATAGAAAACCTCAGGACTGGGAATAGTTTATTGCGGTAGAACTGCATTGCATTCATTTCAGGCGCACAATGTAACGATTCGATGTTTGTCTACAAGGGTAGTGATGGCCCTGGGTGACATAGTTTCAGGTTCATTTTCTTGTAATGGAAATTGTCAGGATTCACTCTCCTGGCTACTTGGAAATGTGCAGCGATCTCTCTCTGTGAGGGTCGGTCCCCAGACCCCCTGGCGCTCTGACAAAGTGTTTCTGTTGCACAGATTTGCTGCAGTCTAGTTCCTAAAAGTGTTTCCCTTTGTGGAGACATGAGTTAGCAATTTTGAACTACCTGTGTGTACCAAGATTGAACAAAGAAAATCACACACTGCTAACTCAGAGATTCAGGTTTCTGACTGTCAGAGCTAGAATGCACCCTGTAGCCTCAGGTTGGAATGGGACTAGAACTTGAACTCATGGCTTCAAGCCAGCTCTCCCAGCAGCCACACCTGCCGGGGCACTGTCGCTGCCCGGGCCTCTGAGGGTCACTGTGCTCTTCCTGTCCAGCCACACCAGACTGCCAGGAAATCTTTAAAATCCTCTCTTGCATCCCTTCCTTTTCTCGCCGCTGCCACCTGGAGCGCTCTTACTGACCCACACCCAGTACGAGATCATAGTTTCCTAACTAGTCTCAAGGTTTCCACAGGCAGAGAAGGCACCAGAGGTGGGCACACTGTGGTCAAGAAAGTGCACGGCCTCGCGGGAGGGCCAACCTGGACATGGGCCATGCGTTGGGTCTTCCATCCGGTGTCACAGATCCTCCGACGTTTAAGGAGAGAGGTCTGAGACCCACATTCTGATGTGACATCCTCTGTGTGTTACTGTGTTAATGAATTCGTGGCTGTTCCATTTTTTTCTTTTTTAAGTTCTATGTGAAGTAAAAGGAAAAAACTGTATCTGCAGGCCAGGTGTACCCACCACAACCATTTGCAAGTTCTGGACAAAAGTTTCTGAGAACAGATGACACTTAAATAAATAGCAACAGTCACCCCGTGGCATCCGGAGACGGTACCAAAATGCGGGGATGCTCCAGGCCCTCGTATCCCAAAACGACGTGGCACCTGCAGAGAGTGCCAGCAGGTGTGCCCACTCCCACTTGTTTCACGTGGATTCTGCAAATGCTCACATATGGCAAATTTACGTTTGGCATTTTGGAATTTTCTGGGATTTTTAAATTCTTCCAAGTATTTTGACCAGCGATGGGTCAAGTCCATGGACACAGAGGGTTCAGAATGACAGAGCGCAGCTGCCCTGCTGCCAGGACATCACCGGACTCACTCATCCTAGACCCGGAAGTTTCTGCCTTTGGACCCCTGCACCCCCCCCCACCTGTGACCGTCTGCTCTCTGTATCCGTGAGCTCCCTTTTTGTTTTGTTCTGTAATTTGTGTTTCCGATTCCACATGAAAGTGAGACTATGTGGTATTTCTCTTTCTCTGACTTATTTCACTTAGCATGATGCCCTCGAGGTCTGTCCAGACTGTCAAAAACAGTAAGACTTTGTTGTTTTTGGTTGCTGAGTAATGTTCCGTTGCGCAGATGCACACTTCTCTTTTATCCACTCACCTGCTGATGGGCACTTAGGTTACCTCCATACCTTGGCTGCTGTGAGTGAGGCGGCAGTGCATGTGCGCACTCGTCTTTTCTGTTAGTGTTTTTTCTTCAGATACACACCCAGACATGGAATTGCTGGATCCTATGGTAGTTCTATTTTTCACTTTTTTGAGGAAGCTGCATACTGTCTCCACAGCGGCTGCCCCAGTCCGCATTCCCACCAACGGTGCACAGGGTCCCCTTTCTCCACGTCTTCACCAGCGCTTGTTGCTTCTTGATTTACTGATGGTGGCCATTCTGGCAGGTGTGAGGTGGTATCTCGTGTGGTTTTAATTTGTATCTCTCTGATGCTGAGCGGCACTGAGCATCTTTTCATATATCTGTGGGCCCCTGTATGCCCTCCTTGGAAAAATGCCTATTCAGGTGCTTTGCCCATTTTGTAATCAGATTGTCTGTTTTTCTTTTGAGTTGTATGGGTTCTTTATATGTTTTGTACATTAACCCCTTTTCTCCCATTCCGTAGGCCCTTTTCACTCGGCTGACAGTTTCTTTGCTGGGCGGAAGTTGTGTAGTTTGCTGCAGTCCACTTGCCTGCTTTTGCTTTGTCCTCAGCCCTGGACTTCCAGAAGGGTCCCAGCCCATGCGCAGGTGCCCGCCACCTGGGCGTGCCTGGTGTTTGGTCATGGAAGATCACAGATGCGGGGGTCCTTCTTGGGGCACCCATCAGGGACCTCACAATGGGGTCATTCTCTCTGGGCTCCTTTGCCCCTTGTGATTAGTAAGAGACTCGGGGTGGGGGGGTGCATAGGGAGAGACCCACCTCCTTCAGTCCCGGTTCTGTGAGAAAGGTCACAAAGAGCCAACAGACAAGTGACTGAGTTGATCACAAATTAAGGTTGGGGTGGGGTAGATGAGATTTCAAATTGAAGAAAACAGGGTCCCCCTTCTACATGGTGGTGGGGGAAGGGACAAGGCTGTCAGCAGGGCCCACGCTGGGGCTCTGTTGAAGGGGACTGTTCAGGAAGGGGAGGGGCGTCGTGCACTGTGTGGCCCCCAGGGAAGCGTCTTGGGCAGCCCTGGCCACGAGAGGGGTTCTGCTTGGAGGCCCTGGCAGGTGGGACTTGGGCGGAGGCATGGATTTGGGGAAGAGGTGGGAGAGCGACCTGCGGTGGCGCCGTCCAGGACAGGTCTTCCTGGGGTGTTTGCGAGGAGGGCACCAGCGGGCACCCCACTGGTGGGCGGGACCACAGAGCCACTGCCCCGAGCCCTGTTGCTGCAGGGTCACCGCACGATGTTGCCAAGTCTGCAACTAGCGCAGACTGTCACTCACATGACACTTTCGTTGTGAGGGCTTGTGTGCTTCCAGAACGAATGTTCGAAGACGCTGGGGTCAGTGTCGCCGAGGGGCACCCAGAATTCTGGACATTTGGGCAAGTGGTCACAAGGGAGAGGAGGTCTGGCTGTGTACCAGCCCTGTCTGTGTCACCCCCAGAGGACTCCACCTGTCCCGGCCGACCCCGGTCCAGGCCTGGCTCCTCCAGGCCCCGTGGGCTCCATGACATCCACACCCTTCCCAGCCAGTGGGACGCACCCGCTGCACATGCCCAGGGCCATGCATGGGGGCTCGTGGCTCTGGCCCCCGTCCAGCTGGCACGTGATGGGTCCATAAGGAGGCACCTGCAGCCACAGGACTGGCCCTGTGCCAGCCTCGACTATGTGTCCATGGCCAGGAGAGGGGCCAGGGGAGGGGACATGGCTGGAGGTCCAGGCTGGCTGGGCCCCGGCCCCTCCAAGCCAGAGTCCTCAGTGTAAGCAGGGTGGGCGGTGGAGAGGGGCCTGTGTGTCCTCAGTGTAAGCAGGGTGGGCAGTGGAGAGGGGCCTGTGTGTCCTCAGTGTAAGCAGGGTGGGCGGTGGAGAGGGGCCTGTGTGTCCTCAGTGTAAGCAGGGTGGGCGGTGGAGAGGGGCCTGTGTATCCTCAGTGTAAGCAGCCACAGAAATGTAAGGACACTGGGAACACTGCTGGACCCACCTGATGTCACTGCCTCAGGGCCCACCTGCCCTCTCTAAATGTCTGTAATTTTGTCCTGTGTGAGGCCCTCAGTGGGGAGGGGCGGGAGGTACCTGGGTCACATGTGCCCTGACATGGCTCAGACTGAAGGGGCTCTGGGTCTCAGCCCCGTCCTGCTCTCCTCAGGGCCACCGTGTCGGGCAGCCACAGGGCAGGGCGGGGCAGCCGGCATGGGATGTCATCAAGTGTGGGAGCCGTGCCCAGCCAACATTCCACAGCGGTGCAAGCAGACGTGTGAACACGTGTGTGCATGTGTGTGAGGGAAGGAGACCGTAACAGCCTGTGCATGTGCTCCCGTGTCGGAGAGCCCTGCAGACGCCCCCAGACCCCCTGCACGTTCTTGTTTTGGGGAGCGTGGGCTCGAGCCCAGGGCATCGGGGCCTCTGTCCCCGTCCGTCTCAGGGGTTGTGGCCCAGATGGCCTCTGAACTCCAGTCCCACAGCCTCAGCAGAAGACACGCCGAGGTCAGCAGCGCCCACGTGCTGGTCCCCGCTCTGAGCTTGTCCCGAAATGCAGGCAAAGGCTGACTTCTGAGCCCACCGTGGCTGGGCTCTCCATGGGAGCCCCCACTGTGCCAGCCCAGTGCCCAGTTACCTGCCTCGCCCACCAGGGACCTGGGGCCCAGAACTGGGGACCTGGCGTCACTGAGGGGGTGAAGGCCCTACAACCACCTCTCGGGGGCCTAGTGCCCAACCCCGGGTCCCGGGCAATCAACAAACCAGATCCCATTGCGGGGTCGCCTGGTGGCGGGGCCAAGCACCCCCGTCCCCGAGGGTGGACGAGGAGGAGCCGCGAGACTCCGCAGCAGAGGCTCGGCACAGGGGACTCCCGTGTGGGTTGGGCTTTCCAGAATCTTCCTACCTGATGGGACGTGGGAAAGCGTCAGCAGGTCTTGGTGGGTGCCAGGGTCCAGCCTCGGCAGGTCTCAGGTCCCCAAAGGATGGATGGAGCAGGTGATGAATGAAGAGTCAGACACCTGACTGGATTGGATGCCAGAGAACAGCCAGCCTCTGTGGGTCTGACCGACCTCACAGAGTTTGATTTAGGCTTTATTTTTATAGAGATTGTTACATAACATTAGAGGAACAGGTGTGTGGCATGATCGGTTAAGCAGAAAAAATCAGTACAGAGGCAGCTAGGAAAAGTACGGGAAATTCCATAGATTCAGTTATGCTAAACAAAGGTTATTTTGACCAAGAGAGTCATTAATCAGGCAATTAGAAATAGCTGTATGTACAGAGTTTTAAATGTCTTGTTGATGAACAGATGTTTATTAAGGTTCTTAGAATTTGGCATGGGTCAGAGGATAGGCTAGACTGAACAGTGGTTATAGGAAATTTATTACAAGGCCTTTGTGGTGCCTAACTTAGCTATCTGTCTTTCTGTCTAGAATGTTTCTTTATGCACTGTGGACTCTAACTCCTTGGTAATTGTTTCTACCTGCTCAGTTTGTAATAGTTAACCAGCTTCCCCTGCTTCTTTACCTGTCTAGTTCTATTAATATATACTCCTGTCCAAGGTAGAGGAGGGGCTGTTACTCCATCAACTTTTAGACGTTCAGGGGTTACCTCATCGGGGGGGGACTTTTGTTCTATGGCCAAGAAATCATTTTGTACAACCTCATTGGAATTCTGCGGGTCATCGGACCTGAAATGCAGGTGTCCAAAAATCCCCCCACCGATTAATCCCAAAGACAAACATGCAGGAGAGACAGACAGGAAATCCAGCCACAGCTGCCTCTGCTGTGCAGACGCATCTCATCCGCACCGACTGTGTCAAGGGACGGCTGCTGGTCGGCTCCTGACGGGTGGGCTGCCCTGCGCCCCTTCCTCAGGGCCCTCTGGCTCTCTCTCCCTGTCCCAGAAACGCCCGCCAGGCCCTGGAGCCCCCTGGCCTTCAGCCCGCCCCAGCTCACCGTGGCCGAAGGGGAGACCGCCACCTTCACCTGCAGCTTCTCCAACACGTCTGAGCACTTTGTGCTCAACTGGTACCGCGTGAGCCCCAGCAACCAGACGGTCAAGCTGGCCGCCTTCCCCAAGGACAGCGGCCAGGTCCACCCGGACCCACGCTTCCGAGTGACCTGGCTGCGCAGTGGGCAGGACTTCGAAATGAGTGTCCTCTCCGCACAGCGCAATGACAGTGGCACCTACCTCTGTGGCGTCATCTACCTGCCCCCGGAGACGCAGATCTACGAGAGCCCCCACGCAGAGCTCCTGGTGACAGGTGCAGTGGCGAGGCCGAGGGCGGGCGGGGCGGGGCCTCGCCAAGTTCCACCCCCCGGACTTGGTCCCACACCCAGGGCCACGATGACCAATGGCTAAGGCCTCCTGTGCTTGGAAGCACCCCAGACCCACTTCTCCCGCGGGAGGGGCAGGGGCAGAGTCTCTCGGGGTCTTGCAGGCCTGGGTGAGGCTGTCGTGCAGGGCGGGACCCTGGGCCCCTGCTTTGTGTCCCCACCGCCGAGCCTCTGCTCTCTGTGTCTCCAGAGAGAACCCGAGAACCACCCACTGAGACCCCCAGCCCCCCAGCCAGGCCTGCGGGAAAGCTACAGGGCCTGGTCATCGGGGTCACCAGCGTCCTGGTGAGCATCCTGCTGCTGCTGCTGCTGACCTGGGTCCTGACCGCCACCTTCCCCAGGGCCACGAGAGGTAACGCCCCAGCCCGGTGGAGCCCAGGGCGCTGCCCGCGGCCTCGGCCACCAGCCCCTCCCCCACAGCCCTCCACTGTGAACGCCCCCAGGGAGCAGGTGGACTGGCCCTGCCGGGGCCTGGGGTCCCCTTGGAGACCCCAGCCATGGTCCCTCCCCACAGCCCTTGCTCAGGGGGACTCTTCAGGGCCACACAAGAAGGCAGAGTCCCCTGGGCTGAGCCTCCCCCAAACCTCAGCTGCGCCTCAGGCCGCAGAACACGGTGACGGTGCTTCTAACAGCTACTGGGCCCAGTGGTGACAGCCACAGCCACCTCTGATCACCAGGAGGAAGGCTGTGGGTGCCCAGCCCTCCCACAAACATTGACCGTGTGGTCCCGGGCAGCCGGTCCCCTCTGAGTCACTCTGACGATGGGGGGACATCCCTGGGGCTGAAGAGAGGGACACTGCCCATAGGGGCCCAGTCAGGGTGCGGTCGGCCCCTCCGAAGAGGTGCTGGTCAAGCTCTCCCGGACGGGCGCCCGGGGGTCATGTAACCAACGGCAGGAGGAGGCCCCACAGTGACCCAGACAAAGGAAGTCACAGGCCTCAGCAGCCCCCCCTGAGCAGTTGGGGAAGCCCCCGCACTGACCTGCCCGGCCACGCCCTCCGAGGCTCACTCCTCCGGGGACCACGCTTTCCTCCCACAGAGACTTTGAGATGTTTCGTGTGCCCCGGGTGCTGGTCACGGTGGAGTCTCACGTGGCGTTCCTGTGTGGCATCCGTCCCGGAGACGCTGCCCCAGCGTCACTGATTGTGTGTCTGCTGTGTGCCCTGTGGCGCCAGCTGGCGGCCTGGGGTGGTCTGTCCCCGACCGCAGGCACCAGGATCAGCAGGCTGGTGACTAGAGGCAGTGGGGCAGGAGGCAGGGGCTACGCGCCCAGACGGCCCTGCTCCAGAGAGGAGCCTGGCAGAGGATCAGGGCCTCAGGGGGGGTAACGGAGAACGGGGGCAAGCAGGGCGTGTGCTCGGGGCCCTCCCATGGCCACAGGCTCCCCAGGCCCCCCGCACGACTCCCCTGTGAGACCCCCGCCGGGCCTCAGGGGCTCCCCTGTGTTTCTCTGTAGGGCCCTGTGCCTGCTGCCGCGAGGACCCGCCGCTGGTGAGTCTCCCTCCTCTGCCGGCCGTGGCGCTGGGGACAGTACAGGGAAGGGTGAGGGGACAAGAAGCTCTGCCCCACGGGTGAGTGGCCTCAGGAGCAGCCACACCCATCCACAACCACGTGCTTTCTTTGTGCGTGGGGGCCGGGGCCCAGGACCAGTCGGGCCTGTGTGGGGAGGGCGTGCGTCTGTGCGCGCACCGGCCGCTCAGACAGTGCTGACCCCTCTCTCCCTCCCTCCTAAGAAGGAAGGTGTCTCCCCGGCGCCTGTGTTCTCCGTGGACTATGAGGAGCTGGACTTCCAGTGGCAGGAGAAGACCCCGGAACCCTTTGCTCCCTCTGTCCCCCAAGAGACGGAGTACGCCACCATTGTCTTCCCTGGCAGACCAGGCTCCCCCACCCGCAGGGCTTCAGCTGACAGCCCGCAGGGGCCCTGGCCTCTGAGACTCGAGGACGGACGCTGCTCCTGGCCCCTCTGATGGGCCCCCACCGGCCCATGGCCTTCAGACCCAGTGACGGAGAGTGGAGTGACCCCCCCCACCCTGGAGGAGCACACAGCTGTGGGGGCCACCCGTGGACACGGGGCCGTGCACCGTGCCAGCCTTGCCCCGCTCTCCTCTTAGTCCCCAGGGACCCGGGCGAGGACAGAAGCCGCCCCAGGGCTCCCGGCATAGACCCCACTCAGCTGGCCTGGTCACTGTCCTGACTGCTGCTCTGTGCCTCCTACGCTCCTGGGGCTTCAGGAGTCGTGGCGACCCTGCTGCTCCTCAGGGGAGCCTGGTGCCTGGACATGGAGAGCCGGGTCCTGGTTGGAGACTCTGCCTTGGGGCGGCAGGTGAGGTGCCCCCACAGCAAGGAGACCCAGCCCACAGCTCAAGGGGCCCACGGGGCTGTGCAAGAACCTGGCACTTCCCGGGCCTGGACAAGAGCGCTCCTGGCCACAGTGCTCAGGCAGCACCCTGGAGTGGCCTCCTCCCTGCTGCCCATTCCCGGTGCTATTTAAGGACACCTCAGAGCCCAAGGTGCTGGGCGGATGCCCTCAGCCAGGCCTGCTGCGCTCTGCCCGCCACACACACAGCACTGGCTGCTGGGCATGGGGCTCAGGAGCTCACACTTGAGAGGCCCTTTCCCTTCTATTATATTATAATTAAATGATGGCGGAAGCTCAAAGAAAGCCCCCGGCTCTGTCCCCCTCTCGAGGGCAGGGGGAGAGGGGACGGGCTCTGCTGCTGCCGGGCAGGTGGAGGGCTCTTGTCCCCTTGGTCGCTACTGCAGAGGCATGCAGGCCCCCTGAGGCCCCTCATCTCTGCTCCCCTCAAACTCACACCCTCAGCCTCCGATGTCAGGGGGCTTCCGGGCACCGCCCCCCAGAATCCTTTCCTGGACCCCATACCACACAGTCCCACTGCCCCCGGGCCCCAGACCACCTCTGCCAGGAGGAGGGGGCCTGAACGACTGTGCCTACAGCTGCCCTGCTGCAGCCCCCGGGGGTCCCCCATGCCTCAGGGTCCCTCCTTGGCAGGTCCCCTGCCCTGGGCTGGGGCCAGACCAGGCGGTGGGTGGCTGCTCCAGGCTACCAGCGAGCAGGTCCTGGTTGCAACAGAGAGAACACGAGGTCCGTCCCCCAGAGCTGACAGGCCACCACCACACTGGGTCCCTGCCCGCAAGTAGACATGCCCCCAACCTGCCCCCTCCCAGGGAGCCCTGTCTGGGCCCCACCAGCTCCCCACACTCTGAGCTCACAGCCTGTGCCTGCAGCCCGGGGTCCTGTCCTGGCTGGTGGGGAGCAAGGGAGGTGGAGACACCTGTCTGGGAAGAGACGAGGAGCCGGCCCAGGTTTCGGTCACCGGAAGTGCCTCCCGGGGAGGCCGCAGTGACAGGTGAGCCCGCGAAGCCCAGAGGTTCTGTGGGAACCACTGTGGCAGCTAGAAAACCCGGGCAAGGAGCAGAGGCAGCACTAACACCCAGAAACAGAGGTCGTACACCTGAAATAGCTGTCACACTTTGATGCTAAGCAGTCAGCAGGATACGTGACAAAGACCGTTCGGTCCCCAGCAAACCGGAGGGGATTGGCGCCCGGGCGTGCGAGCCCTGGGTGAGTGCGGTGCCAGGCTGACGGGACTGCTCGCCAACACCACAGAGGCTGTCCCTGGGTTAGTTCATAAACTCACGGGGTCCCGACGGCAACCACGCACCTGGCTTGTAGAGTTCACACCGAACAGTGAGCGAGTGACAGCCAAGGAGGCCAGGGAGGGACAGGGACAGACCTGCCTCGTGGGACCTCGGCTGGCTGGGACTGAAGCGACGGCTCGGGCTCACCTGGAGGCAGGAATGGGCCCGGCCGGGCGCAGGGTAGACTTTTGCCTGAGTGGTGCAGGGCCCACACTGCCACCTGGAAAAGCAGCCAGGGGCACTCGCCTTAGGGTGCACACTCGGAGAATCCCCCAGCGCAGCAGGGACACCGTGTGGAAGGGAACCGCCCCGAGACGGAGGGACAGGCAGAGGGCCACCCTCCCACCGGTTTGGAACCCAGGCTCCAGGAACCAGGACGAAGCGAGTGAGGCCGACGGGCGGGCGTGTGTGGTGAAGCCCAGGGAGCAGCTCCAGGCCTGGAGGGGAGGCGGGCAGGAGGTGTGGGCAGGAGGTGTGGGCAGCCTCCACACACACGCTCACACACCCATGCACACAGGCACGCACCACACACACACATTCGTGCGCAGACGTGCACGTGAGCACACACGCACACGCGTGAACTGTCTGTGTGTGCCATTGCTCATTCCTTACACTACAAAGGCATGTTCAGTTTTACTCACAGCAAAAAAGTGCAAGTCGCACTGTCTGGGCTGGAGAGTGGACAGCTCTCCACGCTGCCAGCACCGTGGCCCTCACACGTCGCTTCTCGGTGGAAGCACCAACCTGGAGAAGCAGCAGGTGACATTTAGCAGTGAGGGGAGTATTTGCCCTTTTACCCATGGACCCCACGGGAATACCACCCCGACCCTGTGACTGGCAAAAATAGGAGCCTTACTCTGGGTGCCGGTGCTGGGTCTGGGGCCGCAGGGGACTGTGCTGGGGGCAGAAAGGCAGCAGGAGCGGCAGGGACTCGGCTTGAGGACCGACGACAGAGCCGGTCTGGGGCGGGGGGTGTGCAGAGCACAGGACTCACGGCCCAGAGGCAAGGAACCAGAAGAAAAGAGAGAGGATTTGCGCGTCAAAACTACCAGAATTAAAACTACAAACCTAAATGATTAAAGAGCATGAGACCACACCCCTGTGGAAAGGCAGCAGCGCGCGCAGGGGGAGGAAGTGGCGGCCCCTCGGCCGCGTCCTGCCGGCAGTGGCGGCCGCAGATAAGAAGTGGAAGCGGACACCGTCAGCACTTTGCATGTCGCCTTCCCGGAACGCGCCTGCCGCCTGCTGCCACTCACTTTTTCCATTCCCCAGCTCTGCCCCGGCTGCCTGTGTCACGGCCCCTGGGGCGTCTCGCCCACCCCCAGCCCACGCGCCCCGGCGGGTCTGTCCCTGCGTGGCCCCAGGGCTGGGCTTCCTGAGCTACACCTCCAGGGCCCTGGCAGGCAGGGGTCCGGGGCAGGGGGAGTGGCAGCGCCCACCCGTGGCCTTGGGCCCGCCTGGCGCTGGCCTCCTGCAGCCCCTCTGCCCCGGGGGGACACACCCACTGCCACTTGGTTTAGGAGCCCAGGTCTCCGGGGACAGGAAGGGCAGGAAATTTGAGGTTAGGCTGCAGGGCCAGGTGGGCCCTGGCCAAGGGCTCCGGGCGAGAGGAAGCACGGTCTCAAAGAGAACCGCCCTCGGGGCCATGGAGGCCGAGCTGGGGCCAGCGTTTGAGCTCTGGGGTCTCAGCCCTAGTGGGTCAGCTGTCCTGTGTGAATGCGTCCTTTGCGTCGGGGGAGGGTGATCCAGGCAGTGTGGACAGTACGGTGTTCACCTCAACACTGGAGCCTCCTGACTGGGGCCCCATCAAGCCCTTCTTGGGGGTCCTGTACCCTCTGACCCCAGTCACGCAGCCCTGCCCGCCTGCGGGGGCCTGTGTGTGGCTCCCAAGCCCCGCTGACTCTCTGTGGACAGGGGTGTGGGGCTCCCGCTGCCCTCGGCTCCCGCGGCACGGGGGGCCCTAAACTCGCCACACGTCAGGGCGCCTCTGAGAGCCACTCGGCGGAGGAAGAGTGGCCAAGCTGTGGGGCCTTCGGGCAGGAAAGGACCCTGGGTGTCGGCGGCCACTTCTCCGGGCACGTGCCCGTCCCGGAGGGGCCGCTCTTCCCACCCCGGGCGCTCCGTCCCAGCCTCCCCCACCCCTCTGGCCCCTCCAACCCGGGGCCCCGGGCTGGCCCAGACGGCCAGGGCCCAGCTCTGGTTGGTCTTCGGCCAGAATGCAGCCAGCTTTGGCGGTGGCCAGGTGGCAGGAGCTGCCTGGGGGGTTCAAGTGCTGGGGGCCCCTGCCTTCGTGAGGGGCCCCTGAAAAATTCATGGCTGTTTTTCAGGTTTCTGTCTCAGTCTAAATTCCAAGAATAAATCATGATACAGGATATTATTCAGCTGTTAAAACGATTAATGTTTAGGGTCTGTACATCTTGGACACCTTGATGTCCAAGGAGGGATGAGAGGACAGAAGGGACCGGTGGGGCCACACCTGAGAAGGGAGCACCGGGTGTCGCTGGCTCGGCGGGCCGGCCCCGGACGAGGTGCAGAGTGGGGAGGCCTGAGTGTCGGCCCGCAGCTCACAGGGGACTGGTGTGTGAGCAGGACACGGGCCCCGGGAGAGGTTTCTGTGTCACCTGGAGCTCTCCAGGGAACAGAAGCTGCAGGACACGTGTGCAGTGACTCGCTTAAGGAGTTGCCGGCTGGAGACTCGGGGAAGGGCTGAGGCTGCAGTTCACCCCTCGTCCGTGGGGACCTGTCTCTCCTCCTACGTCACACCTGATTGGACAAGGCCCATCACATCCTGGGGAGTCATTTGCTTTACTCAGAGTCTGCTGATTTAAATGTAATCTCATCTTAGGGAAAAAAACCTTCACAGAAAAATCGAGACTAGCATTTGATCAAATATGTGGGTACTGTGGCCAAGTCGACACATTAATCAGCCCCACAGCATCTACAGGCCAAGGCAAGTGTGGGCGGACGAGAGCGAAACCTGGGCTACCACGCATCCCCAAATCCGCGGGCTCATGGCAGCGGCTGGGCCTCCAGCAGCCGCGGGGCAGGACCCTGGGGCTCCTTCCCGGGCCTAGAGGCCTAGCCGTGTGGTCGCTCCGGGGCCACAGGCTGAAGGACCTGACATCTCAGTCTCTTCTGAGTTGCAGCAACAACAAACAAAGCTCCTACAGACCCCGCGGGCAGGTGTCCGTGGGCACCTACGTCTTCGGCTCCTTGGGGGAAACATGCAGGAGCACAAGGCTGGGTCCCAGGTTAAGGGCAAGTTCAGTTTTGTAAGAAGCCACCACACTGCCTCCCAGGTGGCCGGGCTGCCGGCCTGAGTCCGCCCAGCTCCTGGCGTCAGTTCTCGGGGCGCCGGCCGTCCCCGACCTGGGGCGCGGTGGCGTCACACTGCTGCTTTACTTTGCATCTCCCGATGACCCGTGATGTGGAGCGTCTTTTCCTGTACTTTCTTGCCATGATATGCAAATTATTTTTAAAACTCACCACTGCAAAAGCAAGCAACCCAGTGAAACACCAGGCAAGACCTGAGCAGACACCTCACCAAGGAAGGTGCACAGACGGCCCAGCCCCTGCGGAAGATGGTCTGGGAATGGCTCACAAAGTGAAACTATCAGATACGAGTTTCGTGACAACTTCTCCCAGTCTGTGGCTTTTTTTTATCCTCCTAAGGTGTCACGTCAACTTTTCTCATCAAATTTTCCTGTCACAGATGGTGCTGTTGGTGTTGTATGAGTGTCCTTTTTGAAGTTTATTTCTTTTTTTTCAGTCCTCACCTGAGGATGTATTGTTCATTGATGAGACAGTGAGACATCGATGTGAGAAACATTGATCAGTTGCCTCCCGTACACACCCAGACAGGGGATCGAACCCACAGCCCAGGCACATGCGCTGACCAGGAATCGAACCCCAAAACTTTTGGTGCTTGGCACAACACTCCAACCAACTAAGCCACCCCACTGGAGCTGAACTTTCTGTCTTAAAACGTGCCCAATTCCTCAGCTCTTTGATGGCTTCTCCTCCCTGGAGGCTCTCTGCAGGGACACCCAGGCACGCTGGGCCCGGCCTGGCCCAGTGGTTGGCATTCCCAGCAGCACCGCAGACACCTGGCGGGCCCCCGGGGTGCGGCAGCTGCCTCACAGGTTCACCTTCTTTAACAAGATTCTCCAGACTTTCTCTTTCACCTTGTGCCACTTCTAGTAAGTCATATTTTCCCAAAACTGTCCGTTTCACCTAAATGTTCAAGTTCATGGCGTGAGATGCCCCTCGAGAGCCCTTGAAGGCTGTGTCAGTGGGCCTGCGTGTCCCTCCTCACTGCTGGCCTTGGGTGTGTGTTTCCTTTCATGCCTTCATGATCAGCCTCATCAGGGGTTATTGACTTTATTGTTTTTTAAACCCAGCTTCGGACTGAGTTCCCTCTCATGTGGGATTTGCCCGTCCCGCTGGCTCCGCTCTGGTCTTCGTCTGCTTCCTCGGCACCCGGCTCGCTGCCCGGCCCCCGAGAGAGCGGCGACGGGCTCCTTGCTTCTGATCTAAGGCGTGCGTCTCCCTCGGCTCGGGGCTTCAGCACCGCCCCCCACATCGTGCACAGTCTGCACAGGTAATTCCAGAATCTTTTCCATTTCCCATTATGGCTTCTCTGAACTGCGAGTTATTTAGGACAGTGTTTCTTAATTCTCAAACACAGAAAGATGTTGAATTATCCTTTTTTTTTTTCCTGGCTCCATTTCACGGTGGTTGGGAAGCCTTTGAAGTCAGTGGGGACTTGGTGATAAGATCCGACCTTCGCCCCTGTGTGTCTGCTGGGTGTGCTCGGGAAGATGGTGCCTCCTGCTGGGGTCCATTCAGTGGAGCTTGCCAGGCAAGGCGGCCACACCTGCCCGGCCCCTGCCGGCGTCACTGCTGCCGGCCTCCCCGTTGGCCCCCAACAGGCTGGGGTCTAACCCTTGGCACTTGGCCTGTTTTCCCCAAGGGGCCTGTCCGCTTGGTTGCATATTTTGAGGAGTGATAGCAGGCACACACAAATCTTACAGCATTGTGATTTCCTGTTGCCAGCGTTGGTAATTTTGGGTCGCAAGGTCCTTGCCTGATAGAAGCACAGCGCCCCCAGCTGTCCGCCGACGAGCTCACGGGCCGGTTTCCCCGCGGCCTTCAGCCTCGCTCCTTCTTGGGACACAGCTGCGTCTAGGGCACGGCTTTGTCGCTGCTGGTCTGCCTTCTGCCACCCCACCGTGTCTCTGAATTGGACTATTAGTCAGTTTACACCACTGCGATTCTGATACGTGTGTGTTTCCATTGGCTTCTTGATATTCGCTTTTTCTTTACCTTAGCATTTTCACGTGTATTTTCTCTCATTCCTTGTCTTTTTTAAATTGCTCACTTCCTACTTTATTTCCCCATTTGTCACCACTATTACTTTGGGGATTATGACGTTTTTCTAGCCTCCCAGCATTTGCCCCGGAGGTTCTGGCCTCAGCCACAGTCAGTGGGCACGCCCCCTTCCTGGGGCAGGACAGGGTCTCTGGGCCCTTGCGCCCCCTTTGCTGCCTTATTCCGCGTACTGAAGTCTGCACGGCTGACCGCACTGCCGCTCCCCCGGCCGGGCTCGGCCGGCTCCGGGCTGTGTGCGCCCCTCTGTGGGCACCGTCCTCCCACCAGTTTTCCCACTTCCTTAGTGAGCCTGCTGGGGACAAACCGTCGTTTTGCCATCTGTGAGAATGCCACTGTTTTCCTTGCACCCTTGAAGAACAGTTCTGCCAGGCATAGGACCCTAGGTCGGTGGCTACTTTCTGCCAGCGAGCTTGGAAGGGCCGCACCGCTGTAGCTCAGTTCCTGTGGTTTCTGGTGAGACGTCAAATGCCATCCAAACGTTGCCATAAATTGGGCACCTAAACGATAGGTGGCCATTCTCTCCCAGCTCTGGAGGCCAGAGGCCTGACACCAGATGTGGCCGGGGCCTCCCGGAGTCCGCAGCCCGCCCCCCCCCCCCCCCCCCCCCGGCCCCTGCTCCTCCGGGCGCTGCCTCCGCCTTCAGCACCTTCTGCCCAGAGGAGGACGCCCCACCTGACAGGATCCACCCAGTCCAGGGCGTCTCGTCTCAGTCCCCCAATCGCATGTGCAAAGAGCTCGTTTCCCAGTGAGTCACAGTCTGAGGTTCTGGGTGGCTGTGGATGTGGGGCCGTTACCCAGACCAGGGCTGACTGACGACGTGGGCTGTGCGTGCCTGTCGGTTTGGGGCCCCCCCAAAGCTCCCGCCCCACCCTTACTGGTTTAGATTTTCAAATGGAAGACCTGAGCTATTGCAGATGAGCTGTGCCCCAAGGCTAGGGGGCCGGGGGCTGTGGCTGGAGGGGGCATCGCCGGGGGAGTGCAGGCAGGCCCGGGACTCCTCCGAGGGGCCCTGAGTTCAGGCCCCCCGCGCTGCCACCGCCTGAAGCCCAGCAGCAACTCCTGAAAAGCGGCCACCCTCCCGGGGAGCTGAGGATGAAGGTGAACGACAGGGGCCATCCTGCGTTCCCTGGGCAGCCACGGGCCCAGGGGTGGGGGGCTCCAAGGCTTCCTGGATGCCACCTCTTGGGCCGGGCAGCCAGCAGGGGCCTGGTGAGGGAATGACACCCAGGCATGAGGACGGGCCATTGACGGCAGCTGCCCAGCGTGTGATGGGCAGGAAGCGCTTGTGCTGAAACACGGTAGGATTTGTTTAAAAGTAGAAAAAGTCCGAAACACCAAGGATCGGCACGGCTGTGCCCAGGGCAGGGATCTAGGTGGGGTCGGTCTCGTTTTTTCTTTATAGTTTCCTACATATCCCCAATCTTCTACAATGGGCATAATTTATTTTTATAACCAGAAACTAAGAAGAAGAAAAGGGTGCTTCTGTGGGGGTGTAGGGGACAGGTCCTGGGCGGTGACCCTGCCTGCGGTCCTCCAGTGGGAAACACAGAGGCAGGGGGCCGCCATCACAGACCACAGACAGACCTGGGGCCACCCCGGACCTGCCCTCATCCTGCCCCCACCTGTGATGCCCTGGGTTTGGGGGGCTTGGTCAAGGGGGTTGGGGGCACAGTGGTCAGAGAAGTGGGCTGGAGACCCGGGGCCTCCCCAGGGCTTTGACAAGAAAAAGACTCAAGAGAAGCAAGCATCCTGGACAGAAAGTCGCAACCCCTTTATTTCCCGTCGGAAGCCAGAAAGCAGAGTGAGACTGAAGAGCCAAATGCCAGGACGGGGAGGCACCTGTGCTGGTCCAAGGGCCCCGAGTGGCCCTTGTCCGCACCCCACCGCCCACCCCAGGGGCTCCGAGCCCACCTCCCTTGGCTTCCAGCAACACATCGGTGCCTGAAGCCCAGCCCTGCTGACTTGAAAGAATGAAAACTGAGCTTCTGTGTCTCTGCTCAGGGTCCTTCATGAACACCCCCCTCACGACTCTGCGTGAAGAAGCCAAGGGGCAAAGGCACCTCTGGCAGGGGTGGGGGTGCCCCAGAGCTCTATCCTGGCCCCTGACCTCTCCCTCTGCCTCCAGGCACTGGGCCAGGCCTAGTGAGAGGGCTCTTCAGGAGGGCCTGCACTGGGCCCGAGGCTTGGCCCCCGGGCCGCGCCGCCCAGGGCCCGGGAGCACGTTCTGCAGGACCTGGTTCAGGGAGAACATGCAGAAGGAGACCTCCTCGTAAGACACCCTGGCTCCGCTCTCGTACACACAGGCGAAGGTCGAGGCACCTTCGGGGGTCCGCCCGATGTACGCCAGGTCAGAGTAGCCACTGGGGCCCTGGTAGATCACCCAGGGCTCTGTCCAGCTGTGGGGGTCCAGTGGGGACCTATTCAGACGGACACTCATATGGAGCCGAGCCCTGCGTCCCACCGGGTGGGAATATAGCAGCCATGTGGGGCTCTGAGTCAAGGTGGCAGGGGGTCTGGAGAGCTGTGGGGCCCAGTCCCTCCTGCCCCCGTGGAACCCACGCCCTGGACTAGGCTCCCTGGGACCGGGGTCCCCTGGGCCATGGTCTCCTGGGCCATCCCCACGTCTCTCTGTCCTGCCCAGCCTCCCACCCCCTTGGGAGTCTCCGGGACCCTCCTCGGGGGATTCCTGGCCTCTAGCGTAGAGGTTCAGAGGAAAGGGGGTCACGCTGGAGCCCACCGACCACCCTTTATCACCAGGCCTGCTGGAGGGTGGGGCTAGGAAGCCCAGGATGCTGCCCTGGCAGCCCCGGGCCGTCTCGGGCAGGGCGGACACCAGCTCTCCCGGCAAGAAGGAGGTGCCATCATCTGTGCTGAGGGCCTGCACGCGGCTGCCCAGGGGGCTCCTGGCATTGCAGTAGAGGACACTGCCAGCCCACCCTCCGTCCACCACAGCCAGCTGGCACTCGCCCGAGCGCAGGTTGGGCACGAGGCCGCCGTGGCGCCAGGTCTGGCCGTGGTCATCGCTGTAGAAGGCAAAGGCGTGGGGGCTGGTCCTGCAGATCTTGCCAAAGCACTCACGCCGGTCCACGCGGTAGGTATAGGCCGGCACCAACAGGCGGCCCGAGGGCAGCTGGATGCCGTGGCCGGGGCCCACAGCAAATGTGGCCCAGTCTGCAGGCGGGAAGGGACAGCCGGGGCCACGGGGGGTGGGGAGGGTGGGGGCAGTGCTTCAGATCACAGAGCAGTTTGTGAGGAAGCCACCTGTTGGCCCAGCCTCTGCCCTCCCCTGCTTCTGGCCACCCCGAGTCCTCCAGGGCTGGACAGGCCTCCTGAGGGCAGTGGCGGGAGCACAGAGGCCAGGCAGGGCCCTTGTTCTCAGCACCTGCACAGGTGGCGAGTCCCCAAACACAGGCAGATGGCCAACGAGCCTAGCAAGAAGCACGAGCCCTGTCTAGACAGGGGCAGCTGAGGGGGTGGGGTGTGCGGACTTCAGGACCAGCCTGGGGGGCCCCTCCTGACCCTAAGCCCCAGACCCCTGGGTGGGGTCTACACCCACAGGTAGCTCTTTAATTGCTGCAGGTCTCAGAGCCTGCCACCTGCCAGGGCTAGGGTGGCCCCTGAGGGCAGTGGGTGGTGAGGTCCTTGGGGAGGAAAAGCCCTGAGGTGAGGTTGACCTGCCTGAAACCCTGGGCTGGGTGTGAGGAGGAGGAAGAGGAGGAGGAGGAAGTGGTTAAGGAGGGAGTTGTTGGGGTTTGGGGGCTCAGTGTCAGACGCAGCTCAGGAAGACAAAGAGCCTGTTCTTGCCGGTGAGACCAACACACCTGTCTGTGGGCTCAGGGGTCAGGGATGGGACAGTCCCACGAACTGTGTCCAAGACCCTTAGGCTGGGGACAGGGCAGGACAGGGCTAGCAGCGCAGGGACCTGGAGCCAGATGGCAGGTTACACCCCACCCTGTGCAGACGTCCCGCCCCAAGTATGGACCCCTGCGCTCTGCCCCGTGCCCTGCCTACCTCGCTCAGCACCGCCCACCGCCTCCTCGGTGAGGTCCCGCGCTCCGCCCCACGTGCGCCCTGCGTCCTGGCTAGTCACGCAGCAGAGGCGCGCAGCGTTCCTGCCCGTGGCGATCTGCGCAGCTTCGGGGGTTTGGCCGCGCACAGCCACGAAGAAGAGGAAGACAGTGCCGGTGCGCGCGTCGTGCACTGGACAGGGGTTCATAGACCGGTGCTGCTCCAGGGCCGCAGTGCCCAGTACCAGCGCAGCGTCCCACTGCCAGGAAGGGGGAGGAGGAGGCGAGCACAGCCTCAGTTTCCCGACGGCACCGGGCACGCCCCCGCGCCCCCACCGGTCACTTACCCGCACGGAGCCCCCTGACAGCGTGCCGCGCCTCTGCACCAGGCGGTGCGCATGCGCGTCATCCGGGCTGAGCCGCTGTTCCGCGAAGGCCAGCAGGGTGGGCCCGGGAGGCACAGACAGCAGCGCGGGCACGCGGTAGGTCAGGCCAGTCCTCTCGCTGTGAAACAGTGTGGTCCTCAAGGGGACTCGCGGGGTCCCCATGCTCTGCGGGCCCACGGCAAGCGGGTCAGCAGGATGCTCCCCCCTCCAATGGGAAAGGGGCTCTGCAGGCCCAGACACCGCCATCTTCGCTCGCCCACCTCCTTCCTGCACCCACCGCCCAGTGCTCTGTCCCAGGCTTTCTACTCGCCCCTTCGTCACGGCCACCACACCCCCAAATGTCTGGAATCTTCCCCTTCCTCCTGCGAACAGCCCAGGGAAGGAAAGCAGGGAGCCTGGCCAGAGCCCCTGACCCAACCCACCCCTGCGTCTAGGACCAGTCAGTACAACCTGCCTAGAAGGAGGCCAGCCAAGTGCCCCCTCAGGGCCCAAAGGTTTGGACAAGGGGAGGTTCAGTGTCCCCACACAGGGCCCTGTGACCTCAGGAGCCAGCCATGCAGAGACCCAGAAACAGACAACCTGGACGCGGGGGAAAACGGAGACACTTGGCCACGAAGCAGACACATTCGGGTGTGCACACGGCGGCACAGACACACACACTCCGCACACAGGAGGAAGGCACCTTGGCTGCTGCCGCAACCCTGCTCAGACCTGCAGAGTCTCCAGATTCGGGGGATTCTGGGGAATAGCCGGGAGGGGGTCACCTGCTGCAGCCAAGGTGTCCCCAGCGGGACATCTGTGTGGGCAGGTGACCTGCCACCTTGCCCCTCGGGCTTCTGAGGGAGACTGGGGTCATGGGGAGGGAGGTCCAGCAGAACCACTGCCCCTCTAGGTGCCTCTGATTGCTCCCGAGTGTGCCTACCAAGACCCAGGAACCGTGTGGGGACCCAGCAGTGAGAGGGGCCCCCGGGGGCCAGAGAGGCCACCACCCCACTCCCCTGCCCCTGCCCCGTCCTGCCAGACAGGAGCCCCCGGAGGAGGGAGGGTGGGTGTGGGCTCTCGTCTGGGCACCAAGGCACAGGGTTTTGAACCTGAAAGCAGCTGCCCAACACAGCGAAGGGAGGAAGATGAGCCCCCTCTGTGTCCGAGTCCTCCCCTGGCTGAGCCCTGAGTTATTGCTACAGACAGAGGAGAAGAGCCCAGTGTGGGGGGAGACTGGGTGGGCTTCCTGCAGCGGAGAGTTGAGACCACAGAGCTGGAGGGAGGCAATGTCCTGCCGCCTGGAGCCCTGGAGGGAGGGAGGGCCCAGTGTGCAGCAAGGGCGAGGGCTCCTCCCACTGCCCTTCCCCGTGCCCACCTGCCCCTGGCCCTGGGCCCCTGCCCCACACAGCCCAGGCTGTGGCCCGGGGAGGCTCGGACACAGGGAGGATGGGGCGGGCCTGGGCGGCCTTTCTGGGGGCCCAGAGTGCTCCTGAGGGAGGCTCGGAGGGCTGGGCCTCAGCAGGGGGGCGAATTTGGGGCGCATGTGAGGCTGGCAGTCCCCTCAGCCAGGGCCCTTCCTCTGATCTGCGGGCTGGGCAGGCCCGTGGAGGGACGTGAGCGAGAATGCTGAGCCGGGCAGTAAAGGGCCGGGTGCTGTGGACAGAGGGACGGGGGCAGTAGAGTGGAGCCCCGTACACACAGCACATCGGGAAGAAGTCGGGGCACAGAGCAGGTGACAGGAAGGAACACACACGCACCCTGAGACTGGAGGAGCCTCAGTCGGACACAGGAAGGGGTGCACCTCCACACCTGGGGTCCCCAACACAGACCCCTCAGCTGCGGGCCCCCTCTGCCCAGGACCGTGTGCCCAGCAGACCCCCCTCTGCCCACCCCGCCATGGTCTCTGGGCCTCTGGAGAGGGACACCCGTGTCCGGGAAGCCCTGGGGCCCCACCCCCATCTGCATCAGCGGGGCCGTGATGCCCAAGCAGGAAGCAGGTGTGGGTACCACGTGTCCCTCCGGGTTGAATGGACACAGCGGGGCATTCTCTCCACTTGGCTCACTCCCCAGGGCCCGAGACCACAGGGAGCTGGTGTCAGGAGAAGCAGGGGGCCCGGCGCACCCCCAGCCTGGGGACAGTGGGAGAGAGGGGGGCTCCCGGGGTCAGCTGGTCTTTCTGCTTGCTGCACAGAGCAAGGCACTTGGAGCATCCCTACCTAGACCAGACCCCAGAGTTCCTGGGAGGCCCCCTTCGTAGGAGGAGGAGCAGGTCCCTGGGGCGGCCAGCCCTGCCCGGTGCGGCCAATTCAGCAGGTTCTGGGGCACTGGCTGTGACCAGGTGGCTCTGTCTGAATATTAACTGAAACAGCACCTTCACGTGGGTGTCCCTCCACCCCCCAGCAGGGCCCCCTCAGGGGCAGCACATCACAGAAGGGGATAATGAGGCCCAGGAAGCTCACGGGACCTCCGAGAGAACCTGGTCCCCTGACCCTAGACCCGGGGCAGCGTGCTGGGGGTCATCTGCCTCGGCCACGGCCTGTCCCAGCCCCGCCTGTGGCCTGGCCTGTCTGGGCCCTGGCCTGGAGCACTGGGGGCGGCCAAGGAGACTGCCCTCCCGACCCCGGCAGCGCCCCGTTCATCCTTTGGACCTGCTCCGGTGGCCCCTGCTGCCACACCTCACGTCAGGAGCCAAGGCCATTTGCACGGAGACATGCGGAGGGGCTTCCCAGCTCTGTCCCCTGCTATAGGGCTCCGGCCCAGCCTGAGTGCCCTGTGCTCTGTCGCGACATCGACTCAGTCACGGACTTTTCCACCTGGAGGAGCATCCCCCACGGCCCGTTAACTCTGTGGACTGGGACCCAAGCCAGGACACCCAGGCACACCCATGCAACCCTCTGCATTGATCCCCAAGGCCCTTCAGTGCCACACCTGTCCCTTCTGGTCAGGAAACTCCCACTGGGCATCCACACATCCGTGGCCCTCAGCCCACAGGGGCAGCCAAACGGGCAGCAGGAGCCAGGCCCCGGCCCTGGGCGACAGGGAGGCAGGGAGGGGACTCACCAGGCACCGGAGGGAAGCCACGGAGCGGGCTGAGGGGCAGCTGCAGCACTGCCTGCCTGCCTCCCGGACCCAGTGAGCTGCCCAGAGACAAGGGCCCGCTGTGTGGGTGGGAGGCGGGTGCTGGCCTGGTCCCAGGGCTGCACCAGGACCAGGACCCTCCTGCCAGCTGTGCAGCCGTGGAGCAGCAGAGCAGCCGAGGTGCAGGAGGGCACTCGGGTTGGGGCCTGTGTTGGGATGGGGCCAAACAGGGCTCCTTTCTTCTGGCTGATCCACTCCCCCCTCCCCGTGCTGGTGGCCTGCTGCACGGGGACCACAGCTGCCCCCAGGCCTCCAGCAGAGACGCCTCAGACCTCGTGACACTCTGCAGTCCTCCCCTGCCCCCCCCCCCGGGATGTGGCTTCTTGGGCCCTCATTGGCTCCAGTCCCACATCAGTGCTCGGGACTCTGGCTCAGACCAGGAAGGCCAGCATCCCCCCACCCCAACCCCTGAGTACGAGCCGCCTCCCCGGCTCCCTCCTGCTGGCTGACACATTCACTCTCACCCACTCCCCCACTGCTGTCCCCAAGGTGGCTTCGTGAGTGACCGCGGCCCAGGTGACCACGGCCCAGGCCAGGCCTCAAGGAGGTGCAGCCAGTGAAAGAAAGGGCTTGCCCCTGGGCCCTGCCCCCTCCCCTCGTGTTCCAGACTTCAAAGGGAGAAATGGGTTCTGGGAAAACTGAGACGTCACAGGATGTCCACACTGGAATGACAAACCTGCTATGTCCCTTCAGGTCCTCAGGGCCACAAGGTACACAGGAGCAGATGGGCTGCGCTCCTACCTGATGGCCACCGGCCACTTGCCACTCAGCACAAGCACAGCCCCAGGACTACCTGTTCTAGGGGGGCTGCTCAGACAGGTGCGCCGTACCTGTGCCTGCCTCCATGGCTCCAGGGCCATCCCTAGCCAGCAGCTGGTGCCCAGGCAAAAACCCAGGGGTTTGACATGAAGGGAGAGGGCAGCGGATAACACACCCCAGCTCAGGAGCCCCGCCTGAGCCAAAAAGAGAGGACCCATCTCATCCCCCGAGTCCAGGCCTGGCACAATCTGGTGGGCTCAGTGGAGATGGAGCCTCCGAGCCCCAAATTACCTGTGCAGACACCCCGAAGTCCGGGCAGGGCCGTCTAACCAGGGTGTCCCGCAGAGCCCTGGAAGGAGGTGGCCCACACGCTGCTCCGGGTTTTGATGTTTTAGTTGGAGCCAGCTATGTTCAAACAGGAGAATTTGCATAAAGACCTGCATCTCTAGCTTCTCTGAAAAACCATAAGGTCTGCCTCCCGGACTCCCCCCATGCCTCTTCCAGATACAAGCCCATGGCCGCCAGTCCCCAGCAGCCCCTCATCTGCCCCCCACAGGAGGTCCAGGCAGAGTCTGCTCCCAGCTCTCAGTGGCTGAGCCGGACGCCAGCATGCTCAGCCTTCTGGGGGGGCAACCTGGACCGCTCATGTCTGAGTTCTTATTACAAACCACACACATGGTTATTTACATGGTAACAAATACCCAGAAGCTTCCCTCCAAAAGCCGTACCAGTCCATATTCCTGTCCACCCCTCAGGCACGTGCACGGAACGGCCACGGTGACCCCACTGTCCTGACTGGTGTGGCTGAGGATGGACCACGTCTGCGGTCACAGCTGCCAGCAGAGGTGAGGCCCCTCCCAGCACAGCCTGCTCCGTGTCTGGAAGCAGCAGTGTCTCCTCCTTAGCCTGGGTCCGCACCCGCCCACGTCAGCCCAGCTGTAGGCCTGCTTCCTTCGGGGGTTGCTGGAGCCCAGGGCACTGAATGTGATCTGAGTCTTTCTCGTTTGACTACAGATTCCTCCTACCTGTGGCTCTAACTGTCCTTCACCCACCCGCCAACTCGTCTGGGATCTGAGTGCCCTTCTCTGTGCTCCTGAGGGATTCCACTGGGCCTCGTCCTCCGGGTTGGGGATGAGGGGTCCTCCGCAGGGTCCCCCGCTCACCCTGGGTCTCTGCAGTGTCCTCTCCACCGTCTCCATTCAGTTTTCTGGAAGTAATTTTTCAGTTTCCAAATATTCTCTTTTATTTCCAAGTTTACTGCAATACGTCCTGTAATTTCATTAAAAACTGATTGTTCTTAAAGTTCTCTCCATAAACCAGTGTTCAAGAGAGCTGTGACCTGTTCTGGTCTTTTTCGGGTAGAGCAGAGAATCTCCCCTTCTTTGAAATGCTGACTCACCTGACAAGCATGGACACACTGCACCCAGGAGCACCTGAAGCAGGTGCCTAGCCCAGCTGCCGAGCTCTTCTGAGCTAGGGGCCCTGATGTGAAAAGGAGGGGACCCCCACACTGGGCAGGCAGGCCAGGCTGCACCTCAAGGCTGAACGTGTGAGGGCAGCTGTTTCTCCAGGAGCCCCACTTTTGAAGGGCACAAGGCACACGGCGGTGTGTGCACCCCACTCTGACGCGGGCCCCCAAGCAGCCAGGGACAATGTCCCACCAGACGTGACACCCTCCTCCCTTCCCACAAACAACCCACCGGGGTGCCTGCAGGCAGCCCTCTTCTGGGACTTTATCCGCCCTGGTCTCCAGAGCAGCCAAGGGGAGCCTTCCCGCAGGTGTCTCCTTCACCAGACACCTGGGCGGACAGTGACCCCAACGGGGCTGTAGTGCTGACCCTCCACCGTTTGTCTCATGAACAATTGGAACATTTCTCAGCTTAAAACCGTTCTTCGGTGGAAAAGAAGTCTCCTACTGCCAAAGATGGGAAGCTGAGCATTCCAGGCCCTGGCCCCTCGTCCCAGTGCCCTGCTCCAGCGCCGAGCCGGTGGGTTTGTCCTTCTGAAGGACGGTGTGTCCACATGCGTTCTCTCTGACAAGCATCGTGTTACCAGTTACGTCTCCCTCACTTCCCTACGTTGTAAGACTTTCTTACTTGATGAACAAGTTCGTACCCTCACCCGCTGCTTGTGCATATTTATTGTCCAAGCGTGGGGCCCCTTCCAGAGGTCGGGTCACTGGTAAGTCCTCACGGCCGGGGGCGGGGTTCACCTGGAAGACCTGGGGTCTGGCAGGGCAGGGGCTCCCGATGCCCCAGGAGCCCCGCCCCAAGCCTGAGGCAGTGCGTGGGGCCTGGCCGGAGGACTACAGAGGGGCTGGGGTCACACTGAGAGGCTACGCCTCCAGGAAGGCGATGTTCTTGGGGGGCTTTTCGGGGAACTGCAGGGAGTACAGGTGGGCCGTGTACTGGAGCTCCGGCATGACCATCTGCCGGCACCTGCGCAGCGTCTCGTTGTCCAGGCCCTGCCTGAGGTTGTAGCCCAGGACGTCGGCCTCGCCCGACTGGTAGGGCAGCAGCTTTCGGTCGGTGATCTGTGCCCTGTTCTTGAGCGCGTCTTCCTGCAGGCACAGGCCCGAGAGCTCGCGCCGCCGTGCGTGTAGCCGCCCCACCTCCGCGCGCAGTCGTCGTAGGCCCAGCTCTGCGTGCACCGAGGCCCAGAAGGTGCGGTTGAAGTGCTGGTAGAGGCGCCAGTCCAGGGCGCACCAGCGCTTGGCACGCTCCTGGTTCTCCGGCGACAGGCTGACGACGCTGCGCTGGCTGCGCGAGTTGAGCCTGAAGGAGACAACGTCGTCCAACTGCCAGCGCAGCCGGTGCCGCAGGAGCACCAGAGACTCGTCGAAGTGCTCGGCGATGAGCACCAGCTGGAAGCGCCGCTCCACGTCGGCCAGGCGCGCGCGCACGTAGCTCTCTGTGGCTGCCGCGTCGGGGTCGAAGCCCAGGTCGAACCACATGCTGTTCCTCGAGTAGACATTCCTCAGGTCCAGACTCTGGTTGTAGAAGGTGTGCGGGGCGGACAGGAAGGCATCCAGGCTCGGGGCAGCCTGGAAGGCGGGCGCGTGCCTTTTATAGTAAGTGAAGGCGGACTCCAGCTGGAAGACGGGGTTTCTGAGGATGGAGAAGTAGAAAGTATCGTTCGGCATCACCTTCTGCACCTGTGTGGAGACAGGAGGGCTGGCGACACTCTGGGCTTCTGCAGGCCCAGGGGGCAGGTGGCCTTTCTCGACCCTCCCCCACCCTGCCCAGGGCATGCCGGGATCTGCGGCAGCCCTCCCGCCCGCTTCCCTGCATCCCGCAGGGGCCGCCTCGCTGCCCTGAGCATTCCCTGAGTGTACAGAAGGCCCCTGACACACCTGAACCTGGCCGGCCACACCCTTCCTCTAAACCCCCTCCTCTGTCTCCGCTTCCTCCCAGAAGGGAAGTCAGGGAAGCCCCTTGGGAGGAGCCGGCCTCTGCGCTGAGACCCAAAGGACTCTCAGGAGGAGGTTCAAAGAGCCTCCTGCCGAAGGGGGCGGCATAAGCGAAAAGTCTTGGGTGTGGGAAAACTGGGAAGTTTGGGAGCCGAGAGCAAGCAAGAGAAGGAGGGGTGGCAGGCTCCGGGGAGGCCGGGCTCCGATTCCAAGAGCAGTTGCGGGTGCCTGGGAATGGGGGGTGGGGAATGGGGTGACAGGATCTCCCAGGGGACTTCTACTAGCCTCTCCTCTAGCCGAGCACCACACACACCCCACTGGAGAGGCCTTAGTCTCTCCAGCGGCCAGGCCCCGACACCTGACCCCATGGTCACACATGGTCGCACCTCGGGTAGGTTAAACCTCAAGTGGTTGCACATGATGTTGAAGCGCTGCTGTGAGCCCTCGCGCCCGGCGCCCTCCACGTAGCTCGCCAGGAAGAGCCACGGGTAGCCCAGGTGGAAACTCGAGCCGGCAGGCAGCGCCACCGACAGGTTGTGCGTCTCAGCAAAACGGAAGAGGATGTTGAGCACCGTGCTGCTGGCGGTCTTGTGTGTCTTGAGGAACATGATGTTGGTGATGGGGTGCCCCTCAGGCTGGCCCCCAAGCAGGCTGGGAGGAGAGCATGCTGTCATCAGGGAGGAACACATCCAGCCCTGCACCCCCCAACTGGAAACCCCCCTCAGAGAGACCTCAACCCTGTGACCCTCCCACCTGCTCCTCCCAACCCACCGATTCCCCAAACCCCACTCCCCATACCGCAGACACCCCAGCCCCATCACTGCCGTTCCCTGGCCTCGGGAGCCCCCAACCCTGCAGCCCCGAGGACCAGCTGGCACGGACATGATTCTCCGTAAGTGGCTGCCCCATATGCTCCCCCACCTGCTCCAGGCAGGACCCCCCAGCCCTGGCACCCCCCCCAAGTTCTTGTCGGGCACCTGGCATGGCTCTGGCCCTGTGACCTGGGCCACACATCTGTCATTTCTAGGCTGGCCCTTCATATCAGGATGGGCCGAAGGGACCACAGAGGCAGAGTGGAGGCTGGGGCGCACGCAGCCGTGGACTAGAGCAGCAGGGCCCCAAAGAAGGACCAGTAGGAGCAACCCAGGCTGGTAGGGGACAAGGTCTGGAGGCCTTCACTGGACCTGGGGACCCAGGGGACTTTGGCAGTCCCCTATCTCCCATGGAGATCCAACCAGAGGGGTGTGGTGGGGGCAGAGGGAGACGGCCTGGGGCCCCAAAGCCTTCGCAGCAGCCACGTTAAACTGCTGGCCCCGTGCAACCATCCAGGTGGACGCCTTCACGGAGGAGCTGCCTCCGGCAGGCGGGAAGCGGGATCCCGATCTCGCCAGACCCACCGTGGACCCAGCCCTGTCTCTCAGCACCCAGTCACCCGCTGCACACGGTGGCTCTCTCTCCCCAAGGTCTCCCCGGCCCAGGCCCACCCCCACCCGCCCAGAGCCCCCCTCACTGCCCACAGACTCGTTGGGAAGGCCTTGGGACACTTTTGGGTCCCCAAGAGGAGGGCTCCACCCCTCCTCTTATGGAAAGGAGACTGAGGCCCAGCCGGGAGGTGGGACCTGCCATGGTCCCAGCCAGTGCCAGGAGGTGGGCAGGGGAGGCCCTGCTCTGGTTAGGAGGGGGCAGCACCCAGACCACGGAGCACCCGAGGCAGCACTCACGGTGTGAGCATGTTGGTGTCCACACACAGAAGGCTGGCCAGCAGCAACATGCTCAGGGTCAGGAGGAGGAGGGTCCAGAAGCACCTGTGAGCAGGGGTACCAGTGAGTCCCCAGGCAGGGGACAGGAGAGGCCAGGTCCACCCACTATGCCCACCTCAGCTCAGCGTCACCCACACAACAGCTCCAGCTAAATCCCTACTGTGTGCTGGCCTGCACGGCCCTCTGGGCCCCAGGCCACACCACCCACTGCCCAGGAGCCAGGAGAAGCCAAGAGGCAGATTTGTTCCCTGGGAGGGGGGGTCTGACGGACACAGGTGAGAGCAGGTCAGGGGTCCCCTGGAGACTGGCCTGACTGAGACCCCTGACCCCACACCTGCGGGGCACCTCCAGGGGGAGGCTGAGAGGTGGTATTTCAGGTGTTCTGCCCCCACAGAAGGGGACCTTGAGAACGCCTCCTGGGTGCCAGGCAGTGGTCCCTGAGCTGGGACACCCAAGGACAACACTGTGACCAGATGCTGGGACCAGGATGCCCTGTGCTGCGGGCCGTCCCTACTGTTGCTGGTGTTCTTGCTGCAGCATCTCTCAAACCTCAGGGTCAGAGTCCACAGAGCCTTTGTCCAGACCTCACATGTCCAGGGTTTGACCTGCAGGCACCAAGAGCCCCCGCATCTCAGCACCCGCCCGCCGTGCCCTGGGGTCTCTGCAACCCGCCGGGCACAAGAAGGGCGTGTATGTGCCTGGCCTGAGGCCACAGGCTGGGGAAGAGGCCTGCAGCCCAGACACAAGCCAACCAGCAGGCCACACTGTCCCTGCCACACGGCGTCGATGTCTGTCCACACCCAGCAGAGGTGGCCTCCCGGAGTGCTGAAAGAGCCAAGACGTGTCCAGCAAAGATGCCCGGTGAAAAGAACCAGGTCAGGCCAGAGCAGTGCCACTGTGGGGAGGGGACAGCGTGGTTGGACGCCAGAGCCCCTGAGGGTGTGCCCAGAGGGAAGCGCAGGGTGTTGTAGGGGCTGAGACCGGCCCGGGTCACTAGCAAAAAAATTTGGTAGTTTTTGTTGCCCTTGTGAATGAAATATTTATCCAAGTTGTGGTCCTATCACTAGAGCGGAAAAGTGTTTTTATTTTTATTTTATTTTTTAATATATTTTATTGATTATGCCATTACGGTTCTTCTATTCCCCCCTTCATTCCCCTCCCCCCTGCACACCCCCTCCCCCACCATTCCCCCCCTTTAGTTTATGACCACGTGTCTCAAGTTCTTTAGATTCTATATTTCCCCTACTATTCTTATCCTCTCCCCTATCTATTTTCTGTCTACCATCTATGCTACTTATTTTCTGTACCTTCTCCCCCCTTCTCCTCCTCCCACTCCCCTGTTGCTAACCCTCCATGTGATCTTCATTTCTATGGTTCTGCTCCTGATCTAGCTGTCCTCTTAGTTTGCTTTTGTTTTAGGTGCGGTTCTTAATAACTGTGAGTTTGCTGTCCTTTCACTGTTCATCTTTTTTATCTTCTTTTTCTTAGATAAGTCCCTTTAACATTTCATATAATAAGGGCTTGGTGATGATGAACTCCTTCAACTTGACCTTATCTGAGAAGCACTTTATCTGTCCTTCCATTCTAAATGAAAGTTTTGCTGGATAGAGTAATCTTGGTTGTAGGTCTTTGGATTTCATGACTTGGAATACGTCTTTCCAGCCCCTTCTTGCCTGTAAGGTCTCTTTTGAGAAATCCGCTGACTGTGATGGGAATTCCTTTGTAGGTGACTGCCCCCTTATCTCTTGCTGCTTCCAGAATTCTCTCCTTCATTTTAATCTTGGCTAATGTAATGATGATGTGCCTTGGTGTGTTTCTTCTTGGGTCCAACTTCTTTGGGACTCTCTGAGCTTCCTGGATTTCCTGGAAGTCTATTGCCTTTGCCAGAATGGGGAAGTTCTCCTTTATTATTTGTTCAAATAAGTGTTCCACTTGTGGCTGTTCCTCTTCCCCTCTGGTACCCCTATAATTCGGATGTTGGAGCGTTTAAAGATGTCCTGGAGATTCCTAAGCCTCTCCTTTTTTGAATTCTTGTTTCTACATTCTTTTCTGTTTGGTCATTTTTTTCCTCTTTCTGGTCCACTCCCTTGATTTGAATCTCAGTTTCCTTTCCATTACTATTGGTTTCCTGTGCATTTCCCTTCATTTCACTTAGTTTAGCTTTCATTTGTTCCTCTAATTTGTGACTAAAATCAACCAGTTCTGTGAGCATCCTGATCACCAGTGTTTTTTCTTTCTTTTTTTTAATCAATGTATGGTTGCTTCTGGTGCATCCCCTGCTGGGAACTGGCCTGCAACCCAGGCATGTGCCCTGACGGGGAATCGAACCATGATCTTTTGGTTCGCAGGCCCGCGCTCAATCCACTGAGCTACACCAGCCAGGGCCTGATCACCAGTGTTTTGAACTGTGCATCTGAAAGTTTGGCTATTTCTTCATCACTTAGATTTATTGGCTCTGGGGCTCTAAGTTCTTCTTGAGCCATGTTTTTATCTGTTTGTGCCTGTTACGTATGAAGAGCGGAGCCTTAGGTGTTCACCAGGGCAGGGCCACCCAAGTCACTGGTTTGTGATGCTGTATGTGGGGGCGGGGTCAGAGAGGGACAATGGCGGTCCCCTCTGCCACTTCCTACCACTGGGGCCTGCACGTTCGTCTCACTGCTCGCTCCTTCACCGGTTTATCTGCGTGCGAATGTGTGACCGTGATCAGCCCTCAGTGGGTCCGCCCGCTTCTCCGCACCTGGGTCGCGTGCCCGGGTCGGTCCGGTGGGTCTTTCCTGCCCGACCCCGCTCTGCTGCTGGCTCTGCCCCTCTTACCGGTTTGGCTGAAGGGTTCCTTGTTGTCAGACTTCCGTATAGTTCAATTTTCTGTGGTTTTGGCTGCGTTTTTGTTGCTAAAACTTTGTTGTTTTTAAACTTGGTTGTGTGAGGAGGCACAGCGCTTCCACCTACGCCTCCATCTTGGCGGAAGTCCTGGAAAAGTGTTTTTAATGTACATTGTGTCTGGTCATGTCCCGGCCACTGGTCAACTTTTGTTGAACCTGCCGCCCTGGTCTTGGCGGAGCCCCCGCTGCCCGGCCCGACGGGGTCCGTGCGCTTGTCCGGCCCACTTCGTGGCCGGGCCGGAGCCCACTGCGCCTTCCAGAAGCCCCGAGTCCTGGTGGCCGGGGCCACACTCTGGGCCCCGGGGACTCGATGCCCTGGGTCCTCTCAGTCGCCAAGGGGGACTACACACACCCAGGCAGAGTCCTGCATGATTTGCACCCGTAGGTTCAGCTCCAGTTCAACACTGCCTTTTAAAAAAAAAGAACTTTAAATTTTATTTTGCCTTGCAGTTTACAGTCAGCAGTATTGTGTACTAGAGTCAGGTGCGGAGCACAGCGGCCACACAACCACACTTCGCAAGGCGCTCCCCCCACCCCCGATATCTCCACACCTGCCGGGCACCCAACACAGTCAGCGGGACGCTGTACGGCGTGGCGTGGCACTCTCACACCCGTGGGCACGCGGCACCGGCCACTTGGTACCCTTGAGCCCTCCCCCCTTCCCCCCAAGACTGCAGCCGTTCACAGGAACCTCCTCCTGCCACCTGTCTCCTCTCTCCCACAGGAGGAAGCTCTCAGAGACACTGGACGGTCGAAGCAGAGCGCCCCGAGTGGCCCCTGCCTCGCAGACACCCCGCACACAACTCAACACGGACGCACAAAGTGTGTGCGGCACAAAGCCTGAGGGCGACTGTGTCTGGGCGTCTGCCCTGAGAGGCTGATTAAAGTTCAACCGGAGAAACCGTATGAGAGCCCAGCAGACCAGGGTTGAAACGGCCCTGTGTTCGTGCAGACGGTCGGTCCGAACTGAAACTGGACTGAACGCACTGAACGCGTTGGTCTGAGTCAGCTCTGATGACAGTAAGGGTGACTTTAGGGGAGGGAACTGTTTTAGGAGAAATCATAATACCTGGTCGTGGGCATTACACTCTCGTTCAGGTGATCGTCTTGTGTTTTTTATTTTTTCACTCATAAACTTAACTGCGCCCTGAACTCCAGCTTTCCCCAACGCTCCACACTAATGTCTCATTCTTCTCCCCTCCTTTGACTTCGAATCATGGCAACTAGAACCTTCTTTCCTGAGGCTGTGCGCACCACACAGAAGCCGCGGGAGCACCTGCCCGCCCTGCAGACCGGGAGGAGCCCTCAGACCACCACTGCTGGCTCTCACTCTAGCAAAAGACCCTGCTAGCTTTCTGTCTGGAAGTCCTCTCGACTGAGTTTTACAGACTCAGAAACTGGTTTATGGTTTGCTCTAATCATTAGCCTTTGTTTTATCTTCTGATTTTAAAAGCATACTCCTTAAATACCCTACTGCCTGTTTACGCAAGACCGGTCTCACACTGGAAGCCAATCTGCATTGCCACCTCCTGAAATGAGACTTGGCGTTTGGTTGAACTGCCTTGTTGTCAGAACCGGACGGTTACGTCGCCACAGTTTCCTCTGGCAGCACGGTGATTCTGGAGCCCCGATTTCAAGGACTCTGAGCTGAACCCTTGAGCCCGGGACACTCAGAGCGACCGCTGTCCCTAAGCCTTGTGACAGAAGCACCATCCACTGTCCCAGCAGGCAACCCGGCCCTGGGGCTCCCTGATGCTGCCTCACCTGCTCTGTGCACTGGGCCCCCCGCTCATGGAGTGGCCCCACGCCCAGCCTGCCTCCTCTTCACAGTGTGGTGGGGCACCTGGGCCCCTCCTCACTTCTGCTGGCTTGAGGGCCACAGGGAGGGCTGGGGACAGGTGGGGAGGAGGGCACGCAGAGGCACTAGAATCTCCCAAAAGCATGTGGGGTGAGGCAGAGAAGTAAAATGTAAAGCATTTCCAGACCACACCTGCCTCCCTCCCAACCCCAGTGTGTCGGGGAGTGTGACCCTCTGCCTGTAGAGGGGGACAGCCACCTGTCACTCCAAGCTGGACTCGCTCAGTCACTCAGGCCCCCCAGCAAGCATCCTGAAATACACACGCAGGTAACTGCCAATGAAGAGGAAGTCTGCTGTGGGGGAGGTGGGGGGGCTGAGGGTCGGTGCAAATACAGGGGTCCGGGCCCAGGAAGGTGACAGCTAAGCCTGGGCCAGGACGTCTCAGGCACCAGCTGCCGTCCACCCAGGCCTGCAGCCCAGACACCGAACCCTCTTTTCCTCACACCTGAGCCCTTGCTCTCCCGAGGCCCAGGCCTGAGGTCGAGTTCAGAGAAGCCTGAGTAGGAAAGAGCCCCAAACCCGAGAGGTCCTTTGAAGGACAGATACGGAATGGCTCCTTTCTGCCAGGTTCTCGGAGCATCCAAGGATTAAAGAAGTGCTTCGCTCCCTCCAGAGCCAACCCCCACCTCACCTCCATGAGCTGCGCAGCAGGGACAGCATACTGGCAGGCAGGCTCCCACAGACGCAGGGCAGGGGTCTCGGCTCCCTGCTGGCTCCCACCCCAGGGCACAGGCTGGAGCTGGCGCCTCGAAGATGAATTTGACTCGCAGGGCTCACCTGCCCTACCAGGTGCGCAACCACGCCTCCACCCCCACCCCAGGGGGTGGGTCAAGGAAGAACTAGAACTTTCCTGGGGCTCAACTGGCGCCGGGAGTGGCCCTGGACGCGGCCCTGGGTGCAGGGCTGGCTGCTTCCTCAGCCTTGCTCTTGGCTGCCTCGCAGGCCACACCCTGGGGTCAGTTGGAGAGGGGTGAGCTCACGGAGCTGTGCGCAGCCTCTAGGGCCTCCAGATCCAAACTCAGGAGGCACCAGTCTTCGTGTGTGAAACGGAGATAGGCAACAGCTTTGAGGAGGAATAATGGGAACGAGACCCAGACTAGGAGCTTTTCTGCATCTCCTTGTCTTCTGAAAAGCGTGCTTGGTACTAGGAGAAAATTGGCTATTTCTTATGTCTTGGGTTGGAAAAAAACTCTCAGTGAGGATATCATTATAGATAACAATAAAGTTCTTATCTCTCTTCAGTAAATAAATCTGATTAAGAGACAAACAACAGATAACAGAGTAGGGACAATGTTCTCAACACTTGACCATGTGCACAACCTATTAAAAAAGGCAAAAGCTCTATAGCCCGTGGGCCCCATGGGGGCCCCTCCTGCACCCAGCTGCCCTGGTGCACCCTCTTCACCAGCCAGCATCCAGACACACGCTTGGACAGCGTCGAGGCTGCAAGCCACCTCCCCCCACGCCACCCTCTCAGTGCCCAGATTGGTCTGAGCCCGTTGGGGGTCCCCTGCCCTGGCCAGAGATGGGTGTGGTGGATGCAGCGGAAACACACGGGGGGTTAGCTGAGGGGCTGGGACAGGAGAGAAGTGCTGGGGAAGAGGCCAGGCTGGGGGAGACACCACCACACCCTCTCTGACCCTTGTCAAGCCTGGTGCGAGAGGCTGGCCACCCTCCATCCCACACTGGGACCTCCATCTCCTCCACGGTGGCGTCTTTCCAGTGCACACGCTGTGGCTCCAGGGGCCACAGGCGGGGCAAGGGCGGGGCGGGGGGAGAAGTCTGAACTCTCAGCGACTGAGAGGGGGTAGGGAGGAAGGAGCACAAGGCCTTGCCCCCACCCTCAGAGGGGAGCTGGAGACAAGCACCCTGTGTTTTACCTCTCAAATGGGGGCAGGAGGAGAAAAGAGAACAACACTGCCAAGAAGAGACCGGCAGTGTGTGTGTCGCAGGTGGGCACAGGTAACCGGATTCTTGGTGATCGCAGTGAATCGAACGCCACACACATGGAGTTTAGGGCAGAGAGAGAGTGCAGATTTATTAAGCGATAGTGCACTCCACAGAACATGGGAGCGGGCTGGCTCCAAGCAGACTTTTACCCTCAGTGGCTGGAGGGATTCTCTTCTTACAGGGTGGGTATTTCCTGGCCACTTCTGGAGGACTTGTATTTGGCAACTAGTTGTATTACTTTGAAGTTACTGCACAGGGTGGTCTCCCATGATTTTCCCTGATTGGCCACCAGTCAAGGGCTGGGGGGGGCGTCCCCACAAGGCTGATTTATTATAATGAAGCAGGGGTCATGTAGCACCTTCTGTGCAGGTGCAGTTATGATTTGCCATGATTCAGTGCTTTTCCAGGAATAAGGGGCAACCGGTCTTAGAACAGGGTCTCTGTCCAGCACTGACGTCCTTTGTCTTAGCCCTGGGGCACCTCCGGGTGTCCTCCTCCGATCCCTGGCCTCACACAAACAATACACAGCCCACCGGGAATCTGAGAAGCACCGACCCAGAGGGATTCCTCCTGGGCCAGCAGGCTGGCCGAGTTAAAACTACTTGGACGATGGTGCATCAGTCAGCGGGTACCTTGCTAATGCTGTGTGACAAACCGTGGCCCTCGGAGGCTCGGCAGCAGGCAACTGTCCTCGAGCTCACGGCCGGTGGGGCCTCTGCAGCCCGGCTGCGGGCTCTGTTTTAGGGAGGCGTTTGTCCTGGGCTCAAGCAGCTGCCAGCACATGCTCTTTCCAGGGAGTGTGGCAGGGGTGCCGTGTGTGCATCTCTGCAGCCCCTCACATCTCCGAGGCCAAGGTCGAGGGGGAAGGATGAAGCCACGTCCACTGTCCCACAGGGAGCCTTTCCCAGGGCTGCCACATCCTGATGGACCATGCAGACACCCACTGGATGATGGCACACAGTGGCCACTCCAAGAAGCTGCTGCATCTGAGTCACTCCTTGAGCCCCTGGCCTTAGGACAGGGTGCCCGAGGCACTGACCGCCTGTGGCCCCAGGGAGGGTGTCAGTGAGCAGGGGGAAGGAGGCCCCAGGCCCTGGGCAGTCTGTGAGGGGTCCTCCCCTTTGGTCCCGGGTCTTTATCCAGCATCCAGTCCCAGCCACGGCGCCCACCTCTCTCATCCCCTCCCGGACGCAGGAGCCCCACTGTGCAGGGCACAGGGTTTCCTCTGGTGCAGGCGTTACCCTGGGGGAGGCGCAGTGGGGACCATGAGCCGGGGAACATCGCCATAGTTACGCTTCGGAATGACACTCCCCTGGGTCATCGGGACTCAGCTTGGGCACTGGGCTGGGACCAGCCAAATGGACGAAGGGCACCAACTGTTCACCCCTCATGTGGGGAGAGGGACACTAAGTGCCACATGGGGGGGACATCTCAGGCACCCACTTGGGGCTCAGGCTTAGTTGTTACAAATGTTTATTTTCTTCCAAGTTTGTTGTGTTTTTCCGTAACCCCCACCCTAACCTGATGCTCTGGTGTAGACGGTGTCCGCGTCTTACAAGGTCAAATTCTCAGGACACACCCTGGCTGGTGTAGCTCAGTGGATTGAGTGTGGGTCTGCAAACCAAAGGACCACAGTTCAATTCCCAATCAGGGCACATACCTGGGTTGCAGGCCAGTTCCCAGCAGGGGATGCATAAGGGGATGCACACACTGATATTTCTCTCCCTCTCTCCTTCCCCTATAAAGATAAATAAATAAAATCTTGGGCACAGGTGGTGAGGGGATGGGCCCAGGGCACAGCTGCAAGCCGGGCCCAGGGTGAGTCCTGGGTTGGGAGCGCAGGCCCAGCCCCTGGAACGCACACAAGATGCAGGAGGAACCCATGAGTGGCCGGCACGAGGAAGGGTCCAAAGGTCTGCCAGGGCCTGGAGGAGCCACCTGCAGCTTAGTCCACATCGGGGAGAACGCAGCTCCTCTCCTGGCTGGTCTCCAGCACCATCACCACCCGCCCCCTCCCCCCACCCAGGCTGTGCACCCAGGAGACCTGGCTCACTCACCCTGAAGCACCAGCAGAGCCAGGCCCTTGCCCAGCCCCTTCCTGTCCTTCTACCCCCATCAAGGGCCTGCCTTGGTTGCCCTGAAGCCCACCTCCTTCCTCCTACCCCAAGGCGGAGGGTCTCCAGTCAGCTCCTAGCTACCAACGTCCCTTCTCTGACCCCCAAGACTGGAGGGACGGGAGATGAGGGAGGGTGGGGAGCCCCCGGGGGGCCCGAGACCTGGGATGCAGCTACCAAAGTTGGTGGGCTCTATGAGAGGATGGGGGGCTTCGGGGGGGCAAACGTCTCTCCTTTCTCCATCCTATGGGGGACGGGGCAGTGGGGGTGGCCCTGCACCCAGGGCAAACGCCACTCTAGGAAGGCGGCCCGCTGACACTCACCTGCGGTGCATCCCTGGGCCGGGTCACCGCACGGAGGAAGGGGCTGGACTGAGGGCGGCTGCTCACCCACCACAGGTGGCATCATGGGCTCTTGGCCGGTGCACAGACCCTCTCCCCCGCCCGGAGCTACTGACTGTGGAGGGAGGCCCGCCACCTCGCTTATACAGCCCTGCACCCGGAGGTCCCAGTGTGGACACTGGCCGGGTAGGTCTCCACCAGGATGCTCCCCGCACCCTCCGCACTCCTCCCTCCGTGAAGGTCACCTTGCTCCAACTACGGGGGGAAAGTGCTCCCTCGCCACAGCCGCCCACACCTCGGGTGTCGTCAGCACCCCTCGCTCCTGGAATCCAGGAAGGAGGAGTGCCAAGGTGAGGCCCGGTCCTTTGCTGCCACCAGCTCAGACGGTCTGGGTGCACGTGGGACGAAGCCCGTGACGGGGATTTCTGAGGTTCGCAGCCGGCTGCCCCCTGGAAGGAGCCCCCAGGAGACCTGGGCCCCGGCACAGACGAAGCACAGAGAAGCCAGAGTGGGGGCGGGGGCAGGCGGTCCCCCTGCCAGAAGAGCCAGACCGAAGGAATCGGTCACCTCCAAGCCTGCTCTGCCACCTGCTTCCTGGGAGGGGCCTTGCTCGTGTGCCCGGCTGCCTCCACCAGACCAGCCGCTCCCTCACCCCTTGGCGTCAGGGGTGGGCAGCCTCTGGGGCGGACCCAAGCGGGAGGGAAGGCCGGCAGGCCAGGTGCTTCCTCCTCCCCTGGCTCCGCTGGTTCGAGCGGGACGGTGTGGGTGGCCATGGGCAAGGGGCTGGCAGGACCCACAGATGGAAGGGGCTCCCATCCACAGACAGGAGTGCATCCTCTTTGCCAAGGGAGTGAGCCCCAGGACCACCAGCTGGCCGCACACCGTGGACCCTTGAGGCAGCAGGCCCTGAGCCTGGCTTTGGCCAGAGCCAGCTGCGACCTGACCCCAGGGCCTGAGTCAGGAGCAGGACCGAAGCCCAGCCCTCAAAGGCCTCAGAGCAGGCGTGTTGGAAGGACAGCACCGGGGGCAACGCCCCACCCCCCTGCCAGCACCTCAGACCCACCTGTGACACTAGCTCCCGGCCTGAGGCCCAGGGCTGCGGCAGACTCCACCCAGAAACAAGCGCACATCACCTGACTTCCCCAGAGCACCCGTTGCCCTCGTCTGCAGAGCCCACGGGGAACCTCTTCCTCAAGCAGGTGCAGCAGGTGCTGCTCCAGAAACTTCACAGCGACCCACCTGCCCCAGAGGAATAAGCAAGACAGCCCCTGTAGGGTTCACCCCATGGACCTCGTGGGGGCAAGGCTGCCCACGGGGGCAGCCAGCGCTCCCTCCGCATCCCCGTCCAGGGAGTGGGCATGGCCTTCAGAGCCTAAACCTTCAGATGGTGCCTGATGTGGGGGCGGCAGTGGGGCTGGTGAAGCCAGATGAGCCACCCCAGTCCTCGTGGGGGTCAGGGAAAAGGCGGAGCGGTGGTCTGGAACTGCGTCCACTCGTGGCCTGTCCCGTCAGTGGGATCGAGGTCAGGGGACTGGTGCCTGGCATCACCAACCCCCATACAGTAGAGTGGCGGCTGCCCCCAGGAGCCCCGCAGGCCACATGACCCCAAACTCTCCCTCTGAGCCTTCTGGGTCCACAGCCCCGGGACACCCCGAGTTCTGAGCTGGCAGGCAGCCTGCCATCCTCAGGGGCCCTGCTCCCTGCAGGCCCGGGCGGGGCAGCCCATCCCCTGGCCACATCCCTAGGGTTGAGGGGCAGCCTCCTTGTCCCCTGTGCCCCAACCTTCCCCGGGGCCCAGACCACCATCTCCCTCCTCATCGCTCCCTGAACCCCTCCAGGTGGGTGCCTCCATGGGGGGCCCCTCTTATATAACCTCTTCTCAGATGGTACCGTTTAGAGATTTTAAGCAAAAATCACAAACTTCCCCTCCTCCAAACACAACAGCCACCCTGCCCACCACCGGCACATTCGAGATCATCCTCAGCAGAAGCTCGGGACCCAGGCTCGGGGCCTGGACGCAGGCTTGGCCTTGCTGGCACTGCCCTCTTCCCAGCTCCTCTCTTCACGAGTGTGGAGCCCACCGAGCTTTGCCGTGCCGGCGCTCCTTCAGTGCCGCCGACACGCGGGCCGTGGGGCGCCTGCCCGAGGGCGGGAGGGCGTGTGGCCCAGGCCCAGTGGGCCCGTGGTGTCGTCCAGACGGCCGTGTGGTCAGACTTTCCCGCCCACAGGGCCTTCTGGGTGCGCGACAGCCCACGGAGCAGTGCACGTCGCGGTCGTGAGCACGGATGCCACCCCCCGCCCCATGTGTGGCATCCACGTCGCTCGGCTGGGCTGTGTTCCCGACTTAGGCACCTTCAGGAGAGCACAAGGAGAGGCCCCGGGGTGACAGGGAGCTCAGAGACACCCAGCCCCCAGTGTCAGGGAAATGCCACGAGTGCAGGGAGCAGCGGCCCCAGGCCCACACCCAGGGCCCTGCCCTCCCAGCTCTTGACCACCTGTGACTCCGTAGCTGCTAGGAAGACGGGGCCTCACACCTGGCGTCAGGTGTCAGAGGCGAAGTGCCAGGAGCCATCTGCTGACCTCGGAAGCACAGAGGACAGACACAGGCCAGCTCCCAGGCTCTGAGGGTCAGGCACCCACAGGGCCTGTCCTGTGCTGTGGCTGCCTTGGGGCTGCCCACGGGCACCCAGCAGGGACAGTGGAACAGTGACCACAGCCAGAGGAGAGCCACCCCTCGGGACCAGTGGGGCCCATGGCACCAGACGGGGAGGAGGGGCCTTTGTTTTAACTGCCAGCTCAGGAGGGAGAGAAGCCAGGGGACAGAGAGGAGGCCAGCCACTTGGCCCAGGGAGGCGGTTACTGGTGTCCCAATGCCACCACCGCTGGCCCAGGGCAAGGTCCTGAAACAGGCCCTGGACCCGTGCCCTGAAATCTTGCTGGGCCGGGACGTCCCCGAGGACACACACCTCTGCCAAGGTGCAGCCCATGCTCAGCCCATGACCGTGACCAGGTGGGGGAACAGGGGCTCTCAGGCAGGACGCCCCGAACAGGGGACAGGCCACCTGTGACTCCGTAGCTGCTAGGAAGAGGCGAGGGGACCGTGGAGGCACCTCCCTGAGGCCTGGCCACCAGCCCAGAGGCCAGATCTCTGAATCAGCTTGTCGTCTGGTTTGTCCTGGTTTTTAAAAAAGTACACATGTGCTTGGCAGAAGAAAGTGCAAGTCCTCCAAAAAATACAGAAAGTAATACTCCTTCCTGCCCTGACCTCCAGGCGCCCTCCCCACACGAGCCCAGCTCCACACACACGAGGAGGGGCCGTGCGGAACCGGTACCTCGAGCCGACGGCCTCTCCCCAGGGCAGGTGGCAGCCCCCTCGTCCCCAGTTCTCCCTCTGTCTGAGGGTCTCAGAGACACGTCACCGCCTTTTCCACAAGGCCGGCCCAACCCAGCCAGCGACTTGTGACACCACATGCAGACAGTGCTCTGAGCATGGCCTAGGGAGAACCCTGTGCGTGTGCTTGTGTGTATGTGCATGTAGTCCACATGTAATGTGCCGTGCCTATGTATACGCATGCAGAGGGTGCCCATGTCCCACGTCTGTGTACACGGTGTGCCTGTGCACGTGTGGACTGCACGGTGTGCATTCTCGTGCACAGGTGGATTCCGTAGGGCAACCCCAGGAGTGAACAGTGGGGCACTTCACATCTTGACGCTTTGAGGACCAGCCGGTCCCCAGGGCAATGGAGGCCCCTCCAAACCTGCTCTCGGAGCCACTCCTCCAGCAGAAAATGCCTCCTGATTCGTAGCCTTTTAACACCTCAGGCATTATTTTAATTCTCCAAAACAGACTTGCTTAGTCATACAACAGTCACTGAAAGTCATTATGAACATGGGCTGACTGCTTCTGACGACTGTGGAAAAGCCACATGAGACAGGGCTCTGAGTCACATGGGGAGCGCAGGACAGGGTCTGGGGGGACGGCCACCGCCAGAGGCAGCCCCCGATGCTCCGGTGCTCAGGGACCATGGCACACGGGCACGTCACTGTAGGCTTTTACAAGGTTTTTCTAGCAACAGACCAATTCTGTTTCTATAGGAAGTTCAGGGCAGCCAGAAAGAGAAAACGTGTCCCGCCTCCCAGATGGTCTCTGCAGTGCCGGCCCTGCCCCGGGGCCACAGGTCAACAAGGGTGGACCACGTGGGGGTCACTGAAGCAGCAGGAACACAGGCACTGTGTGCAGTGGGGGCTTCACGGGGGCGCAGGGCTGACCTGCATGGACTCTTCACACAAACTGCAGACTCTGAGAAACAAACGCCTGGGCTCTGACCACGGTTGGGGAAATGGTCGCTCCAGGTCCCAGCAGCCACCCGTCCCATGTCACCGGAAAGCGCCTGGGGAGCCAGGCCCTGTCGGTTGCAGCCCCAGGCGGGGCCGGTGCTCTGGGCTGTTCACAGGGGTTCACTGCCGCGGCCTGGGCTGTGGGGCTCGCACTGCCCGGGGCTCGGTGCGGGGCAGAAACACCAGGCCCCTCCCAGAGCTGCGGCCCACAGGTGGGACCCAGGGGACCACCAGCAAGGCGGGTGCCACCTGCGAAGGGATGGGAAGCGCCCACCTGGAGGCCCCTCCAACCAGGTGGCTCCATGGGACAGAGGCCAGAGCCCAGGCCAGCCCTGCAGGCCTATCTCAATGGGCAAAACCAAGACTAGAGCACTCCCGCTGACCCGGACGCCCCATCAGGCCTGGGCAGGCAATGTCTTGTAGGGGTTCAGGATGCCCTTGGGGTCCAGGAGGGCCTTGAGCTGCTGCATCAGCTGCAGGGCCTCAGGCGGCTTGCTGTAGCCAAGGGCACTCCGCTTCTTGAAGCCGACACCGTGCTCGGCGCTGACACTGCCCCGCTGGCCTGCCGTCCACTCGTACACGTAGGGCTCGAGGTCACCCAGCAGTGGAGCACTAAAGGCCTCTGCCGTCACGTTGAGGTGTAGGTTGCCATCCCCTGGAAGGCCAGGGACCCGGGTCAGGCTGGGCAGGACCCCCCAAGAGCCCGCTCCTCCCGAGAGCCCTTCATGTCCTGTCTGATTTCAGCCCTTCAAGCCACTGGCCACTGACCTGCAGCGACAGAAGCAGCCTCTTCCGGGGGCTGCAGCCCCCTTCTCTCTCCTTGCCTGTTTCTCTCCCCAGTTGGCCCCGCCCACCCTCCCTCCGCAGGCTCCACCTCGTCAGGCTCCAAGGGCTCCCCACCAAGAGCGACCCCAGGGCCACACAGACTGCGAGCGCTGCAGTCTGACCACACTGATGGCTGTCACCAGACTCACTTCTCCGGCAGTGACCAGGACGGCTCCATTCCCCAGGTGCCCCACAGACACCGTGGGGGCTCCTCCACTGTGACGGAGGGACCACACCAGGCCCGCTGGGCCGCTGACAACTGTCAGGACGGCACAAGCCCGTCCCTGGTTCCAGTGCAACGAACATCAGGTCAACAATTTCTAAAACAGCTAGAAAACTCCCATATTTGCAAGTTAAAAACCATATTCCTGCCCTGGCTGCTGTGGCTCAGTGCCAGCCTGAGAACCAACGGGTCGCCAGTTCGATTCCCAGTCAGGGCACATGCCTGGGTTATGGTCCAGGTTCCCCAGTAGTGGGTGCTCGAGAGGCAACCACACATTGATGTTTCTCTCCCTTTCTCCCTCCCCCTCTGTCTAAAAAATAAATAAATTAAAAACACACACACACATTCCTGCACGAGTCAAAAAAGAAATGACAATGGAGATGAGAAAATGTCTAGAACCAGAGACAACACGAACCCCATCAAAATGGGGGACTCCACACAAACACAGGGCCACCTCTGGCTGCGGAGGTGGGAGCTCTTGGGCACCAGCACCCCCGGAGCCCCTGAGCTGGAACTGCCTCAGGTGAGGTCACTCCTGGGAGTGGGGCCGAGTCAGGGCCGAGTCAGGCCTGGGGCAGAGGGGCCAGGAGGCAGGGCCCCAGCCCTGGGGCTGCCAGCATCGCACACCCGGAGGCTCCACCCGCCCCACTGAGTCCACGGGAAGCCAAACTCCATTCACGACAACATACGGACCCAGGGCCACGGCAATGAGTGGCAGCTGCTGTCCCAGCACTTCCCAGGCCTCGCTGAGTCTCACAAGGTGGTAAACAAAGACAACATTTAAAACAAGCTCGGGGTCAGCTAGGCTGGGACTTGGAGGGGCATTTAAACATAGAAAAGAAAAGCTGCAAACCACTGAGCCGAGTACCTCACTCCTGAAGTTACGAAGCGACAGAGTAAACCTGAAAACGGAGAAGGAGCGTGATGGGAAGTGAACACACCAGAGAAAGGGCCCCCTCGGCCCAGCGCCGCCTCTGCAGAGGCCGCTCAGCACGGGGACCACGGAGGCCCCTCCCAAGTGCGCTGCCGTGCCAGGAAATGGGGACAGCAGGAACGACGATGCCCACGTGTGCGAAATTCCAGAAGACGCGGCCAAACGCTTGGTAAGGAAACCACAGGACCACCCGGGAGAAGGGGCCGGACCACCCTGCCAACATCAGAGAAACCGGTCCAGTCACCCCGACGCCCGCACACTCCTGCCTCTTGTCCTCAGCGGCAGGTGCTCCGACCTCGAGGAGAGAACTTCCAGGCGAGGGCGGCTGCCCCGCGTGAGCACCGACAGAAGCAAGGACCCTCGTGCCACTACGTCCCCCATAAAGACACCAAAAACATCCCACACAGACTTGAATGGGACCAATGATACCAGGACAGTGGCCAAGCAGGGCTCGCCCCAGGAATCAGGCCCGTCAGCCTCAGAGGGGCTGAGGGTCACCTGCTCCGTTGCGGCACAGGTGCCCAGTCATCTCGACGCCCACTCCGGGCTTCACGGCGGGAGAGAACCCTCTGCCCACTGCCATCACAGTGGTGTCTTCACTGTGGCCCAGGGCACAGCAGCGCCCCCATGGGGGACGCACTCCATCCTCGACCTGCAGTCCACCCCACCCTGCTCTCGGGGGCGATGGCCTGGTGCCCTCACGTCACTCCCGTTCTGACACCTGCTGTGCGGACTCTGCCCCGCACTGCCCCCCCCCCCGCACTGTTCTAACCATGCCAACCCCCAGCCTTCTCCCCAAACACGAGCCTGCGGTTGGCCGCCCCCACCCGGCTCTGCTCACCCAGGTGGCCATAGCCCACCACGTGCTTGGCCGGCGGGCCGAGGCGGGCACGCAGATCCGTCACGAGGTCGTAGAGCCTGTCCAGGGGCAGGGAGACGTCGTACTTGTACACGTAGCCGTCCCGGCTCAGCGCCTCGGTGATCCTCTCCCTCAGGGCCCACAGCGTCTGGGAGGGCGGGAAGACCCGGGCCAGGTCAACACCTGCGGCGGCTTCGGGGGTGACCCTGCTGTGTCGCGGCAGGCGCGGGCTCCCAACGTCCACACTTGACGAGGCCCCAGACGTGGCCCCACGACAGCACGAAGGGCCCGTGACGGAGGCGCCGAGGGCCCCCTTCCAGGAGGGAGCAGGCAGTAATGGAAGGCACTCGGGGCACACCCTGCAGCACACGGGTGGGAAGGGGCGCTGGTGGCCCGGGCAGGGACGGTGGGCAGTGAGGGGCCTGGGGACAGGCCTGGGGCTTCTCAGAGCAGTGCCGCTGGGGCACGCCGACCGGGCTGGGGTTCATCTGCGCTGGCTAACCTGTCACCGTGGACACCTGAAGCCACTGTGAGGGAGCGAGACAGTGCACTGCGCCACCAGTGGGCGCCGTGGTCTGGGCCTCATCCCCGCTCCCGCCCCCACGGACCCCACTGCCTCAGGAAGCATCAGTGGCACTTCTACGATGTAAGGATGTTCCTGTTTTCAACGTAAGCGCAGTGCCAGGAGCACCCCTGAAATAACAGATTTCCCCAACTCCCTCATCGAGTTTCACTACCCCATCGGTCAGGCAGCAGCCCGACCATCAGCAGGTCCTCCTGGCCCAGCCCCCCCCCCCAGAGCCCAGCGAGGCCCCCCAGAGCCACCCATGCTGCTCCTCCCGCCACCGCTCCCATCCCACCAGCTGAGGCCCCTGGGGCACTGCCTCCATCCCACCTGAGCTCAGGGCTCCTCGGGGACCTGTGTCACCCCAACCCCGCCCCTGCCCTCCACCCCACCTGGGTGCTCCCCCCACTCCCTCCCATCTGTGAGGGAAGCTGGTCCCCCATCTTCCCACCCCTGCCCCCACATCGCCAGACCCCTGGGCACCACCGTCTGAGAACTGGGCTGTGGAGCCAGGACCAGTGCATTCCTGCCCCCGCAGGAGGGCGGCAGGGAGGGTCCCCAACCAGGCTGCTGTGACCTGCCACCTGGAGCACAGTGGTGGCCCCTCCAGCTCTGCGTGCGAGGCGGTGTAGGAGGGTGGGGGACACTGGTAGGCGGAGCAGTAGCTGAGGAAGCCCAGCCACAGCGTTCTCCTGGGGCCCCTGTCAGATACCGTTGTAACTCCCTGCAAATAACATCTCACTAACATAGGTACCAATAACTGCACAGAAAGGAGTTTAACAATCAAGTAAAGAAACAAAGTCAATAACCAACCACTGAGAGGCAGCCGGATCCCACTGTCTATTTACCACAAATCAGAGCCACTTAGGCCCCTGTCCTGCCAGTGTCCCCACAGACTTCCTGCCCCTGCTGGCCCCGCTCCACACTGTACGGGGGCCATGGGGGAAATGAAACGAAGGCCCTATGATGGTGTCAGCGGTTCCCCTGCCCCAGGACCCCCAACTCCTTCCTTTGGCCTCAGACATCAAGTCCCTCTTGGTGCTGAGTCATCCTCGGAAACCGCCCCACCCCATGATGGGCTCGGTGTCGCGCTGGCCCCCACGGCCCCCACGGTTCTGTCCGACTGTTCAAAACGCAGCCTAGACTCCGACAGTGGGTTTCCAAAGAGGTTCTGCCATCGAGGCCGCGACAGCAGCTCACATCCAGCCACAACCATCACCGGCAGCCAGCTGCAAGGCCTCCCGCACGGCCCAGAGAAGAAGGGCTGCGTGGACGCCAAGGGCGCCCGCACACTCACCTTGACTTTCCTCTGGTCGGTGGCCAGGGTCCCGTCGGTCACCAGGCCAGAGCCCAAGGCCTGTTCCAGGAAGCTGCTCAGCTTCTCAGCATCGTGCTCCGTTCTGGAGCCCGAGGTCTCGACCAGCACGTAGAACGGACTTTCTGGAGGGGCAGAGAGCAGGGGTCTCTCAGAGAGAGAGACGGTGCGACCAGGTCAGAGAGCTCTGGGTCAGCGCGGCTGAGACACCCCTGATGGCCGTCGTGCTGCCGACAAGGCCCAGGGCAGCCTGCAGAGCAGGGGTCTCGGCTGAGGCAGAATTTGAGACAATCCGCCCTCGCTGGGGACCTGGAACGGCCAGGGTGACCCCAGGGACAGGCCAGGGGTGCCCCAGGCTGCAGGAGGCTACTCTTACCAAACCCCAGGGGCTGCCACCCGCCACTGGACTTTCACATTGCTTCCTATTTTATACTAAGAATAGCGTCTCGTTTAAAATTTAGAGCATAAAGATCTTGGCATAATTACGATTGCTCTGGACTGCACTGTGTCCTTCCCCACCCCCAAGTTCCCTCGGTGAGGCCCTAACCCATTTCCAACGTGACCATGTGGAGATCGGGCCTTTAAGGAGGTTGGCAGGTGAAGTGAGGTCAGAGGGTGGGGCCCCGGTCCCGACCCTGACCCTGGGGGGCCGGTGCCCTCGCACAAGGAGAAGGAGACACAGACAGGACTCTGAGAAGGCGGCCGTCTGCACGCCAGGAAGCGACCTCACCGGAAACCAACCCTGACGGCACCTTGACGCTGGATTTCCAGCCTCCAGAAATGTGCAGAATAAACTCATTTTGTCACAGTCGCCCAGTCTGTGGGGCTCTGCTGGGGCAGCTCAGACAGGCTGCTTCCTCAGGGCAATCTCGGCAGTGAAGTCCCAGGGCCTCTGGCAGGGACCGGGAACAGGGGCTACACGTGTCGCTGGCTCACTGAGCAGGTCACAGATATTAGGCCCCTGGGTCCTGGACACGGGACGGCCCCTCTGGTGGGCTCAGTGAGCTGCCTGGGGCTGTACAGCTCCGTGCTCGACTGTCCTGCGGACACCACAGCTGCAAAGGGCCAGGTCCTCCTTCCCGCCTCCCCTATTCGCAGGACAAAGGCGTGTTGGCCTGAGCCCTCCTGGGTGGCAGGTGGCAGAGAAGCAGAGGTGGGCAGCTGGGGTCAGTACCTTGCACTGGGCAGGTGAGGAGGAGGTGGTGCCGGACCAGCCGCATGCACTCGGCATCCATGAACTCGAATGCTGACAGGATCTCCCCCAGCATCCCCTTGCAAGTGCTGAAAGTCTGCAGAACCTCAGCAAAGCCCGGGCAACCTGCACAGGACACAGCACCTCAGGCACATGCCGCCAGGGCCGCGCCCACAGCCACCCGAGCCCCTGTCATGCGGCCTGCCCGCCTGACTCCCAGCGGGCAGGCCAGGAAACCTAGCAGAGCAGTGGAGGTGCTGCCGAGGGAAAGGCCATTGGCCAGCACGCACGTCACGGGACTCGAAGATGAGGATGGACCAAGCTCGCAGAGGACCAAGCGCCCACGGTGCGCAGCAGTGGTGGGAAGTGAGAGGAGCAACTTGGGGGTGTGCACGGGGCCAGACACGGACTCCTTTGGGAACAGCCCAGTGGTACTTCGCTCACTCAGGCAGTGCCCCCGACTCCATTGGACCTTGGTAACTCGGTCAGGACACGCTCACAGAACATGACCAGGTCGCTGAGAGGGCCCAGGGCAGGGGGAGCTGACTCTCCAGTGGCCAAAGGCAGAAGGAAGGGTCTGAGTGGATTGCCGAAGGTGGGAAGATCTAAGACACCTGGCTGTGGGAAGGGGTCAGAGATCAGAGGTCACAGAGAGGCCAGAAAGATGTCCTGGAGGGAAGAGCCTGGGACTGTGGAGGCCTGAGGAAGCCCATCGTGCACATCCGAGGAACTCACGGCCCTGCAGCCGGAGCTGCACAGAGGGGCCCGGCTGCAGGGAGAAGGGAGAACTAAGCAGACTGGCAGCCACACGGACAGTGAAGGGCGGGGAGAGGATGGAAGCAGGTGAGAGACGGGAGGGCAGATGGACAGGGCCGCCCATTCGGCCACAGAGAAAAACTGGGCAACACTGCAACTGATGAGATGCCGAGCCAGGGAGACCCGGGGGACGCACTGAAAACCACAAAGGACTAAAGGTGAGGAAAAGGTCTGCAACGTGTCCAAAGAAAGAGACAGACCCTTTGGAGCAGCGTGGAGGCCGCCCCGAGTGGAGGGTCTCCAGCAGGTGGGAGGGAGCAGGTGCCCAGCTGGGCCTGCACACCTGCCGTGGTGCCTCTCGGGAACGAGCGTGAATCAAGGCACTTTCGGGCACAGGGGGGGAGAGGACTCGTCCCCAGCAGACGCGCCCCACAGGGAGCTCGAGGGAGCTCTCACACGGAGGTGCGCCCAGCAGAAGTCTGATGAAGAAGGAATGAGGAGGAAGGAAAATGGATGTTTATAAAATTACAGCATCTACAACTCACGAGATTAAGACAAGTAAGATCAAGATTCACGACAAGAACTTGCAGGTCGGGAGGGGAAAGACACAGCCAGGCCCCCACGATGCCGACTGTCCCAGCAGGGAGACTCGGATGGGACTGACTGCATCGGACTCGGTGGCCCGCAGAAGCTTCCAGAAGACTGAGGTGCAAGACAGGGCGTCCGTCTGATTACCCCACATAATGCAGACACGTGTCCTTGGCCTTGCACCAAAGGACACTATTTCTCACAGAACCTTGGACATGGGCCCCCTAAATAGCAAAGCCAACCAGAGTCGGGGAAGCTGGTTCTATTACAAAATGAGGTGGTTCTGCCCAGAGCCTGCAGGCTCAAGTCCAGATCTGCCCAAACACCAAGACCAAGTCCTGGACCCCTTTAGAAAGAGCGAGAAGCCTGGAGCAACAGGCTGTCCAGTGGGAGCCCCAACCATCCTCTCCCTCAACCCCTGCCCCCCGCTCTGGCAGGGCAGCCCAGAGAACCAACTCCCAGGGGCTGGCACTCCACCTACCAAGGAAGGCCACGTTCACGGCCCTGGGCTTGGGTGGACACAAGATGGACACAGCGGTGATGACCCCCAGGGTGCCCTCCGACCCGATGAAGAGCTGCTTCAGGTCGTAGCCTGTGTTGTCCTTCCTCAGGGAGGTGAGGCAATTCAGGATGGTGCCATCGGCAAGCACCTGGTGAGGGAGAAGAGAAGCAGGGCACTTGAGCACCGGCCACAGTCCAGGAAGGCAGGGGCCCTGAGGTGGGGCCTGGAGCCACCCAATCAGGCTGAAGGAAGGACTCTTCCTGGCTGGGACTCCCACCACCTGCACCACCTGGGACTGAGGGCAGTGCTGGCACCAACCCACCGTTCGCGTGCTGGGGGCCTTCAAAGGCGGACGCACCCCAACCCCAGGCACAGGGCAGACCCACAGCCCAGCCTAGGAGCTGGTGGTTTGCAGGCATCTGGACGGCTGGGTGACGGGGCTGGGGGGTGGCCAGAGCAGCTGAGCCCTGAGCCTGGGGCGGGAACACAAGGGCCGAGCCACACCTGGACGCCTGGCAGTGGCCCCCTGGCTCACCACTTCCAGGCCCAGCACGGTCCCACGCAGCGAGCCGTATCTCAGCAACCGCAGGCCGCCGGCGTTGGTTGCCAGGTTCCCCCCGATGTGGCAGCTGCCCTTTGCTCCCAGATCCAGAGGCACGACAAAGCCCCGCTCCTCCACGTACCGGCTCAGCTCCTCCAGGACACACCCCGCCTGGCACACCAGGGCCCCTGCCGAGACAGCAGAGCTGCCACGATGCTCTGTGCACACCTCCCCCACCCCAGGAGCAGCCACCACGGACCTGGCAAAAGCAGCACATGCCCCCTCCCTCCCCAGAAAGTTATCTCTGTGAGTGCCATGAAAAAGAGGAAACACTGGGAAGGCAAAAATGAGAGGGAACACACACGTGCACACATGCAAACACCCATGTGCACACACACATATGTGCACGCTCGTGGGAGGGAGCAGACAAGAGGGTTGCTACGAGGCAGTCATCCTCAACTGGGGGCAATTCCACCCTCCCAGGGCACAAGTGACAAGCCTGGAGGCGTTTTTGGTTGGTGGTGTCAAGTGGGTGGAGGCCAGGTTTGCTGATCAGCACCCTATGGTACCCAGGTGCCCCCCCCCACATAGAACGATCCAACACCACAACGCTGCCACACCCAAGCAGGAAGCCCCTCACACTCATGTGACCTCATACACCCAAAAGGTGGTTGTGGCCAGGAAATGTCAGCGTCCACAGGAGCCACAGCGACAGCCCATCCCCTTCCCCTCAGGCCCACAATATAAGTCACTAAGTGACCGACTAAATAACACCCCCTGTGTGATCCTGCCCAGAGGGCGGAGCATGAACAGAGCTCGCCCTCTTCCCCAGGCCCGAGGAGCCGGCCCGGCCCGGCCCCAGCAGCCGAGGAGGACGAGGTCGGCACCGACGGGCGGCTGGGCTCACCAGACACGCTGTGGAAACTGACGACCTGGTTCATGAGGGCGGTAGACAGGATGACCTCATCGAAGACAGGGACGCTGCCCCCCACCAGGCCCGTGTTGCCGCCCTGAGGGTTCACAGCCAGGTTCCTCCCATGACAGTACCTGGGACCAGCACAGGCAGGGTGTGCTGTGAACACGCTGGAGGAGCGGTGTTCAGGCCCCTCTTCCCCAGGCCCACGCCACTGGCCCTTGAGACACACTCCAGGTCGGCGCCTGGCTACGAGGGCACCGATCAAGTAAACCCACCTTGCAGGGTCCGGCCTCCAGCAACGGACTCGGAAAGGGGCGCACGTGGAAGCATGCTGCACAGCCACACGAGACTCGGGACCGGCTCGGTGCAGCCTGGCAGCACGGGGGGAAGGGGGTGCAGATTGTAGGGCATGCACGGCTGGGCAGCTTTCATGGGTCAGAAACGGTATGGAAGCCCTGGCTAGTGTGGATCAGTGGACTGAGCACTGGCCTGTGAACCAAAAGGTCGCCAGTTCAAGTCCCAATGTGGGCACGGGCCTGGGCTGCAGGTCAGGTGGCTGGTTGGGGGCTGGTGCGAGAGGCAACTGATAGATGTATCTCTCCTCCTCTTTCTCCCCCCAAAAATAAATAAAACCTTTAAAAATGGCACAGAAAAAAATTTGTACCAATAAATGAACACAGATTTGCCAAATAGAATAAAAGCAACAACTACAATGTCTTAGATACAATGCGATAACCTTAAAACCACCCAAAGGTAGAAAAGATACCAGTGAGCAAACCAAATGCCATCATTTGCTACCTTTGGAGTTGAAAGGAGCGGTTGCTTTTGCAGTTTTTCCTTTCTAGTTTTCTATGTTTTCCAAAAATAAACATGATGGCTTATTGATATAAAAAAATCAAGAAATACATATTTCAAGAAAAGGTCCCTTTCGTGGGAGTCTGCAGCCAGTCCCACGCTGGGCCTGGCCCAGTGCCCAAGGTTCCAAGGTTCAGGGCTCAGCCCTGAACAGGCTCTCGGCTTCCTGGGGTCTGCGCGTCTTCATGAGGAAGCTACTCATAAACCACAGGGAGGCCGGCGGGCTTCTTACCTGAGGATGTGGGACACCTCCTCTGTCGTCCGAGGCTTCAGCAGCACCTTGCTACAGCCTGAGACAGAAAAAACATATTATGTACAGGGAAGGGACCTTCAAGTCCGCACGCAGGGACAAAGAAGGTTCTACTTCCTCGGTGAGGTGACCTGCACACCCAGGGTCACTGCAATCCTCAAGGACAACAGAGGTCAGTCTGTGCACTGCGGGGAGATGGAAGGCTGGCTGGAGGCGAGGGAGGGGCGCCAGCTCGGCTTCTCTACTGCAAGTTTCTAAGTATCTTGTGGGCAGACGGACACGTGACACTGTGTAGACGCTCCTCCAAGTTCACCCACAAATTCAGCAGCTGTTGACTTTCCTGCCTGAAGCAGTCCACAGGATGGTTGCCAAATGGTAACTGTCATCAACCCTCCCACACTGACTAACAGACCTTGTGCTGTGAAGACGGGCCTTTCTTCCATCTCCTGTATTTACTTACTGAGCAATTCAATCATACCAGTGTGATCGGCTCTTCTTTTAGTCACTGGTTACAATTCTTTTCTGTCCTAGTCTGAGCTCCAGACATGGCTGGTGGGAGTCCCCCAAACTAGTCCATGGGCATCCCTACTCACTGCTGGCCTGCCTCCTGCATGTCTGTTTTGCTGAAAAAAACTGGGCTGGAGGAGTGGAGGCAGCAGAGGCAGGAGGCACAATGAGCACAGGTTCTCCCTCCTGACTCTTCCCAGAGCCGGGAGGTACAGTTATCATCCGCCCCTCATTTCGGCCACCCAGCCACTTTGCTGAGCACCCCTGCCCCGCTGCCATGCCTCAACACTGCGTCCTCCCCTGGGCAGGGGTCTGGCTTCCCATTCCTCACTGTGTCATCACCACGCCTCACCAGACAGTGCCTCTGCCCCTCACAGACCCCGCCCTCCTCCCGCTGCCATCACCAGCCAGAGTGAAAGGGGTTCCACTCCACCCACTGCCCTCAGGCAGGTCCCTCTCAGCTCACAGGAGAAGCCAGGACTCACATAGCCCTTGAGGCCTTGGTGGCCTAGCTCCCTTGCTCTCTGACCCCCTCCCTCCTTCACCCACTGCAGCCCTACAGGGATCTCCTGGCTCCTCAGACTCGCCAAGTGCAGCCCTGCTCAGAGGCTTGGCGCTGGCTGTTCCTGCCCCAGGAACGCCCTTCCAAACAGCTTTCCCAGGCTCAGAGAAAATGGCCTCCTCGGCACTCACGACAACCTGCTTCTGCTGCTCAGGAAGCCTCCTGTCCCTCTCACGTCCAGGGCCTGACCTTCCCCTTGGGGTAGGCACACAGAGGTCTGTGGGGCTCACCCATGAGCACATGGTCTAGTTTTAAAAGGAGGAGATGTTTACTGACAATATCCATTTCAAATAAAATCTGTTTCAACTAATATATAAGGTACTGATCAGCTTTTACTAGCTTATGTTTTCTGTATTACCTCTGAGATTAAAATTTTAAATAACCATATTTTTAGACATGCTTTCTCTCCAAAGAAAATCACATACAGGGGCTTTTCTACAGGGCTGCCTGCTGCCAGGCTTCCCAGGAAAAGTGCTGACCAGACAGAGGGGTCCCCAGGAGGGAGCCAGCTGAGCCCAGGCAGGGGAGGCAGGCGGCCCCCTCCCAGGTACTGCTCCCAAGACTCTGGAAGCCTGAGGAACAGGAGAGCCCACAGGCCTGCTGGGGTCCTACCTCCTGGTGAGACCCACCCCCATTCTGCAGTCCCTCTGCCGGGGACACCAGGCCGTGGCAACAGGACAGGTACCCAGCCTGGCTGAGCCCAGAATGGGCATCGCCTGCCCCCACCTCCGGAGTGCCACACGTGAGCCCACAGGCACTGTGCTGCTTGGCTGCTCTCACCAGGGCAGCGTCACCTGATGGGGCCCTTGCTCAGGGGGCTGAGTGCAGCGAGCACTCTGGCCCTGAAGAACAGCCTAAGGACCTCCAAAGTCACCAGCCTCCCCGAAAGGAAGAGCCGTCTCCACTCCTGAGCCTGCACCCCAGTCCCACTTGCCAGGACCCTTCACTCTGGTCTGGAACCCGGCCAACAGCACAGAGCTTGCTGCGCCCATGGCTGAGCACACCGCGTCCAAGAGTGCTGGGTCCAGGCCCAGCCTGAGGACCTGCCTGCCTGGCTTTACAGGCTTCAGTACAAACAGTGTGGTGAACTGCTCGTCTCACAGCTCTCCTTATCGTCACAGCAAGAGGGAAGGCTGGTTTCTGTAAGTGTGCGAGTGGACAGGTTACATTATCTCTGAAACCATTTCAGGAGAGGACACAGGGGTCTGGCTTCACAATCTCTGTAATTAGAAGGGCTGGCTGGGCCTAGGAGGCTGACATCCCCCTCCACTCCCACCCAAAGCTGGTGCATGGACTTGAGGCGGGGTCAGGGGGACAGGTGTGGTGAGAGAAGAAAAGAGGGGGCAGCCAGACCAGCAACCTTGCATCTGGACCTAGGAAGAACACCCACATCCCACCCTCAGAGCCTGTGAAGGCGACCTGACCTGGGTAAAGGGTCTTTACAGCAGATACAAGTTAAGGGTCCTGAGATGGGGCTCTCCTGGGTGAGGGTGGCTGCCACTCCAATGACAACTGTCCTTGTAAGAGAAAGGAAGGGGAAATTGAGGCAGAGACACACAGGGAATGTGGCCAAAAGAGAGGGTTCTATGGACGTGACCTCCCAGGGGATCTGATCACAGAGTCCTAACTGGGCCGGCCACCGCAGGCAGTTCCTCTCTAGGCACAGAACTTTTCCAGAAAGGTTTTTCTTTGCCTTAAGCAGACCTGTCCCTTCTTCTTGTGCAAGTCCGATAACACCCTTTAGAAATGAGCATTACCACCCTCAGGTGAACTCACAATCTCCTTAACCCTCCTGTCATCTGACCCCACCCTCTTGTACTCCTCCTGTGGTACCTCCTTAACTTCGGATGCATAAAAGCTGCAAAACTGTTATTTTCTGGAGCATTTGAAATCTTGCTCTCCAGCATATGTCCTCATTTTGGCTCAAATACATTCCTAAGTACCCTCTACAACTTTGGGCATTTCTTACATCCCCTGTGATGGCAGAGACTAGGATGAGGAAGTAGGCAGCCAAGGGCAGGAGAGGCAAGAGGGATGCCCTGGAGCCTCCAGAGGGAGTGCAGCCCTGCAGACACGGGATCTCCAGAACTGACACAGTAGCTATAAGCATGTGAGGCGTGAACACACAGGCCCCTGGGAGCAGCCAGGGGACTGTCTCATCCTGGAAGTCGAAGGCATCATGCACCACCTATAAACTTCTACAAAGTGTGTCCTCAGAGCACTCTCAAGTCATCCAGCGTGCACGAGACACGTGCACGGGACCCTGGCTCACCTCGCATGGCTCTCAGCCAGTCCACGTTGGAGGCCTCCAGCTCCTCCGGGTCTGTGACGACCCTCCCGGGAACAATGCGCTCAAAGGAGGCCAGGTCTTCCTCAGACACCACGGAGAAGGGCAGCCGCCGCACCGGGTAGCGCTCACAGGTCAGCACCACCTCGGAGCCCCGGGAGGATGGGGGGGAGCTGCCTCTGCGAACCGGGGGACCGGTGCCCGCGAGCCCCGGAGGGCTGACGCCCAGGGGGACCCTGGACGCCCCGTTCCGGGTGGTTGGCTGCCCGTAGGCCCGGTAAGTGCGGGCCGCTCGCCACCAGAAGAACCATGAAGGCCAACCGGGTGCCAGACGGGGCACCATAGCTCTTGCCCTGAAAAGCAAGTGAGCAGCCCTGTAACCCAGGACTAGCCGGAGCCGGGAAAGAAGTGACTACCCCGGGAAGGGGGCAGGGAGGGAGGTGGAAAGGGAGGGAGGCCCGGGCCCGGGATGGTGGGGGGTCCCCCTGCAGGAAGAGCTTCGGCCCTCTTCCTTCGGAACAGAACCAGGATTCGAGGCGTTCAAAGGAATGGGGCGACTGCCACTCAGCGGCACACTTAAAAATGGCTAAAGTGGTCAACTTTGTTTTACGTATATGATACGGCAAGTTTAAACAGTACAGAATCAAAACAAGTTGACGAGGGAGTTTCCCTGTCTGCCCACGTGGGTTCGCACGTAGACCCCGCACCAGTGAGAGGGGATGGGGGTCAGGCGGCCACCTCGTCTCATCAGCCACTCAGAAGACCAGAGCCGCATCTGGGAGGGGCTCTCGCCACTGTGTGACCTAAGAAAAGGCGCGGGCCTCTCTCAGCCGCCACAGCACCCCCAGCAGCGCCCTCCGCCGCGCCCACCGCCCCAGTGGACTAGCAACCCCGCCCCGGCCCTTCTTGTCAGGTAGGACGCGGGACGCCGCCGGGCCCAGGCGCTCGGCGGGGCTCGCTGGGAGGGTGCAGAGCGCGTTCACGCTGGTCCCAGATAGAACCACCGGGCGCGCGCGCCCTAGCGGTCACGTGGCAGGCGCCGCTAGACTGCGTCGACCCCGCAGACGCACACGGCGCCTGCGCTTCCTGCCCAGTGCCTTCGCGACCGCTGCCGCCGCTCTGCCCCGCAGTCCGCGGCCCCTCCGCTCAACCCCCGGCGGGCGCGCGCGCGCACTCACGCCCGCGTCCTCTTCCTGACCGCAACGGTTGTCTTCGTCCGCTAGCGCAACCAGAGCTCCAGTGGCGAGGGCGAGCAGGACTGAGCCTGCGCAAGACAGCCCTCGCTGCCCCGCTCTCCCCCTAGGGCCCGCCCAGGTCCTCAAGCCCCTCCCCTCTGCCCGCCCCCTCTCCCAGGCCCCGCCTCCAACCCCCGAGGACTGACCCCTGAGCCCCCACCTCGACCAGCGTCCCACACCTCCCAGTCGGGGCCTCGACATACACTCCTGATCACGAGGGCCGGCCCCACCGGGGTCCTCCCCGACGGGCCTCACAGGGTAACTGCCCACTCCCTCCTCCTACTCCGGTCCTCCAAGGGACTCTGGCTCCTGCTCCGGCCCTAAGGGCAGGCATCCCTGCTGGTCGGGAGTGTTTTTCAGGCAGAACCCGAGCTAGTTCCCAAAGCTGCCCACCTAGCAGCGGCATCATTTTCCTGAACAGAGGTACTGGCCTGAGACAGGGCTGCTGGAGGCCACAGCAGGACAGCTGCCTTCTCCAGCACCCTCAGGTGTCTGCCTGCCCCTGTACGGCTTGCACGCTCAGCTCCAGCCTGGCCTCTGCAGAGGCCTGCTAGGCTCTGCAGAGGGCACCGGGAGACACAGCGGGAGGGGGGAAGAAACCTCTGGTATCCCAGGGACGGCTACCGCAGCAGCACATGTGCCAGGTGGCAACCTCATCCCATTCTCTCAGGGTGCCGCAGCAGTCAAGAACCCTCGCCCCAGAGGTCTGAGTCCCAGCTCCAATGGGACACCCCCTCCCAGAATTCCCGTGGCACCAGGCAGGTCATATCCACTTCCCCAGTGGCTGAATCCCGGCCGAAGGTCACTTTCCCCATCAGTTGTGGGGCCAGCCCCCCTCAGAGCAGAGTCCTAATCATTCCCCTCCCACACATTGCCAGGTCCAGAAACTCCTGCTACACCCCTTAGCCTCCAGGCTTAGGGGAGGCAACTGCTTCCGAGATTACTGTTCCCTAGACCCTCTGGTACCCTAAATTAAAGTGTTACAGTAACATGTGCCTTCTACTTTCCTGACGGATACAGCTCCTGGCATGGAATAGGGTCCACTCCCACCTGTGGCTCCCACAGGTCCCACTGAGGCATCTCCAGTGCCTGTCTGCTCATCCAGCTCCCATGTCATGTCCCAGTGACGAGGGTCTGTAGTCAGATGACCACAGACAGCAAGAGCATTCAGGTAACTCTGACTGAAGACAAGTCCACTGACAGCTTTGCCAAGAACAGACCAGTCCTTGCCAGACCACTGGCCTTGTACCTGGTGCCAAGTGTGCCAACATGCTCCTGTAACAGGGTGCAGCCAAGGAGGGGCCCAAATAGGGATTTGTAATGGGGTCCAGAACTCAGGGTGTCCAGGAAATATTAGAGAAAAACATATATATGATGTCCTCACCCGCACCAGTCTGAGCTGGGGGATGGGACACATGGAGCAGGGCCAATGCTCTCATTGTTTGCATAGCAACAGCTTTGCAGCTAACCTCTAGCATGGTCATTTAACATATCTATAGCCTTTAAGTTGTTGTATAGATATGTTAAATACTGTGGCCATGCTTTGAGCCAGGGGAATGGGAGTAACTTCAACCCAGGATGTAACTGGGAAGCAACCCCCCTGGTTACAGCACCTGTGTGAGAGCTTTGCGATGACTGGCTCCACGCCAGGGGGCCCGTGCCTGCCCAGACTTACTATGGCAGCCCAGTAAAGCTGGAAGAATATAGGAATGGTGGCATGGGTAACTGATTGTGGGAGGAGTCGGAAATGGGGCTGCAGAGGAAGATTGGCACGGGAATTTAAACCCAGGCATGGCAGCCATATCAGGTCAGGACCATGCGGCTTGGGCAAGAGTTAGGACCACACAGCTTGGGGGTGCTCCCTTTTGCCACGTGGCTCAGGAAGCAGGAGAGACTTTGCCTGGAAGAAAAGGGGTGAAAGGACTCTTGCTGCAGGGCCGCGAGAAGGCGCCACATGGCTTTGGATAAACTGGAGATCGTGGTGGCGACACAGCTGAAGGTGCCGGGAGCTGGAATCTCGGATTTCTGCTTCTTTTTCTGACATACAGGACCCCGGACTGGGCAGGGGGAAAAGGAAGGACTGTGTGTGTTCATAGGTATTCCAAAGAACTTTAGTATTTTAATGAAGACATTAAGTCATTACTCTAAGCCTGTATAACTTTAAAATAAAGAATTCCTTTCCTTTTCACCAATCTCTGGCATCAAGACGTCTTCCCTCTGGTAGCAGGCAAAGCAAACCTAGTACAGGGGAATCCCTGGAGAAAAAAAGGGGGTCCTTTTGATAACAGCATATTGTTCACCACCTGTGCCTGGCCCCCGCTGTCTGTTCTGTAACACTGCAGTGATAATGCTGCAGCTAAAGTCTACGTCCTCACAAACTGCATCCCGAAGGTAAATTGGGAGTGTTAAGTACATCCCGCTGCACCTTCCTGTCAAGGATGTGTTTGCCTTTATTTTTGGTTTTTGGGGGTTTTTTAATTTCATTTATTTTTAGAGGAAGGGAAGGGAGAGGGAGAGGAACATCGATGTAAGAGAGAAACATTGATCAGTTGCCTCCTGTACAGGCCCTGAGTAGGGAGCAAACCCACACCCCAGGCATGGGCCCTAACTGGGAATTGAACCAGAGACACCTTTTTTTGTGGGTGTCAACCGGGCCACATGGGCCAGGGCATCACTTGTAGCAGGGAGAGGACAGGATGACCCAGAGACTTCCACCTGGCCCCTCCTGCCTTCATGGCCCTGGCTCCACAGGTCAGTCACTGCAGTGGTGCTGCTGCCAGCTGTTAGGTCTGTTCGGTGACATGGGCAGGCCCTGGGAAGGTGGCCACTGAGGCACATGTGACTTCCCACCTGAGGGCCTGAGGCCCTCTGACGAGCAGACCAGTGGCATCTGAGGCCTCTGGTGACTTGTAACGATTCAGAACCAGTGAGAATGACCAGCCCCACCCCAAAACGGTGCTTCCTTTCCCCCAGGTGTCAGCCCAAGCAGCAGCTGCAGGTGGCCTTGCAGTGCTTGGAGGGGCAGAGTCCGAGGCGGGGGACTCCAGGTCTGTGAACGGTTTCCATCTGGAAAATGGGTGAGGCTGTACCTCTCCTTCATGGGGACCTCACTGGGTTTCTAGACCCTGGCCACCAACTCTCAAGGAAGATCCTAAGAACTCATTAGTCCCCAGAGGGTTCCAGACAAAGCACTTCCAGTCTTCGTACAGCGACTCAGAGGACCCCCCCCACCCACATGCACCTTTCTCATGAGCCTGGGAACCACCTTCTGACGCTGTGACGCAGCCAGGGCCCGGAGCTCACCGCTGACCCAGGTGAAGCCCAGGGTCCCACCCAGGCCCTCGGCCAGCAAAATAAGCCTCTTCCAGTTCACCTCATGTCCCCTTCGAAATTCAACACAGAATCTACTTGCCACCTCTGAACACAACGCTAAAGCTCTATCATTTCCCAAAATGATGCATTCTCTAATGTTTGTTCCAAAAAATACTTTATTTATTAAACAATATATCCATAATCTATAACATGATCCAAAAATACAGATATACATCTTTACATTATTTAATAAAAAGATTTACAATATTACCTTTCCTTTACAAAGGAAACATAGATAATAATTCCTTGGAAATAAAATGTAACATTCGTGTTAAAGCTGCATCATCTTTTGGATGAACTGTGGTAAAGGTGAGCACCACAACACACACACAGAGGAAGAGAGAAACTTCACAGAACTGTCTCCTGAACGAGAGAATTTCCCGGATGTGCCCTTTCCAACACCTCTCAGCACAGCAGTGACAGCCAACTGCTGTTCACTCGACACTGAGGGCACTTTAACTCTGCAACGCCCATGAGAAGCCCCCAAATCTGGCAACAGGCAGGCCCTGGCTGTGGCACGTGGACAGCGTTATTGCTTGAAGCAGCCCCTGCCAAGGGCTGCCAGGGACGGGACAGGAGACAGTGCAGTGTGGCCATCAGGAACAGCACCAACACACGGCTGGCTGTTGTCCCCATGAGTCCCAGCACACCTTACCCCCTGGCTCCCAGGGCCCTGACCGGTCCTGGTCTCATCCACCTGCCCAGGGGCCTCGCCGGCCCAGCCTCAGCCCAGCCAGAGCTGCAGGGGCTCAGCCTGACAGCACGTTTGTTAGTGCAGGTGCATCCTGTTGGAGAATGAGGAGGTTTCTCAAATTGTGGGCTGAGAACAAGGAAAATAGTTCTGCTTCTCTGAACAAGATACTGCTTCCCTCACCAGTAAACTCCCAGCCATGGAGGCCGCACCCTCACTCAGAGGGCCCAGCCCAGATCCTGCAACCCGGGGGATGGGGTTGGCTCCACAGCTGTGCCCAGGAGCCAATGTGGGCCCGGCAGGCACTGAAGGGGCTCTGGCCAGACATTCTTTCCCAACCAGATGGCCACTCTGGCGTCTTTCCGACTCAGGTGGTATTAACAGTCGGGAACAGCAGTCAGTCATCATCCAAACAACCTCCCAGGGCACATTCCTATCATGCTCATGTTTTCCATTTTTGTCAAAGCTGTCTGCATATTATCTTGGTGACATTACTGCAACTGGCAAAAGTATACACTAGATAAGCACAGAAACTTACAAAAGGTTGACACATGGGATGCTACACAGTGACGAGCAGGATGACAACACTGAACTTTAAAGACAGAGGTGGGCCAATTTTCCTGGGAAACGAGCGTGGCCTCAGGAATCCAGGTGAAAATCAGAACTAGCTGGCCATCAACCTGCATCCACACTGTGTTCCCATGGCAACAGCAGGCGTGTTCAGAGATGAAGTGCAAATACTCAATTAGCTGCTAAAACATCATCACAGGTTTACCGTACTTACCTATCCTGTGCACAGAAGCTGCTAAAGGAGTGAAGAAACAACGCCCCCACTGATCCCCCACCACCTTTAAATGCCCGTCACAGGAAGCTCAGGTACTGAACACAGGTGGGCCTCACGTGCCTGTGCCCACCTCCTCCCTCAGAGCATGAAGGCTTAAGATCTGAGAGTGCTTGTCAGGCGGCTGCGGACCCTTCCCCTAACCACCAGCTCGAGGCTGGCAGGGTCACGTGGGCTGAGGTGACCCACCTGCAGTCCTTGGAAAGCAAGTCCTGCCCCCTAAGGTCACTCCAGAAAGCACAGCAGCTCGGACACATCCCGTGCAGGCTAAGACCACCGCAGACTGCAGATTCCAGCTGGGCCCCAGCTGCCCTCTGACATCCGCTCCCGTTGGCCAAATGTTGGCTCATTTGCGGGGAGCGGCTGGTCTAGAGCGCAGTCTCGCCAGTTCCTGTGCCCCACGCCCTCTCCTGGGTGAAACACTGGAAGCTGAGAGAAGACGGTGACGGAGGCCATGGGGAGGGAGCAGCCACTCCAGGACCCTCCCGACAAGGAGGGTGCGTTCTTCTGTCGCTGGGCATTTCACCTCGATTCTACCTCCTGGGTTTTTTTCTGGCAAGAGGACCCTTACTGGCCTGAATTACATCGGTTAGATCCCGGAGAGTTCAGGGACACTCCCAGAAGCCACGCCCTAGGTACCCGTCACACGTGGCTCTTGACACAGCAAAGGTACGTCATACCCCCAAACAGTACAAGAGAGGTGGTTCAAAATCGGTTTGGTGAATGCTGACTGAACGGAAAGTACACACTAATTTCCTAACTTCATTCCGGAACTGCTATTGTGGCACAAGAAATTCACAAATCACATCACATAATTATAGTCCCTGGGACAAGCTGCCGACCCAGGGTGCAACACAAACAGGTTCAAAGTCGGCTCTTAGTAGACTGGACTCACTGCACACACAAACCCACTGTCTTCATGCGGCTATAATGACTTCGTCTTCACAGTAAAAACATTCGGAATTCCCAGAGACACAGAACACCAGCCAGTCTGTGATGCTGTCCCTCATTGCACTGGTCGTGGTGACCGACGGCCCGTCTGCCAACCCGGAGCATTTACTCCAGACAGTAAGGCCTCAGGAGGAACCGGCAGTCCCGAGGAAGAGGCAGTGCACAGCCCAGCAGAGTGGCTGCCAGCTCCGCCACACCGGTCAGGAGGGCGCCTTCCGGCCAACGCCCCCCAGACTGCACACTGCTCACTCGGCACAGAGGGGTGCACGGGACGGGCTCTCAGGGCTGCTTCAGATACCGTGGACCACACCGGGCTCACAGCTCCAGCGGCACAGTGATGGCAGTGTCTGTTCCCCGCTGGCATGTCCCGAGGGGCCCAGCACACCGCACACACACACCCATGGAGTCACTCGGGCTCCCAGCGGGACCGTAGTGCTCAGTGTTGGGATCTGTACAGAAAGTCATGAGAACAAAGTCATGTGGCAAGTCCCCATAAGACCCCTCTCTGTGCAAATAGGGCTCACGGGGGTTCTTGTTGGTTCTAGGAAATATCCAGAATTACAACTGGCCATTGTTATTAAATATTGTTCGAATCAAGGTAGTTTCAAGATGAAGATAAAATATTGCCACGCAAATGACGGAGTGTATCAACTTGCTTTCTGACCCCGGCATCAGCCTCTGCCTTACTTCTTCTTCCTCCTTTCCTGGACACAGCGTGGACAGAACCTGTGACGAGAGAAGCGCAGCACCGGCCCTTTGCAGAGCTCCACTAGCATCAGGAGGCCGAGACCCCCGTCTCCCGGTGAAGCAGCACCAGATGAAAGACGCCCACACACCGTGTGCAGCTCTCCCACCAGAAAAATCTCCTCGGCAAGTCGCTCTATCTAGCATGTCTGTTTTGAGCTCGATAGATACAAATCAATCAGCAAAACCTCTTTCAGTCATGAACATTCCTCCTGATCAAGCTAATGGGTCACCAGTGACCAAAGGGGAGACAACACTGCCGTTGAGCTGAGGCCTGCACGGGTGCAGCACAGCACGCCTGCCGAACCACCCAGCCCAGACTCCCGGGGCCTCAGACACAGCGCATGCTCTGGGTCACTCCTGGACCATGCAGCCACAGGGGCACGAGGGACACCCCCGCCGCCCCCATGCCATTTTCCACCACGGTTCCCTATCGAGAAGCAGCTGATTCCCGTGTGGCCGAGCTCACTCAGCCTAGCCTGTGTTAGTGAGTGGACCCTGAGGACGCCCGTGCTCCTGCCTGCCCCAACCCTACCCCTGCCCTCTGGCCCCTGCCCCTTGGCCCTGCCTGACCTGTACCCCTGACCCAGCCAAGCCCTGGAGAAGCTGCGCCCGGCATCATGTTTGCGCCCAGCATACACGCTGAGAACACGCAGTCAGCTCACATCTCATTGGCAGGAAGGAGCCTGCACACTCAGGAATCCCTGAAAGGACCACCAGGAAATTGGGAGAAGGACAGTGGGGCTGGGTCCCTCCCCGCCTCCCAGCTCTGCTTGTCCTCCCAAAGGTGAACCTGTTTTCCAAGGCTGGCCAAACTCTTCCCCCGGAAGCCCCCAAACAGCCCAGCGTGCCCAGAGTCACTAACCAACACCCTCCCACCGCCTCATGCCCCTTCCGCGGGCTCTGGAGGCGGTCCCGCCTCAGGCCGCCCAGATCGGCCGGGGCCCCACCTGCGTCCCTGTCACGCTCCCACCACCCACGCCAAAGGCCACTGTCAGGGCGGCTGTGCCCCTTCTCAGACTTGCCAGTGCATCCCGGGGCCCAGGGAGCGGCTGGGACAACACGTTTGAGACACTGAGCCCCCACCTCGCTGCCATCTGCTAAGGCCCCGGGTGAGGCAGACTGTTCTTGGGGCTTCCAACCCCACACACACAAGCAAGGAGGGCGACGCCTCCAGGACTCCAGCACAAGGAAACAAAATGTCACGGGGATAAATGACGTCACGGGGATAGCTGAACGCCAGGGTGCAGGAAAGGCGCAGCTTGGTCCTGGACACGAACATCCCCGACCAGGCAGAGCGCCGCCCGCCTGGGCCCACCTGTTCCATGCTGTGCTCCCCACCGCGGAAAACTTCCCCAGTGAGAAGGAGCCCTCGGTCCTCGCCTCTATTTAGGGCTGCCTCTGCCTCGCCCAGAAGAGCCAGAGAGCTGACTCCACAGAGCAGCAATCTAGGTGTGTGCAAATATGAAAAAAGGTACCCCGGGTGAGGTGGGCACAAGATGGCCCTCACCAACTTGGCCAGGGACCAAGGACCAGCATGTGGCACAGCCGGGTCCCCACAGCCACACCCAGAGCACCGTCGGCCCCAGCAGAGAAGGTCAGTGGAGCTTGGCCCAACCACCCCTCCCACGCTGTTCTCCATAAGGAGACAGAGCAGCGCCCCCTACTGACCATTTTCCTTTGGGCTTCGTGGTCAGGTCCACACAGGCGAAGTGGAACCACTCGATCGGACACTGTGAGGTGGGGGAAGAGCACAGTGAGTGCGCTGCGTGCCAGACACAGCGACGGCTGCCCCTCTCCACCCAGGGCCCCACAGGGAAAGGCTGCCATGTCCAGCCTCCTATTTCAAGTGCCTGCCACTCACGTCCGGATTGTCACAGCCAATCATCTCCCCGTAGGACACCTGGTGGCAGAGGCAGTAGGTAGGCTCGTTGGGGTCCACAGGCATGTCCAGCACGTCGGAGGGATGCACGGACAGGATGGTGTCGGTGAACTCGGACCTGCAGGGACACAACAGCGCTGAGCAGCAGGCAGGTGGGGCACATGGTCCCCGTGGTTCCAGACAAGGCGGCGCCAACGCCTGTGAAGAGAAAAGCACTCACCTGCTGGCACTGCCCAGGCCCACTCAGGCACATGAAGCCATCCTGTCTCGGTCCCACTGCGGAGACAGGACCTGCTCCCAGGGCTCCCCCACCAGGCCCTCGGCCTCCTGGGCCCCTCAGCCTCCTGGGCCCCCCTGCCCCCTCGCTCCTGCCCTGGGGCAGGCACCTGAGAACCGTGCTCAAGTCCCACCCGAGACAGGCTGGTGGTCTGCACGGGCCTGCCCTCGCCAGCCCTCCCCTGGTCCCTCCCATGAGAAGGGCTGGCATGTTCCCACCTGCACCCCACACACCTTCTTTACCCTGAAACCCACGGAACCCACCAGCTCCCCTCACCCTCCCAGGAGATGTAAATCTTGGGAGTCCCCTCCCCCCACCCAGCGGCCTGCCCATCAGCAGGGACACTTCTGACCACCCACTGGAGAGCAGGCCCAGGGCACTTTACCCTCCGCTCCCCGCAGGGTCTCTGACCAGTCAGCATCCCACCGAGCCCGCCCCTCCATCCAAGTGCTGCCCACAGCTCTGCAGCGGGGTGCGTGGGGCAGATGTCCACCCGTCACAGGGAAGGGACTAGGCACCTACTCTTAGTGGGTTTCGGTGTTTTTGAGACAAAGCTTTGGGCTGTAGGCCACACAGACAGTGCGCTCCCTCGATGTAGGCCCGCCCCCAGCCGGGAGCATCCGGGCCTCGTGCTCTGCTCCTCAGAGGACTGGGCCCAGCGGCCAGCCAGGACAATGCCACCATCACCACAATGGGACACAAGGGGTCTGCTTCCCAAAGGGCGTCACCCCTCACCTTTTCCTGTCTAGGAAAGCCCCCAGGCGCCTTTGCAGTCACACGCCAGGCTTCACAGTGTCCCCGGCTGCCACACAGCCCCCACACAGGCAGCATCCCCCCAGCATGCATGCCACCCACGAGGGCTGCAGGCCTGGCTGAGTCTCCGCCCTCTGCTGTGTCTCTGGAAAGAGACAGGATTTACTCTTTCTACCTGAAAGCCACAAAGGTCACAAGGACTGGCCCATCGGTGGGCGTTAATGCCGCACTGGGCAGTGTCACAGCAGTCCTCAGGCCACACAGAAACCTCCGTCTGTCACTGTGGCTCTGTCTCACCCACCTGCTGGTTCACCAAGTAACAAAAATGTCCACCCCAAAGCAGGTGCACTTCCAATCCCCTCAAAAGCAGGTGTCCTGCCAGATCTAAGGAACTTTGGCTTCAACTAGAACACAGACAGCCTGTGTTTCCAGCCAAAGGTCAAACTGAAATCCCTGGAACTGAGGAGGACAAGTGGTCGGAATCCAGGCCCTGGGAAACCCCACCGGTCACAGTGCTTCTGAAGGAAAACTGAAGACAGGGATGGAGAACTTACATCGTAAAGAGACTTGAAAGACTCACCTGGAAAGAGTAGAGAAAGGGACCTCTCCTCTGACCATAACAGAGTAATCGGTACTGACCCTGTCCCCTTACTGTGAGCAACTAGAGAACCAGACAAAATACACGGAACAACTGTTTCCAGACCCTGGACACATGGCAGCGAGCAGTGCAGTCCGAGCCCGCAGGGGGGGAGCCACGCAGCCTGGTGTCGAGAACAGAGGAGGAAAGTCAACAGTTCAGGGAGCGTGAGGCTGCTAGGCTTCGGGGGCAGGGTGCCGAAGGCAGGAGTGAGAACACACTCCAGAAATCTGCAAAGAAACCTTTTGGAGTCTTAGCCAAAACCCAAGCTCTCTGTGCACAGGCCAAGAATCCTGAGGGCTGCGCAGAGAGCACCGGGCAGTTGGGAGCCTAAGGACTCCCAGCGTTTACACGCCGGGCGGACACTTCCCTCCGACCAGCCAGGACGGAGACCTGGGAACACCAAGGGCCTTCGGGAGAGGACTCGGAAGGGTCACACCTCAGCCAAAGGGCTTCACCAACCCCGGAGTCCTGGCTGCCCTAACCTGTGGGTTAGCAAAACACAGCCTGCGACTGGCTGCCTGTTTCTGTAAACAAAGCTCGTCTCGCAGTTTGATATGAAACAGCACAGCTGAGTGGCAACATAAACAATTTGGCCTGTGAGCCTAAAATATTTACTGTCTTGCCCTTAATAAGAAGTTTTTTAATATATTTCAAAGACAAGCCTACAAAAGATAAGGTAATCCATGGACAATTTAACTACTGACCATAATTTTAAACATAAAAAAAAGCAACGCGGGCTGGTTCGGTCACCTGGAGCATAGACCCACGCGCCAAAAGGTTGCCGGTTCAATTCCCAGACACAGGGCAAGCACAGGAGGCAACTGACCAGTGTTTCTCTCACGCCGACGTTTCTCTCTCCTCCCAACCCTTCCTCTCTCTCTAAAAAAATCAACAAAAACATCCTCCAGAGACTGAAGCCTTAAAAAATAACAACAAAAAAATAAATTAAAAAATATTCCAGCCCTGGTTGGTGTAGTTCAGTGGATTGAGTGCTGGTCTGCAGACCAAAAGGTCATTGGTTTGATTCCCGGTCAGAGCACGTGTCTGAATTGTGGGCCAGATTCCCCAGTGGGGGACCCTTGAGAGGCAACCACATAATGATGTTTCTCTCCTTCTCTCCTTCCTCCCTTCCCCTCTGGCTAAAAATAAAAAAATAAAATCTTAAAAAAAATTTGCCACTAACTTCTTATCACAATCAATGCAAGATGGAAAACAGCAGGACAGCAACCCCAGCGCTTACCGAAAAAGGTCCACCTTGACGCCTACAGCCTCCGAAAACACCCTTCAAAAACGAAGGTAACTAAAGACATTCTCGGGGAAATCAAAACAGAAAATCCACTACGCTCAGCAATACCTGCACCGTGAAAATGTTAAAGGAAGTTCTCCAGGCAGATGTGAAGCGACACCGGACGGAAATCTGCATCGACAAAAAGAAGTAAAGGCCTAGAAATGGGAACCATGATGCCTGACTATAAAGCTTTGTCTCACATTTTAAAATCTGTTTAAGATAATCTATGGTTTAGACCTAAAATCATAACGTTGATCTATTGTGAGGCTTATCACCTGCAGAAGGTAAAGTTTTCCCAGTAGCACCAGGGACAGGAGCAGGAAGGCAGAGCACGGGTGCAGGTTCTTATGTGAAACAGCTGACAGTCAGACCCCGCAAGGGAACGGCGGAGGCTGTCGGACTGGATAAAAGCCAGGCTCGACCACTGGCTGCCTTCGGGAGACCCACTCCAAATACAAAAGCATGAACACACTGTCAGTAAAACAACGAGGAAGGAAACACACACTGTGCAAAAACACTCATCAGCAGAGCAGAGGGACTACAGTGATATCAAAGTAGATTTCAAGACAAAGAATATAACAAGGAATAAATAAATAAGTTTTACAATGTTAAAGAAGGCAATTAAAAAAAAACCTAAGTGGGTATGTAGAACCAAGTAAGACCTTTAAAATACCTGAAGCAATCTGACAGAACAGAAAAGAGAAACCAGCAAGTCCATAGTCGGAGATTTCAACTACCCTCTCTCAATGATCCACAGGACGGAACGGAACACCAGGGAGAGTGCAGAAGACTCGAACGCCACCAACCATCTAACTGAGGTCTGCAGGACACTGCGCCCCACAACGGTAAAACACACGCTTTCCAAGTGCGTCCGGGACGTTTGGCAGGACAGACCATGAACCACACCTCAAGTCTTAATCGACTGCAGAGCATTTCGATTACAGAACGTTCTCTGATCACAACAATGTTTAAGCAGAAACTGGAATCAGAAAGTTACATGAAAAACCCAAAATGTGTACTTGGAAACTGAGAAACCTTATACATACGCTATGGGTCAAAGAAAAACCATCAAGGAAACTTAAAAATATTTGGAATAGAATAAAAAGAACATATTGAAGTTTGTAGGATGTAGCTAAAACTGAAATTAGAAAAAAATTTACAGCTTTAAATATTTGTTAGAAAAGGAGAGTATGAAAATCAATGATCTAACCTACTTCTACTTGAAATGCTACAGAAAAAAAGCAAAGTATATCCAAGTGAAGTAGTAGGAAGGAAATAATAAAAGTAAGAGCAGAAATAAATGCAACAGAAAACGGGGGGCGGGGGGGGGAACGACACACCGGACAGACCAATGAAGCCAAAAGCTAGTTCTCTGAAAGAATCAAGACGAAATGAAAAAAGAGATACATTACTGTGTCGGAGCTGGGCAGGCCTTACAAAACCAGAAGAATAGAAGAATCGCATAACATCATAAACAACCTGACGTCAACAAATCAGACAATGTATATGAAATAGCAAATCTCTGAAAGACACATCATGAAAGTGACTCAAGAAGAAACAGAAAGCCCGAACATTTCCTTAACTTTAAAACAACTGAATATAGCATCAGACCGTATACTTAAAATGAGAACATCTTACCGTATGTAAATTATTCCTCCCTGGCTCGTGTAGCTCAGTGGATTGAGTGCGGGCTGTGAACCACAAAGGGTCTCTGGTTTGATTCCCAGTCAGGGCACGTGCCTGGGTTGCGGGCCAGGTCCCCAGTGGGGGCCACATAAGAGGCAACAGAAACATGATGTTTCTCTCCCTCTCTTTCTCCCTCCCTTCCCCTCTCTCTAAAAATAAAGATACAAGTTAAAAAAAATAAGTTATTCCTCGCCCTGGCTGGTGTAGCTCAGTGGATTGAGCGCGGCCTGCGAACCAGACAATCGCGGTTCGATTCCCAGTCAGGGCACGTTCCTGGGTTGCAGGCCGGTTCCCTGCAGGCCAGTTCCCAGCAGGGGACGCACAAAAGGCAACCATACATTGATGTTTCTCTCCCTCTTCTCCTTCCCTTTCCCTCTAAAGATAAATAAACAAAATATTTTTAAAAAAAGAATTTAAATAAAATTTTAAAAAAAGACTGGGTAGATAATAGTACCATAATAAAATCTTCTTAAAAAAAAATAAATAAGTTATTCCTCAATAAAGTCATCCCAAAGGTCAAAGCCCAGGAGTGCACTGGTGGGGACAGAGCAGGAAGAGCAGGAAGGGCGTAGGGCGCACACTGTATTAAGTGGGGGTCATGCTGGCCTGGGCGGTGGGCAGAGGTCACAGCCCTGAGAGCAGGTCAGAGGACCCGGCTATAGGCATGTGCCTCTCACAGCAACTCATTCAATGACACGTGTGTTGGGTCGTGTTCTGCATCCCTGCACTGCTTCAAAACACAAAGGCTGGCACGTGGGTGTTTTTAAAAGATGAAAGTTTAAATACTAGATTTAATAACCAAGACCTTTGCCTTTTTTGTCAAGATCCAATTATTCTGACCTCACCCCATAACTGTCCGAATCACCCCCACAGAAGCCAGCTGGGGCCTTCCCATGTTCTCTGAAGCATAAACAGCACTCTGAGAAGCCAATGCCACCACCTGGGGTGGCAGGTGGGAGGCAGCCTTAAATGAACCCTCAAGGTCGACTTACGTGACGTGTTCACTTAATATATGTAACCACACAATAATGTATGCAAAAAATAACATTAACGTATGAAACAATCACCGATTCACAGGCAGTGACTACGGGGTGGCTTAGCCCCACCTGTGAGTCGCATGGCTCAGAGGGGAGGCTGCAGTGCTGCCGCTGCCCCTGCGCCTGTGCCGGGCCGGTCGGCTGTGCCGGGCCGGTCGGCTGTCCCCGAGCACCCGCGCCTACCGGCCGCATGCAGGGCTGCCTCAAGGTTCGAGGGTGGATGGACCCACCCACGAAAAGCCCACAGAACTACTGCCATTGGGGGGCGTGTGAGCACTTCCTTGCTGCCATTGGTGTTGACGTCCAGCAAATACCAATGGTGCAGTTTGGGGCGAAAGAGAAAAGAAAAGGCCTCTCACCCTCCTTTATGCTTCTTTTTCTTTGGAGTGTCTTCCTCTGAGGCCCTCCTGCCTCGGCCCCGGGAGCCTCTCTTCTCTTTCTGGCTTCGACCTTCTGAAAGACCACGGAGACCCGATTTTCATCGCAGCATTCACTAAAGCAGGACAAGACTCATCCAACTACGACATTTACCATCGGGCTCCTGGCACGTTTATCGTGGTCAGGAGCAACACACAAAGAGAAAAAAGACAGACTTGCTTTTTAAGCCTCGTCCTCCAGAGCTCTCGAAGTCGCTGCCCTCCAGCTTGTCCTTCAGGTCTGCTTCGAAGCGTGCCAGGTCTGCGTCGAGCCTCCGAATATGTTTGTCCACCTGCACAGAAGGACCTCACCCGTCACGGTTCACGGGAAAGGAGTGGCGGCCCGGCGCCAGCCAACCGCGCCACACGGGCCTCTCCCTGAGCCTCCTCCTCACAAAGCTCACGTGGCGAGTTGCCGTGTCCAAGTGCGCAGAAGGGCCACCTCGGACACCCCAACTGCACAAACCCTGCTCGGGAAAATCCACGGTCAGCAGGACCAAGACACAGAGCTATGACACACAATGGACTAGGAAGAGGAAATCTGAGACAGGTCCGGACTTCAAAACCTGGGGAACATACAGATTCTTAAACAGAATAAGAAAAGAAGGGTAACAGCCCTGGCTGGTGTGGCTCAGTTGGCTGGAGCACCGTCCCATAGATCGAAGGGTCGTGGGTTTGATTCCTGGTGAGGGCACTTGGCTGGGCTGCAGGTTTGCTCCCTGGCTGGGATGTGCCTGAGAGGCAGTCAGTTGATGTTTCTCTCCCTTTCTCCCCGCTTCCCCATTCTCTGAGCATCTCAGTGGGTGAGGACTCAGAAAAAATACATAAAAAGGATGGTTTCCCCAGCCAAATAAATAAGCAAAAGGGCCACGACAACAAGAAGTAGCCATGGCCCCACCTGTGCTCATCTGGAAGCATCACTGCCGAAGCCCAAGCTGCCCACGCGGCCTCCTCACCATCTCGTAGGTCTGCATGGCCAGCTGCACCTTGTCATCGCTGTACTCCTTGCACTTGCTGTAGGCGCTCTGGATCTTCTGCAGGTGCTGCACCCGCTGCTCCGCAGACAGGGTCTTCACCGTGGAGATGTACTCTGCAGCCAGGAGGTCGATCTCCGCTTTCTTATCTGACAGAGGAAGGGCAGAGCGCTCGTCCTTGCACAAGATGCCAGGGCCCACTCACCAGAGCAGCAACAAATGAAGCCTGACAACATCACATGTCAGCAAAGTGAGTGACATGCACCCCAAAGCACTGCAGGTGGGGACACGTGGGCACAGCCCTCCGCAGACAGCATAGAACCACGGGGCTGGGCGGGTACTGCGGCCAGGGTGAGGTGCCCGGCACCATCCTGCGTGTGGCTGCTGTCCTAGGAGCACTCATGGTGCCCACTTAGACTCTCGAAAGTCCTCATATGAACAGTGAAGTGTGTGCTCACCTTACCCAACACCTGACGCCCTACTCTTAGGCACCCACCCTAAAGATTCAGATGCCAGGATGCACGTGGGAAAACATCATAACTGCAGGAAACAAGAAACCACCCAAATGTACAGTCCTCCCTCGAATAGACAAATGAGCTGTGGTCCAGCAACAAAAAAGAACCAGCTGCCACTACATGGAACAGCATCGATTAACCCACAGAAGGTATGCACAAAGGAGGACACCTGTGTGTTTCATTGACATCAAGGTGGGGCAGACACAGCTTTCGCCCTGGCTCAGAGGTGAGGAAATGACATTGCAGGTGGGACTCAGGGTAGAGGCCCCAGCGAGGGTGCCAGAAGCTCCACCTCACCAGGAGAGTCTCACCAGGTCATGATTATAACTGTTCGTGCTTATTTCCGAATGTAAATCTATATTTCATAATAAAAGAAGTCTCTGTATTCACTAGTCAGGATGCTGTGCCTTAGCGAAAAACCACAACTGCGCCAATAATGAAAACATGAAAATCACCCTCACCCAAGCTCGTCATCACAAAAGATGAAGCCTCAGGGAAGAAGACAGCCCAAACCTTCCAAACAGGATTAGTAAAGAGATCACGTGTGTAAAGAGTGAGGGATCCAAATGGCTCCAGATTTCTCCATAGCAATATGAAAACTAGGGGCCAGGCCGCAAGCCTGTCACACGCGGGGGGGATGACGAGCCGAAAGGCTACACCCAAACCAGGAATTGACTGTGAGGCCAGAATAAACACATTTCCAGACACACAAAGTCAGAAGAAATTTATCATCCCAAATACCCTTTTCCAGGAAGCTACCAGGGAAAAAGCTCCTCTGAAACAAGGGGGTTAAATCAAGAGCGAGGACGTTTATGACCCAGGAAATGGGGTCCCAACCGAAGAGAAGGTAGCTCACAGCAAAACCCAGTGCCTGCCTATGCAGCAGGCCCAGAATGCACCGGGCAGATGGACCTGCAGGACAGGGGGATCTGCAAGGTCCCAGCACAGAGCAGGCAGAGCCAGAACAGAACCTGGTGCAGCAGACACACCGAAAACGCAGAATGTGGAAAAGAAAGCCAACAAAGTGACCAGGAACTCCAACAAAAGCTCGGTTGTTCGAAAAAGGTCACGTAAGCGCAGCGTGCCACGTGGCTCAGGCACAAACTCCCTACAGAGCAGTCCCAGTGGAGGTGCCATCACAGGTGCAGAACATTGCTGCTTCCAGGCCACAGAACCCAGGACATGGGGTGGGGATGGGGGTACACGGGCTGGGTGGGGTGCAAATGAAGAAGTAAAGCCTCATAGAAACTGAGCAGATAAAGTCTAAAGCTGAAGGGGAATAAAATAAGAAATACAGCAAAATGTCATACTTAGAAATAGGGATTTAAATACTAAGAGAGCAGAAAGAACTATCTAACTTTTTAAACTATGTATACATAGTTTGAAATTAGAGTATTTTAAAAGAAAAAAAGGTAACAAATATTTTGACCGTAGAAGAGGATGACGCGTGTAGATTTGGAGAGGCATAAGAATCCAATGTCAGCACACTCTAAGACGCCATCCGAAGCCACAGCTTCAGGCAGGGCTGCAGCCCCACTGCACTGGGTCCTCTGGTCACCCAGTGCCACACCAGGGTCCTGATGCCGCCTCTCTTCAGCTGTACTGAAGGCCTGAGCCCACCTTCTGTCCTCTGGTCCAGTTCTCGCATCAGCTGGAAATTCCTCTGAAGTTCACAAGGAAGGTTCTCGATACCTGAAACACAGGGACGTGGATTTCTCAGTAGGAGCCCACAAATCTGCCTACTAGGCCTGAAACCTACAGTCTACAGGTAACACACCCACTTCTCTTCTCTTTCTGTTAGGGTTTGGAGAGGAACAAGTGCATGCCCAACATAAGGGACAGGCTGATAAACTTCCCAAGCCACTGGCTCTGGAGAAGTTAGCGGGGAACTTAGAAAGAAGCTGCAGGCGTGGGCAGGGAAGAAAGCTGCCCTCCCCCACCTCCTCCTGTGTAGGTCACCCCACCACAGCCAGCCAGGCCAAACTGTGGGTCCCCTCTGGTCTTCCCCCACTTCACTCTGAAACCCAGCGCCTGGGCAGTACAGATGGGTGCTGCAGAGGGAACTTTATACCAGGATGCAAGTGCTCTCTGTGCTGCCCCAAAGTTTGGGCACTGGCCACAAGGGGCAGCATGCCAGATGGGTTCATACCACTGAGGCACCAAACTTCTATTTCCACTCAGGCTTAGCTCACTTAAAGTGAACCAGCCAGCCTGGGCCTCACAGGAGGGGGACACACCCATCCGCACTGCCAACCGCCTAGTCCCAGCCAACCTCCCCTCGCACCTGCATGGCCCCAACAGTCCCCAAATGGGCTCCTGCGTCCAGTCGTGACCCGCCTTCCACTCTCCCCACGTGCCAGTGATCTTTTCAAGAGCTCAATCTAATCTTTCAAAGCTGCTGCTTAAAGCCCCAGGGCTCCCCAGCTCCCCAGAGAGCTAGGAACATGCTCGGCAAAGCCTCCGAGTTCTGCAGGGCAGGGCCACCACCGGCTTTGCAGACCTGACAGGTTCTTCATGACCTTTATACCTCTACGAACTCTAAAAAACCCATCTGCCCATGTGAGAGTGAGTTCCAGGAAAACAAGGATCGTGTCTGCTCTCCTGGGACACAGGAGGAGCTGAAGGAGCAAGCAGTGGCCTCGATTCCGGAGCCTTCACACGTACATTCCTCCGACCTGCCCACAGGGCCCACCAGAGAGGGGGCTAAACAAAGAAGGGCAAGTCCTGTGCTCTCCAGCAGACACCCGGGTGTAGGCCTCTAGGTGACAGTGGGAGAAGGGTTCCCCTCCGTGTGCTCTCCCACCAGACTGGTGCTCAGGGTGTGCCAGGAGAGCAGAAAAAATGACCAGGATTGGGTGACCCCCTTGGGGGGAGCTGATACCCACTGCCTCCCCCAGAGCAGGACTCACTCCCTACCCAGCCTCAGGTGGGATGCCCAGGCCTGAGTGACCAAGAATAGCCCCGGGGCAGCAAAGTGCTCCAGGAACCAGCCAGGGCCAGACCCAAAATGTGCGTGACTCTGACAAGGTCCTCAGCGTCCGCGAAATGCACAGTCACCATCTGCTCAGGAAAGGTGAGAAGGGTCCATCCTGAGCAGAAGGACGACTCCTGGAGAAGCCTCACAGACATGGCCCCTGGGCACCTGAATTAGCCCCAGAAGTACCCTCGCGGAAAAGCAGGCGCCCTGAGAGACCTTCCACCTCAGCATCACCTCCCTACCTCTCAGAATCACAGGCCGAGGCTAGGCGTCCGGAAGCCACTCCAGAAACCCCGAGGCCGGGGCTCCCAGGTCTGCTCCAGAGTCCGAGGAGGTTGGGCTTCCAACCACTTTCTAAGGCTTGAGTGGTGGGAGGCAGGCCAAAAGCCATTAATGGCGAAGCCTGAGAACCAGACTTCAGAGGGGCGAGGCAGCGCCGAAGGCGGGGCCTAATGGGGTGAGGCCTACTGGGGGGAGGAGCCTATCGGGTAGGGGCCTGGAAGAGGGCCTAACCGAGGAGGGTGGGGCCTAATGGGTCCAGGTCTACCGGAGAGGCGTGGCGTGGTCAACGAGGGGCGGGGCCTATCGGGGAGAGCCCGGCCCAGCCGCACTCTAGCCCCGCCCCGCTGTGACGCATTTAGAATTGGCGCGGCCGTGCCGGGGGAACTCAGCGCCGCTACTCCCGCGCGCGCCCCACCCTCGTGCCCGCCTCACCTCGCGCGCGCCTCTGCCGCCCTCGGGCCACCCGGCTGGCCCCACGAACCCCGGGGTCCGCGCGCGGACCCTAGTGTGCAGGCGGCAAATTGCGGGGAGGGCCCCACGCGGGTGGCGGCCCGAAGAACACAGGGGGCACTTACTATCGAGGTAGTGCTCCAAGTACATGGCGGTCGCCATCTTCGTTCGCGGCCGCGCTCTGGATCTGCGCGGGCGGGCGTAGCAGCAAGAGATGGAGGGCGGAGCCGGTGCGTTCACTATTAATGAGCCGCGCGCACGGATTGGCCAGCAGGGGGGACCGCTGACGGCCGGGTCCGCCCCCTAGCTTCCGGTCTGCGGGTGGTGTTTAGTGGCGCGGGAGAAGGTTCGGGGCGGTACGTCTTACCCTGTAGGGGCATGGGAGCTTGTGTGCGGGAGTTTCTGATCCTAATTCCCTGGACACCTTCTCTACCTGAGTGGCGCTGGCACTTGGCCCAGGGTCCGCACTGCCTTCTCCTCGGTCTGGTATGGCGCAGAGCAGGTGTCTGCGAGTAGTGACGAAAGTGGTCCGGTGGCTGAAAGGGTCCCCCGAGTGCGCGCAGAAAAACGGGGTGAAGGGGTCACCGCGTGTCTGTGGGAGTCGGGAAGATGCTGAACCCAGCGCTGGCCTCCCCCGGATCGTCTTGAAGGAGGGCCTCTGCGCGATCTCCGCCAGCCCAGCATGCCCAAGGGACAGCTGGCCCCTGGAGGGGAGCGGCCTAGGCCGGGAACGGCACCCCTCGTCGTCCCCTGGGATTCAGATGGCCACCCCCTGACCAATGAGTAGCAGATTCCTTATTGAAAATGTATATTTAAAGGTGTACTTCCCTTCCTGAGCTCTTTCCTAAACTCCCAAGTTAAAAAAAACTGAAAGGTTTTTGTCAATTTTATGTTTATTATGCAAATTCAAACTATTCGGGAACTCAGAGTTTCCTCACTTCTGGAAAGGACAGGAATGTGATTATCTTGTTCACCTTCGAACCCAAATTGTAATTTTTCTGCATTCTTTCTGGCCCCATTTAATGCTTGATAAGGAGACTCCCACACTCATGCATACATAACTAAATACTACTCATCTTTTTTATTGTTATAAGTAGCTACGTTTTTTTTTTAAATTTTATTTTAGAGGGGAAAGGAGGGAGAAAGAGGGAGAGAAACCTCAATGTGTGGCTGCCTCTCGCTTGCCCCCTACTGGGGACCTGGCTGGCAACCCACCCAGGCATGTCTCCTGACTGGAAATCAAACTGGCGACCTTTTGGTTCACAGGCTGGCCCTCAATCCACTGAGCTACTCCATTGGATTTTTTTTTAATAGACTTTATTTTTCAGAGTAGATTTGGGTTCACAGGAAAATTGCTAAGAAAATAGAGTTTCTGTGTACCCCCTTCACACACACAGTTTTCCCTCATAAACAGTACTGATCTGGTACACTTATTACAGTTGATGAAACCATATTGACACATTATTTTTATTTAAGATTTTACTTTTTAGAGAGAGGGGAAGGGAGGGAGAAAGAGAGGGAGAGAAACATAGATGTGTGAGAGAAACATTGCTTGGTTGCTTCTTGCATGCCCCCAACTAGAGACCTGGCCCATAATCCAGGCGTGTGCCCTGGCTGGAACTGAACTGAAACCTTCTGATTTGCAGGCTGACACTCAACCTACTGAGCCCCACCAACAAGAGTGATACATTATTATTAACTGAAGTCTGTAGTTTATATTCAGGTTCACTCTGTTGTATGATTATGTTAAGTAGCCACCATCACAATGACATGCAGAATCTAATACCCTGTGCTCCATGTACTCATCCCTCCTCCCCCCAAAACGTCTGGCAGCCATGGATCTTTCTAGTGTCTCTATAGTTTTGGATTTCCAGAATGTCATATAGTTGGAATTATATAGTATGTAACCCTTTCATATTAGCTTCTTTCACTTAGTAATATGCATTTGTTTCCTCCGTGCCCTTTCCTGGCTTGATAGCTTCTTTCTTCTTTTTTTAATGTATTTATTTTAGAAGACAGGGGAAGAGAGAGAGAGAGAAACATTGGTTAGTTGTTCCACTTACTGATGCATTCATTGGTTGATTCTTGTATGTGCCCTGACCAGGGATCAAACCCACAACCTTGGCCTATCGGGACGACACTCTTAACCAATTGAGGTACCTGACCAGGGCAGCTTCCTTCTTATTAATGTCCAAATATTTCATTTGCTGTAGGTATCACAGTTTGTGCATTCACTTCTTTAAGGACATCTAGGTTGCTTTCAAGTTTTGTCAATTACAAATAAAGCTGCTGTGTTCGTTCATACACAGGTTTTGTTTGGACATGGTTTTCTGTGATGCTAGAAAATACTATGATATTACACTTAGTTTTATAAGAAACTGCAAAAATAAAAAGAAACTGCAAACTGCCTTCCACAGCGGCTGCACCATGTTGCAGTCCCATAACCAATGAATGAGTTTCTGCTGCTCCACATCCTTGCCAGCATTTGTCAGTCTTCCGAGCTGTCATTCTAATAGGGGTGTGGAGGTGTCTTTTATTTCCAATTCTCCAACAACGTGACCTTACGCACCTTTTCCCATGCATAGTTGCCAGGATTATTTCTTTGGTGAGGTGTCTATTCAGATCTTTTGCCCACTTTTCATTTGGGCCATTTGTTTTCTCCTTGGTGAGTCACATTATCCACTTTTCCAATGTACATTTTTCACTTAATATGCTTCATGAATTCTAGCCATGTTTTGCTCAATTCTACATCATCCTGTTTACTAGATACACTGCATTGTGTTGGTGTACGCCATTTCAACAAGCTCCCTACAGATGTACAATATTACTGTAAAAAGTGCTCTGGTGAACGTTGATTGGATCACACAGCTGTAGGTATCTGTTTTTCCCCATTACATGTTTTTCCCAGGTGGCACATAATGAACCACCTGAAAACTTCGTGTTTTAAAAGCAGCCTTTTATTGTAGCCCACAAGGTTTATGAGTCAAGCATTCCGGTGGAGCTCAGTTGGGTGATTCTGCTCTTCTCTGTGATACCGTAGAGATCACTGGGGTGGCTGCAGGGCTGCATCCAACTGGCACCTACATGCGGCCTCTGGGCCAGGGTTCCCAGGTGGCAGCTCCAGGCTTCTGAAGAGCCCTGGGAAGCCCCAGTAGAAGCTACAAGACTCTTTGTGACTTCACCTTGGTTGTCTGAAGACATCACCTCATGACATGCTATTGGTTAAGCAACTCTTTGGGGCCAAGCCAGATTTGAGGAGAGAAGAAATTAGATGCAACTTCTCAATGGGAGGGGCACCAAGATTGTGAACATCTTTAATCTACCACATAGTCTTATTAGTTCTTTAGGATAAGTGCTGAGAAATGGTATTGCCGCCTGGCCAAGTAGGTCAGTTGGTTAGAGCATCATCCCAATACACCAAGGTTGTGGGTTTGATCCCTGATCAGGGCACATACAAGAATCAACCAACGAATACATCAATAAGTGGAACAACACACTGATGTTTCCCTCTGTCTCTAAAATCAATAAAAAAGAAATGGTATTGCTGGTTCAAAGAGTACTGTCCATTCTGAGTACTGATACTTTTAAATGAACTGACACTCCGCTGAGTGTGTTTCCACATTTGGTAAAGTGCAGAAACACCCCTTGATTGCATCGGGCTTTTTTTTCATCGTTGCTAACGTGACAGAAGAGAAATAACCAAAAAACCACCTCAGTGTTTTCATTTGTATTTCTTTGATTTTAAGTGAAGCTAAACATAAGCTTACATATTCATTGACTATTTGTTGTTCTGTCATTCCCTTTTTTAAAAGATTATTTATTTTTAGAGAAAGGGGAAGGGAGTAAGAAAGAGAGAGAAACATAGATATGAGAGAATCACTGATTAGTTGCTGCTCACACACCCCCAGTTGGGGACCTGGCCTGCAACCCAGGCCTGTGGCCTGAGTGTGGATCCAACCTCAAGCTGCAGGACAACGTGCAGCCCACTGAGCCACACCACTCTGAGCTGTTCTGTCATTTTCTGTCCTTTCCCCATTATCCATGGGGAAACTGGTCTTCATGCCATTCATCTAAAAATGTAATTCTTTATTATTATACAGAATAAATCACATATCATGCCCTTCATATATTATACATCAAAAATAACTTCTTTCAGGTAGCAGTTTTTCACTCATGCAAGTGATGAGTTCTCATACAGAGACCCTGCTTTAGAAGCTGCCAAAATGAAAGATGACTCCATTATTATGTCTTTTCATTGCTATTTACTCCAGAGCAGGTACTATTGACATTTGGGGCCCGATACTCTGCCGTGGGGACCTGTCTGGTGCCTTGTAGGCTGTTTACAGCATCCCTGGCCTCCACTCGATAGGTGCTGTGAGAAACCCTACCAAAGCTGTGACAGTCAGAATGCCCCCCAGTTGAGAACCAGAGCTTTAGGGGAAGACTAAGCTACTCTTCTTACCAAGGAACCCAGCCAAATCCAGTGGCTCAGAACAGAATTGTATTTCTCATATAATAGTCCAGGGAAGAGAGCCATGCCCACGGGTCACAGGAACCCAGGTTCCTTCCTGCATAGTGTCTGCTCCCAAAGGGCCTCGCTGATGGTCGAGGCTGGGTTGCAAGAAAGGCAGGGCAAGAAGAGGGTAGTGTTCATTCTGCTATGTGAAGGAGCATGTGCCGCTTCTCACATTTCATTGCTGGTAACTTAGTTTCCAGGCGACATCCAACTGCAAGGGAGGCTAGGAAATGGATTTTGGCAGGGCAGCGATGCGCCCAGCACACTTCTTCTGAAAGCAGGTGAGTGCCATGGACTGGCTATCACCCCAAAATTCATAGGCTGAACTTCTAACCCCCAATGTACTTGGGGAGGAAGTTAAAAGGAACAGATACCAGAGGTCTCTTTCTCTGTCCCCACACACCTGCACAATGGGAAGTCCCAGTGAGGATGCAGTCGTCTGCGCCAAGAGGGAGAGCTCTGACCGACACCATCCTTCCAGCCTCCAGAACTGTCTGTGGTGTTTGTCATGTCAGCCCAGCGGAGAGACTGGGGGATGACTGCCATGCCCCACACCTCTCGTGAGATGGAAGGTGCAGCACACTGAGACACAGCACAGCACAAGGCCTTTTTTTTCAAATGGAAAACCTCAAACACAGAAGTAGAACCTATTCAACACCAGGCGCCCACTGGCCAGTTTCAGCAGTTGGCAACTTAGGACCAGTTTTGTTTTGCCTGTCCCCAAGCACACTCAGACCCGGCATCCTGCCCTGTCCTCCAGAGTGGGCACCCTCATGCCTCCTGCCAGTCAGAAGGTGGTGTGAACAGACCCCAGCACCTACAGATGTGGTACTTGCACCACTCCAGTCCCAAAACATGTCAGGGCCACAGGGCACGGAGGAGACTGTCCAGGTACACAGGGTCACGTAGGCCCGTGTCTGGGCCACGAGATCAGGACTGCAGGCCTAGGGATGCTGAGGTCACAGTGACCAGGAAGGAAAAGCCAAGAAAGCCACTAAGGCACTTTCATCATTTGACAACATTCAACATCACTGAGCAGCAGAAGCAGCTCTTGGCGGCCTAATCTGGATTTTGTGTCATGTGAAATAATTAAACACCAGTTAGGCTGGTATTCAGATATGTGTAAAGGCATCCTGACTAAAAACAGAAGAAGAAGAAAGCCCTGGCTTATATGGCACCAGCCTTCGAACCTGAGGGTCGCCAGTTTGATTCTTGGTCAGGGCACACGCCTGGGTTGTGGGCCAGTCCGTGGTTGGGGGCGTGTGAGAGGCAACCAACCAATCGATGCTTCTCTCACACAACCCTGTTTCTCTCCGTCTAAAAGTAAATAAAATAAAAAAGAGGCATGATGTGTTGGAAGAGGTGGAAACAAAGTTGCTTGTTGTAGTTTAATGACAAACTTGCACTAGCTTAGCAATTTTCCCAATCAAAAGGGCACCTAGTCCCCAACCAGCATGCAAGGCCCCATTAGCCAGGTCCCCTCCATTTTCATGAGTGACCAGAAAAGCTGTGCGTTCACAAATGTTCCCATCTGCCCCGCACGCTGGTCCTACAAGGCTGTCATGGGACTTGTCCAACACTGGGAGGGTTCTCTTTTGTCCCCTACTCTAACCCCTTTGTCTCTTTGACAGCAAGGAGATGGACGTTTTAGAACAAGACATCAATCAGATGACAGGATATTGCTTACCTCCATAAGGCAAGTCTTTGTGTCATGAGCTTTCATTAGGTTGTGTTACAGTAACTAGGAACCCACAAGTCTCTGAAGTCTCTAAGACTTGAGTCACAAGTTTATTTTTTGCTGGTGCTACTGTGGCTGGATGTCTTCATTGTAGTTCACGGGGCAAAGATGAACATTTGTGAATCAAGGTGCAAAAGCAGCCCTCATTGTATACTTGCTGCTTCCAGGTTGGGGTCAGGAGGGGCACTGGCCAACCACACAACCAACTGCTGTTGAAGCTTGTGGCTGAACTAGTGCTGCAGTTACTTTACAGCAGGGTTGGAAGTCACATGGCCAGGCTCAACATCAAGAGGGGAAGCAATAATTTGAAGCAATATAATCTATCACTCTTCCAAAACTCAAGACTAAATCAGGGAGGGGTCAGTCAGGAAGACATAAAGCTGCTGTATCTTGGATAGCACTGCCATCAGGGGCTTGCGCAACCACCGAGGGAACCAGAAGGAAAGATCGAAAACACACCAAGAGCCTCGGCGCAAGCATAGGACAGCGGGCAGTCTGGGCTGGCGGGGGAACTCGGCCATTCTCAACCCAAGGCCCTCTCGCTCTGCAGCAGTGAGGTAGGTGGTTCCAACAGCTCACTGGAGAACAGCCTGGAACCTCTTGTCCACCTCCCCGAAACAGTGGCCTCCAGAGTTTGCACTAGCGCCTGTCACCCGCAACCTAACCCAAAGGGACACGTAGCTCCTGGCTTGCTCGGGTCTGAATGTTTGTGCCCCCACAATGGGATAGTATCGGGGATGGGCCTTCGAGGGGTTTGGTTTAGACGGGTTGGAGGACAGGACCCTCTCTCGAGAACAGTGCCCTTGTTGGGAGAGAAAGGCAGCCCTCTAAGTGCGCAGTGCCACCTGGAAGACGCCCCCGCAGCTTGATGTCCTGAGACGTCACAACGAACATTATTAAGCGCTCTCTAGATGCCGGGGCTTGTCTCACACTACACGTGTCGCCTCTCCAAGGCAGTGATCGTTCCCCGCTCCTGGTCGGTGCCGACAGGACAGACTGGGACACAGACTGTCGGTGCCCCTTCTCTTCTCTCCTCTCTCTCTGAGGGTTTGCAGTGTCGTCTTTGCAAGTGGGAGTCACGGACCTTTGAAGGCCCGAGCATTAGCACCGAAAATGACCAGGATTGTTTCTCTAGGGCTGCCGCGTGGCCGGGTGCAGACAGTCCTGCCCGGGGTGCAGGACGCCGTCGGCTCGGCGCGCGCTACAACTACGCGACCTGCTCGGGATCTCCAACGGCGGCCCGCGCCGCCCTTCCACCGCAACTCTACGCGGATTCGCCGCAGACCCCCTCCAAACCGCGCGCCACCGCCCGCACTCAGAACGCAACCTGGGAGGCCTGCTCCAGTGTCCGAGGGCCAGGCTTCCGGCCTAGAAGGCGGAGACTCCACCGGAAAAGGCCATTTGTCCCAGCCAATCCGATCAACGCCTTGAAATATCAGCCAATCCCAGTGAGCGTCCCCACCCCTTGTCCCATTTCAGCCATTCCCAGTGCCCGCGGCTGACGTCAGCCAATAGGAACTCTCGAAGGCCTTCTGAAGCGCAGCGACCAGGGGCGAAGGCGGGCTGCAGAAGGCGGGCGATGGCGGGCCGGCGCGGGGCTCTCATCGTGCTGGAAGGCTTAGATCGCGCCGGGAAGAGCACGCAGAGTGGCAAGCTGGTGGAAGCGCTGTGCGCAGATGGCCACCGCGCGGAGCTGCTGCACTTCCCGGGTGGGTGGGGCGCGCGGGCGGTCCTGACGGGCGGGAAAGTTCGGGGAGCTGGAGGTTTGGGGGCCAGCGGGAGAGCCGGGGCCCAGGGACCGAAAGTGTTCGCCAAGCTCGCCCCGTCCGGTTTCCCGAATCTGTAGCGTCTGTGGTTGAGGGCGGATAGGGAGATCGCCTCTTTTAAAGCGGTCCGGAATCGAAGACATCGAGCCTCACCAGCATCCTCCCTTTAGTCGGCCCGGGTGAAGCAGACTTAGCTGAGCGCCGCGGGCGTCGTCTTTACTCTGGGCTTTCTCCTTAGTGGTTCCTACGGTCGCTGTGCCCTGTCCCTCGGCTGCGCTGCGTCTGTGCTGTTGTGCATTGATCTGTAGCTGGAGGACAGGAAAGGGCACAGGTGGGAAGGGCGTGGACACCCGAGAAACTGTCCTCGCAGTCCAGACTGTCATCCACAGAACTTCGCCGGCGCTGTTTTGTAATCCATGTCCCAGCGTCTTGTTTTGTTTTGCTGTTTATCCTCTGGGGGGTTTTGTGGCATATTTTTAGTTTTGAAAGTAAAATGTTGATCTTGGAAGTGCTTAAAAGTATCATTATTCAGATAATCAAAAGACAGCTTAAGGTCACAAAACCAGGATAAAGAAGTGGGGGAAGTTCCGTTTTGATTGTCGTACTGATCTTGAGGGTAGTCACTCTGCAGATGTTAAACACACTTCGCCTTGAGGTACTGGCTTTCTACCGAGCTCCCCGCCCCCAGCATTTCCCGCCAGAATGTGTGCTACTGCGCTTTCTCAGGAAAATTCCCGTGGCCTCAGGTCTCAACCTGTGAAGAGATGTAGTAAAACAAAACTAGAACTTAGACTTGAGTCCAGGACCAGAAGTTCAGTCCAAACTATTCTAATTTAAGTAGAAAGCCTCACTTTTATGGTTTTTCTCTTTCTTTTTAGAAAGATCAACTGAAATTGGCAAACTCCTAAATTCTTACTTGAAAAAGAAGAGCGAAGTGGAGGATCATGCCGTGCACCTGCTTTTCTCTGCGAACCGCTGGGAACAAGTGTAAAAGCAATGCCCCTTCTCAACATTCAAGTGGGGGTGGATGCAGCGCCTGCCTCTGTGTGGTGTTGACAGTGAGGTGGAGGCTGTATGGATAGTTACAAGGTTCTTTTATTTGCCAGCCCCACGTCCAGGGTCTAATGGCTGTGTGTTACCAGAGAGCATGATTTATGCCTTTGCTTCCTCCTGCCTGCCCCTTCTTTGTAGTTAGTTTTCTTTTGATAGCTTTAGGGACACAGAAAAGCTAATCAAAAAGTACTCACATGCTCCATACCCCTGTCCCTCCTGCTCCCCTAGCCTTCTCGTTTGGCTCTTTAAGTAACTGAAGTTTAGGGTTCAGGTTAGTGTTCCATCCTCTCCCGCCCCATTCCCATCCCCATCATCTTCGTAGTGTCCTCCTCTCAACGTTTCACTGCTTGTTGACCGATGGGGTGTGTGTTTGTATGGGCTCTTATTTCCCTTTACTTGTATGTAGATAGCACACATCACTTGAGTTGCTTTGTTTTAAATAAATGGAGCCCCAGCATACAAGCCATTTCGCAGCTGCTTTCTAGCTGCCCAGCAGGCCCGTGGCGTCTGACGGAGGCCAACCTGCCTCACTCTGCCCTAGCGCTGTAGCCTGCTTGCTGGAAGGGTGTTCACAGCGGGTGCTGATGGACAGTCAGGAGTTTTGTGTCCTCCTTCCAGGCAAGCCTGCTCTTCTCTCTGCTTCACTTGCTGTCTTGCTTGGAAAGGCCTTCCTCAATGTAAGACTCTGAGACCAGTGTTATATTATAATTTTACACTCACAGTTTATGGATATAATTGTTCTGATTTGGGTTTTTTGGCTCTAAAAAAAAGCAATATAAGCGCAATTCAAAAGTGAGAAATAATGCTGACCTCCTAAATAGCGTTCTTATCTGGGCTATAAAGGACTGTGCACCTTGGTTGTCCTGTTCTGCCCCAATGCCCACAGCTTCCCCTACAGACCATTCGAGCCATTACCGTCACAATGTTTCTGAGACCCGAAAGTCCTTGGGTGACAGGTCAGATGCCAGAGTTCACTATTTGGCACCCTTGTCCACCATCTGTGTGACCTTGGTCTTGTTCAGCCCTCAGCCACACTAGTGCCCTTGGAGGCCTGGCGTGGGGGGAGTCACTTGTTGGCTAGGCAGGCAGTGCTCAGTGTGCCCTTGCTGTTTGGAATTCACCCTGGTACTTGAAGCACTTTGTGAGGAACTGGTTGTTCTCTCCAGTGATTTAATCTTCATCCTTAGCTTTGCTGATTCTGAACTGGGTAGGTGGTGGTCCCAGCAGGCATTTTATCAAGGCCTGCTGACCAGCTACAGCCATCTACACCCCATGCAGGAGCTCACTCGTAGAAACTGGGGATCGCTCTTACTTCCTGCAACAGTTTAGTAGTTTCCTCTCTACCTGGTTTTAAACTTGATTTGGAAATCATTTCAATCAACTGGAAAAGTTGTAGGAATAGTGCCAAGAATTCCCATTTGCCCTTCACCAGCCTTCCCCTATAATTAACATTTGCCACATTGATCACTCATTCACACTCTAAAAGAATCACAGGCTGTTCATTATAAAGTGCAGCATTCGTTTGCTGTTGCCTCACAAGCAGACTTAGGTGTACAGTCTTGGCAGGGACACCATAGAAGTAAGGCGCCTGGGTCCTGAGAGCACTGGGTTGGCAGGAGGCCCCCTGGACCATTGTGAGGAGGGCACTGGCCAGGCCCTCCCACTGAGTGACTGTCTCCTGTTAACAGAAGGGGAAGTGCCACAGAACTATGTGGACACCCCTTCCTCAGCAAACTCGGACCCTCCGCTGTCGCAGTCGCTGACGGTCCCGGGCAGCCATGTGGTTTCAGATGGTGACTTTCGGACCCCGCTCCTCACGGTCACGAGGGTTGGCCCTGTGTGAGGAGGAGCTTTCCAGGCTCCCTGCCCATCCTGCATCAGTGTGGATGCACAAGTGTCTTTCACTCGGTCACAAGCCATTCCTGTTGTTCACTGTTCAGGTCCCTCCACACGCGGCGGGCGGGAGGCTCTGCAAGCTGGCCCTGTGCCCATGTGCTGCTTTCCTGGGCCTCGAGTGTTGAGAATGTGATGTCGGCATAACAGGTTTAGGCTTCTTGCAGTGGAGAGTGGTGTTTAGACCCACCTCAGGGCACCAGGGTACCCACCGCCCGTGGGGATTATCTGCTCTGTGCCACCACTTCATCTGCGGTTGTCTCACTTTCAGTTCCCCAAGCTCAGCATGGTCTGAAAACAGTAAATGAGAAATTCCAGAAATAAGCAATTCAGAACTTTAAAATTGCACCATTCTGAGTAGCAGGATGAAATCTCAAAGCTGTCTGCCGTCCCTCCTGGGATGGGACTCGGCCTTTGCCCAGCGTGGACGCTGTCTGTTTGGTCGCTCCGTCGCCATCTCAGCCATCAGACCGGCCGTCGTGGCATGGCGGTGCCTGCGTTCACGTCACGCTTATTCTGTTTCACAATGGCCCCCAGAGCTCACGAGACAGGTGCTGGTGACTCAGATTCACTGGAGAGACCATAAAGGGCTTCCTTTAAGTGAATGGTGAAAGTTCGCTCAAGGAAAGAATGTTGTGTACTGAGGTCAGTATACGGCAGGAATGAGTCTATGTGTGAAACTGCTTAAGTTATGGACTAACTTAAAAGTATGTGCGTACAAGGAAAAAACAGATGCAGGGTTTGGTACCGTCTGCTGTCGGGCATCCCCTGCATGTAAGAGGGGCAGCTCAGGAGTTCACGCTGACCCTGCCTACCACCCCAGGCTCCTGGCCCCGCCGTGTCCTGTCTGCAGCCCACACCTCGGAGCCGGCCTCGTGGCCAGGGCTGGTACACATTAGCAGGAGGGCACAGAGTGCCGTGTCCACGTGGGATGTCAACTGTGCAATTTTAGGGTTTCTTCCATCCTTGATTTAATTTTGGTTTTTGAATACACAAAACATGGTTCTAAGTATCCAAACCATACGAAATAGGTCGCTGCCCGGCCCATTCCCCTCCTCCCACACCTGCCTGTACTACCCCATGGGGAATAGTGTCCCCTCCCAATTTTTCTTATTTTTCACTTTTTACCGAAAAAGCAGGTGTGTATGTGTTGTCCTGATTCACCTTGTAGAAAAGGAAGCTGGCCGTGTGCACCTGGTTGTACTTTGTTTCCTTAGCGACCTGTTAGGGGACTGGTTAGTATCTCCTGATGGGCGTCTTCCTCATTCTTTACAAAGTTGCGTCATCTCTGTCGTGCACGTGCCGTGCTTCCTGTTTGTGGACTAGGCAGCATTTCAATGGTTTGAAACTGCAGGTGAGGCTATGATAACTGCATCGGGCTGTTGCAGGTGCGCCCCCCCCCCCCCAGTCTCCTGTGGGCTTCGCCAGGTCACGGGTGTCACACGTCCTTCTGTTCCCCAAAGTGCAAGCAGTGCTCCGTGCTGATGTCAGCGCCCTCTGCACATCTTTCTAGGCTGCTCTCACCTGGGTGAGAAGTCAGTGGCCTCCCACCCATGGGGAAGGCACAAGCCCCTGCATTGCCTCCTGGCTCCAGCCAGCCCTCCCGCCCCTCCCCCCTGCCCACTCCGATGCCTGAGATTCATCAGGGGACTCGTCTTTCATGTTGGGCTTTGCTGGCATCTTCTAAGAAAAGATCTAGAGCTTTTTAAATAGGAGTAAAGTCACAAGTCACTGTCCCATAATCCCTGTGGTGACTGAATTGCTGAACCACGTCCTCAGAGGGACAGTTCTGTGGCTGTGGAGCCAGATCTGTGGCTCAGAAGCATTTTCTGTTTTTTAGGCCATTAATGAAGGAGAAGCTAAGTCAGGGTGTCACACTCGTCGTGGACAGATACGCGTTTTCTGGCGTTGCCTTCACCAGTGCCAAAGAGGTGAGTGTTGCTCAGCCTGGAGGAAGCCGCCAGGTGTGACCGTCCAGAGCACGGCTCGGGCCTGCAAGCCCAAGCATCGCACCGTGACTCCCATGGTCCTCATGTCCGTTCGTGGGAATCTGGCCTTTATCGAGGGAACGGCAAGCACGTGTGCAGCTGCAGCTGCTTTCCCGTCACGTGTCCAGACAGCAGGCTTCTCCTTGACCTGGCAGAATGGCAGCGGCTGCGCTGCCTCCTTCCCTCTGCTTTTTGTTTAGAAAGTTTCAGATCTGTACCAGCAGAGGAGACTGACCCACCACACTCTGTCGTGTGCTTCATAAGTGCTCCAGTGCACATCGCCAAAATAACTGTTTTTAGTATATTCTGTTGATTGTGCTATTAGAGTTGTCCCATTTTTTTCTCCCCTTTATTCTCCTCCGCCCTGTATCACCCTCCCACCAGCATTACCCCTCGCTTAGTTCATGCCCGTTAAGTTCTTTGTCTTCTCTATTTCCCGTATCTTCGCTTCCCCTTATTTTGTGCCAACCATTTATGCTTCTTATTCCCTGGACCTTCCCCACCCTTCCCCATGATCCTCCCTGTGATCTCCATTTCTGTGACTGTCTTCCTGTTCTAGTTGTTTGCTTAGTTCATTTTTGTTTTTACTTTTAGTTGTGAGTTTGTCGTCATTTTACTGTTCATAATTTTTGATCTTCTTTCTTAGATAAGTCTTTTAACATTTCATATAATAAGGGCTTGGTTGGTGTTGAACTCCTTGAACTTGACCTTATCTGGGAAGCACTTTATCTGTCCTTCCAGTCTAAATGATAAGCTTTGCTGGATAGAGTCATTTTGGATGTAGGTACCTGCCTTTCATGACTTTGAATACTTCTTTCCAGCCCCTTCTTGCCTGCAAAGTTTCTTGTGAGAAATCAGGTGACAGTCTTACGGGAACTTTGTGGGTGACTGTCCCCTTTTCTTTTGTTTCTTTTAGGATTCTCTCTCTATATTTAATCTCGGGTAACTTAATGATGATGTGCCTTGGTGTGTTCCTCTTTGGGTCCAACTTCTTTGGGACTCTCTGAGCTTCCTGGACTTCCTGGAAGTCTATTTCCTTTGCCAGATTGGGGAAGTTCTCCTCTATGTTTTCAAATAAGTTTTCAATTTCTTGCTCTTCCTCTTCTTCTCTGACACTCCTGTGATTCAGATGTTGGACTGTTTAAAGTTGTCCTGGAGGTTCCTTAGCCTCTCCTCCTATTTTGAATTATTGTCTCTTCATTCTGTTCTGGTTGAATGTTTATTTCTTCCAAAGAAGAAATAAACATTTCTTCCAATGTTTATTTCTGTTCCAAACCGTTGATGTGAGTCCTGGTTTCCTTCCCTTCACTGTTGGTTCCTTGTACATTTTTCGTTATTTCACTTTTCATAGCTTTCACTTCTTCCACTGTTTTGCCACACTCAACCATTTCTGTGAGCATTCTAATTACCTGTGTTTTGAACTCTGCATCTGATAGGTTGGCTATCTCCTCATTGCTTAGTTCTTTTTCTGGAGTTTTGATCTGGTTTTTGTTTGTTGTTTGTTTGTTTTCATTTGGGCCACGTTTCTTTGTCTCGGTGCAGTTGTTACATTGTAAGGGGTGGAACCTTAATTCGCCAGGATGGGGCAACCCAGGTCACTGCATCGTGGTGCTGCCTGTCGGGGGAGGGTTGGAGCGAGAACAGTGCTGCTTGCTTGCCTCTCAGCAGCTTTCAGTCACTTCTTCCACTGCCCACAAGTGAATTGCGCCCTTCTAAGTGCCGCCCCGGTGCTGCTTCCTGGGGGGATGGGCTCGTATATGTTCTAGGACCCCCTGAGACCCTCCAGTGGGCTCTCCTGAGACACCGGCAATTTCTCCTGCTGCCACAACCCCCACAGTTTTTACAACCAGAGGTTTTGAGGCTTCACTTCCCCAGCCGGAGCCCTGGGTTGTGCGCTCCGTCTCGCTCTCCAGCTGTTCCTCCATTTACCCGCACACAGATGTGGGGCCGGCTGCTCCGCCAGCTGCTCTGGCCGCGCATCCTCTCTGTCCGGCCGCCCGTCTCCTCCTTCCTACCAGTCTGGATGCTTCTGAGGTCCTTCAGTGTTGGACTTTCACACAGTTCAGTTTCCTGGCAGTTCTGGTTGTTTTCTTGTTCTTAAATTGGTTGTTGTCCTTTTGGTGGTGTGAGGAGGCAAAGCCTATCTGCCTATACCTCCATCCTGGCCGGAAGCGTCCCCAAAATAAATTTTTAAAAGATTTTATTTATTTATCTTTAGTGGGGAAGGGGAGAAATATCAATGTGTGGTTGCCTCTTGGGCGTCCCCTGCTGGGAACTGGCCTGCAACCCAGGCATGTGCCCTGACTGGGAACTGATCCTTTGGTCCCCAGGCCCACGTTCAATCCACTGAGTTACCCCAGCCAGGGCCCAAAATAACTTTTAAAAACATAACCTCAGCCTAGAAAAGTTCTCCAGCAGTCATTCTGTGATGTGCCCTCAGTGCCTCAGAGGCTGTGGGGTTGAGCCACGGTCCCGTTGCGGCCTATCCTCCAGCGTCCCTTCCATCTGGTCCCACGGTTAGGTTCCTGCCTCTGCTTCCTGGCCTGAAAACAGTCTTGGTTTCATTGTCGCAAGGCTTCTTCGGGGAGCGTGGGGTCACCTCATGATGAGGTCCATGACGGTTAAGTCACCAAGGGCTTCAGGTGATAACCTGTTCATTCCCACTCAGGGGCTGGCTGGGGCCCTCCTTTAGAGAACAGTTTCCTGTGAAGCACGGGCTGCTCTCACTCTTCTTACATTTTTAAAATTTGTACTTACTTGCTTTTAGAGAAAGGGGAAGAGAAGGAAAAACAAAGGGAGAGAAATGTCAATGTGAGAGAGAGAGACGTGGATTGGTTGCCAACCTGCAACCGAGGCGGTGCCCTGACCAGGACTCACAGCAGTGCCTTTGCCTTTGTGGACAGTGCCGAGCCCACTGAGGCTCACCGGGCCGGGCTCCGGTTCTGTCTGCGGGAGGGAGACACAACCAAGGACGACGCGGCGCCTGTGGGCTGGTCCCTCACGTCCTCCTGTTGGGTTGCTGAGTACAGGCCATGGGACGGCCCGGCGGGGTCAGTGCTCAGCTGGGTGCAGCCCTGGGCTCACAGCTGGGTTCCAGCCCCAAGTCTTCTGGGCTTGTGGCTATGAGTCCTCGCCTTTTCCTCCAGTAGTGGGACACTCCAGAGTTAGAGTGGCATGAGCAAGGAAACACGTGCACGGTGGGTTTCTGGGAGCACTGGTCATCCTGCCTGTCTGTGGAAAGGGGGCAGCACTCTGGCGGATGTGTGGGCAGAAGTATGTGACCAAGGGCCCTCTACTCGTTCCTGGTCCACTGCTCCCCACTGCAGGGCTGCTGTGTCTGGTTTCCCCGAGGGTCAGTGCCATGTGGCCTCCCTGTCTGCCTGGCCAGAGGGCGCAGGGCTGCCTCAGCATGACTGCCTGCGAGTGAGGAACCCGCCGCCACAACGCTCTCTGGCCACGTGGGTGTGTGCTGGCCAAGTCAAACCGGAGGGGGGAGGCGGCAAAACATTCACGGTCTAAAAAATGAAAATCTACTGGGTAAGAAGCCGCACTTCTTGGTGTCTCAAAAAATGATAGCTTCTTTTTTCCTCTTTTTAATGAATTTTAAAAATAGTTATTTTTTTAAAGGGGAAGAGAGGGAGAGACACATCTATGTGTGAGAGATACAACAATAGGTTGTCTTTCGCACACCCCCTACTGGGGACCTGGCTTACAACCCACGCACATGCCCTGACAACCTTTTGGTTCGCAGGCCGCTACTCAATCCACTGAGCCAGACCAGCCAGGGCTCCTTGTTTTGGTGAATTTTGAAACCACATATTAGACCCCACTTTGCTTCTTTCTGGGACTGTTGGTTTCTCTGTTGCAGCACTTCTGCCTGCACTGGTGCAAGCAGCCCGACATGGGCCTCCCCAAACCAGACCTGGTAGTGTTCCTTCACCTGCAGTCGGAGGAGGCTGTGAAGCGGGGTGAGTTCGGCAGCGAACGCTATGAGAACAGGGATTTCCAGGAGCGGGTGCTGCAACGCTTCCACCAGCTAATGGGGGACGGGACCTTGAACTGGAAGGTGAGCAGAACCCACAAAGCCAGAGTTGCAGTGGGAGCATGGGGTGCCCTTAGGAATAGGGCACATCCTATCCTCAGTGGCTTTTTGTGGCATGGGAATCGGGTGCCATGTGGGTGGGTCAGGTGACCGTTCAATAGAGACCAGCCACACAGCAGCAGTCCCCCTGGTGGGCCCTTTCCGGAGCAGTTCCCCCCTCTGCTGGGCATCTGCCATGCGACCTTGTCATCCGGAATATGAAGTCCCTGAGTTGCTGCTTGAGGCACTGTCCACATTATTGAAGAGTCATACTTTAGCCTGTGGTCTGTTCATTATGTCCTCGAGTTGGAAGTTGGGACTGCCTCCCTCTAGACCCCCGTCCTGCACAGTTTGAACCCCAAGTCACCAACGTACTACGTGGCAGAGGGTCCGAGATGGACCCTCTGTGTCCACGATGCCTGTGTCTGAGATGGCGGCTTACTCTGCTCCTCTGGCCTGGGGTGCTCGAGCCCCAACACGCACTCCCGCCGGGACCGTTTCCCCATCTTCAGAGCTTGTCGGCCAGCACCTCGGCCTCAGTGCCAGGTGTCAGCCTCGCTCCTCCCTCCCTGCAGACGCGCCCTGTCCTACCGGTGATGCTGAGGCTGACCCCGCTGCCATTGTCCCTGGCACACCTGAGCGCCTGGGCTCCAGGCTCAGCTGGTGTGAGCTTGCTACGGGACGGGGTTGTTTCTCTCTTGTACGTGCTGTGCCATTTGTCTCGACTGGGGTGAGCACGGGCCCTCCTTCCTCCCAAGGGGGACAGCACGAGGCCTCAGCCAGCCTTTGCTCGTGCAGCAGAGTGTCTCACACCAGACCCAGAGTCAGGCGGTCCCACCGGGTTGAACTGGTTCCCCTTCAGAGCCTGCTTCCACGCCTGCAAGGAACCAGCCAACAAACGAGGCAGGCGGGGAGTGAGTCCGGAAACAAAACGTGTGTTTCCTCCCGATCCAAGTGGTGCTCATCTGTCCTTCCAGGTCTTCGTCTCGTTTCATCTCCCTTGGTCGCAAGAAGTCCCTTGTCTCGTAGGACAGGTCTGGAGGAAGCTGTTCACACTCCCACCGCCAGACCTCATGCAGGGCTAGGTTTTGAGTAGGTCTGCACCCCCAGGAGCCTTCCCAGAGCTCTTCATGGCCGAGACCTAGGTCGATAGCGAGAGGGGGCTGCAGTCCCCATATCCCCCTCCCAGTGGAGACCAGTTTCTCGTGGGCTCTCTGCGTCACGGCACAGCACGTGACGCGTCAGCGTTGTGGAGGGGTATGGGGGTGTGGCCCAGCAGGCACTGCCCGCTCTGCCTCATCCAGGCTTAAGCTCCCTGCTCGTGGTGGGGAAGGGGCTCGTGTGGGGGCACTGCAGGAACGTGGGGCTCGGGAGGAAGGGGCAGGAGCAGGGTGAGGCGTCGCTCCTGCACTTGGGCTGCCGCAGGCATGCGGGGCAGCGTCATCCCGAGGACACGAGCAACGCCCTTCCTGCCCGGCCGGGGCTGCGGGTCAGAAAGGTGTGCAGTGAAGGGCCCTCAGGGGCCTGCACGGGGCCCTCCCAGAGCCTGATCCCACCGGAGAGCCGCCCAGGCACAGAGGACGGCGAAAAGCGTTAATCGTCCCTTTTTTCTCCTGACACCTCCGTGAGAACAGATGGTCGACGCCTCCAGAAGCATTGAAGACGTTCACAAGGAGATCCACAAGCTGTCTGAGGAAGCCATCCAGGCTTCTGCACAGAAGCCACTGGAGGAGCTGTGGGCGTAAACGTGGAGGGACTGTCCCCTCTCGTGTCCTGTAAGACGGGAGCCATGTCGAAGTCTGAACGTGGGGACCGAGTGCTCGCACTGCGCAACATGGTGGGTGGTGACCGGCCGACGACGAGCAGAGCTGTCAGCCTCGTGGTCTGTCACGCCAGCCTCGTGGTCTGTCACGCCAGCCTCGTGGTCTGTCACGCCAGCCTCCTCTGTCCTCATCGTGGGGATGCTGATGAATGAGGCGCTTTTCACCGAAGTTCAGCAACAACCACATCCAAACATCATTGAAGAGGAGGCAGTTTGAGATGTTTCTTACAGACAAATAAAAATTACGAAGTGCTTGTGGAAGGCCTCTCTGGATCTTTCTGCAGCCACTGTCTGGGTTCCCACGGGCCCCTGATCGGTCTCGGCCTCGCCTGGGCTCCTGGCGCCCTGTGTGCTGGCCCGGCCCCGTCTCATCTGAACGTGGCTGTTGGCTCTGCTGTCCTTTTTGTTGTGTCCCGAATGCCGGGAGTGTGCCCTCATTCCATCCCACCTCACTGGCGCTGAGATGGGACGGGGCCTGTCTGTTCCTGGGAGAAGCACCGGAGCTGCGCGGGCAGCTGTCGGTGCAGACAGCAGCGTGGAGGCCCAGTGCCTGCCCTTCACAGCCAGGACACTGGCTTCTGGGCAGAAAAAACCGTGTGGTACTTGCTTAAAGCCTGAGTTGTAAGTCATCCCAAGACAGTGCTGGGCAGAACCTGCGTGTGGCCAAAAGGGTCCTGCACAGTGGCAGCAGCCAGGCCCTGCTCCCCAAACCAGGCTCCGTCCACGCTTGTCCAGGCTCCACAGAAAGGCTGGCTGTCATGTCCCTGTCACTCAGGAGGCTGGTATGGGCAGGATGTGCCCAGGCTGCCTGACCCTCTCTCCTGGTCCCTGTTGTGTGTGCACAGGGGTGCAGGGGGAGGTTCAAGGAGCAGCAGTCAGGAGCTGTGCACAGACGACCCTTTCTTTTAAGGGTCCCAGGATTACCCACAGGGATGGCCTGGTGACACTCCGGTCACTTGATGCCTGATTTTACATAATTCCGTCTCTAATGAAAAATAGGGTTGATTTCGTACGACCTGACACCAGTCACTTGTCTGCCTTTGTGGGTCAGGGTCGTGGGCTGAGCCAGGCTAGTGCTTCTTGAAAAGCCACAGCTGTCGAGGAGGGTGGGCATTGGCAGTCGGCCTGGCTAGGATGGCCAGAGAAAGCTGTCTGGGTCCAGGCAGTGCCCCAAGCACCCAGCCTGGCCAGGAAGAGAGCTGAGAGCAGACCCCTCTGAACTGGGAAGGGCTGGAGACGGGCAGGACTTTCTTTGGCCTGGATCCGGTGTTGGGGGCAAGGTGGAGCTGCGGCACAGATCCCCCACCCCCACCACCCGAGCCGCCAGGGCTGTGGGGTCAGAGGTGGGCAGAGTTCCACAGGAGGCGGGCGGTAGGGTGGAGGCAGAAACGGGTGACTTCCCTAGTGGAGGCCACTTACCCTTTCTCTGAAACATGCCAAACGTAGTCAAACCACCCAGCCAGGGTCATGGCAGCAGGTGTGGCCGAATGGCTGTGTGCCCCTGAGCACCTTAGAGAGGCCAGAATAATGGTCCCAAAGACACCTATGTCCTTGTCCCCAGAACTAGTGAACGGCACCTGCACGGCAAAGGGACCATGAGGCAGGCAGCCGTCCTGGGCTGTCCAGGAAGGGTCTCTAATGGAGAGAGAGAAGAGGCAGAGGAGCTGGCCGAGGGGGAGGAACCTGCCCTGCCCACGTCTTGGTTTGTCCTCTGCCCTCAGGACCCAGTGTCTTGTTGGAAGCCACTGGGTATGGAGACGTCCCAGCAGCCATTAACAGCACTTCCCAGAAGGCCATAACTTGGGTTCCCAGGCCACTGCACCTGGGGACCACAGGAATGTGTTCTGCTTTCTCCTCTGGCTTTGGTCCCCTCACACCAACACCTGAGGGCAGGCTAGTCACCCCTGCATTGTTCCACCAGGTCTGGGGCACAGTGAGGGGACTGGCTGAGGCACCCACCTGAGGGAAATCAAACTAGGCAAACCCCTCGTTTTCCTAAACCCAGTTTCCATGCGCCTGTTGCTTTAGGACCATAGGTGAGTGCCCCAGTGGGCTGGGCTGGGCTCCGCCTGCCCGGTGCAAGGGAGACAGGTTGCCAGAGTCCACAGCTCCTCCCTGAGACCCGAGGCACGAGCTTCAAAAACACCCGACCAACATCTCGTCCTGTCATGCACAACCAAACTGAGCAAAAGTCAAGACACAGAGACAAGACTGTTTTCTATTGAAACTTATTATTCGCCTTAACCTCAAACCAGACTAAGAATGGACACCACTGTCTTCGGTGAGCCTTCTCAAACCACTCAGCTCCCCTCTGGTCAGGCTGCCGCCTTCCCGGCATTCGCACCCCAGCGGGGCTGCAGCGAGAGCTCCTGGCCCAGCAGCCCGGGGGGCGCCCTTGCAAGATGCAGCTGGAGGAATGGAGACCACCTAGCCTTCCTCCAGCCCCAGGGGAGGAGGGAGGGAAAGGGAGGGCAAAATAACTTACGGCAACAGCACCCGGGGGCTGGGGTGTCCTCTGCTACCAGGTGGGACCTGCCCACTGTCTCCACAAGTGCTGACACCAAGGGTGGAAGGGGGCTCCGCAAGGATGGTCCCCAAGAAGAAGGCTGTCCACCTCCGAGGCCCCGGGTCCCACAGAGACCACTCTCCAGGACACGAAGCCTGCGTGGGAGCCATGCGCTCTGGGCCCGGCAGCTGGGTTCAGGGCGGAAGGCGCTGCTGTCTGTCAGTGCTGAGCAGAGTCTGGAAATGTCTCCAGGTGGCGTGGTGAGAGATGGGGTGCCTGCTCTGCACCACGACCAGGGTTCGCTCCCTAGCCCCAAGCCCTCTGAAGCCTCAGTGACCAGGAGGGCAGTTCTGCAACCCTCGAAGTCCATTGTGAGCCTGAGGGTCACAGGCCAGGGCAGGTCCCCACCCAGCCGCCAACACTGCCCACCCAGGGGAAGCTGGCGTGACAAGCAAGCGATGGTGCGTGGGTGTCTCAAAATGCCGGAACGAGGAGACGGTGAGGAAGGTGAACCCACTTGGGCTTTACCTACGGCCGGGTTGAGTCACACGTGGGTGGGCGGGGGTGCCTCTGCTTGGCACCAGGCCCCACCCCTCTGCTAATTCTCTCCCCAAAGCCTTGAGGGGCCAAGTCACCCATCTCCCCCTGGGCAGCCCTGGAGGAGCCGTGGGTGGGGCTGCTGGCAGAGGGGCTGCTGGGCTGCTCGCAGGCCCAGTCCCAGGGCCGTGCCTCACTTGGCCACCAGTCTTCTTGGATCCAGGACAGGCCCTACAGAAATGCATGTCTGTCGAGTAACTGCAAACAGGACTTTAATTCCAAAGCTAACCCAGAACTGAGAGGCTGCAGGAAGCAGGGTGGAGGTGACGCAGATGCTCAGCGACCAGCTGCTCACTGCTCCCAGTGGCTTCTGTTCTCCCAGGCCCGCAGCACCTGGGCCGGGCAGTCCCTCCTGCAGTGAGGTCTTGAGCACAGTGCAGTCCCGTCGAGGGCAGAGGCAGCGGGCACAGGCGGCGGGTAGGATGGATAAAAGGCGGTGGCACTGGGCACCCAGAGGCTGGGCTGAGCTCTTGAAGGTGCCTCCAGCAAGGACCAGTCGAGACATCCCCCAACTCTAGGATTTTCAAAGGGACAGGATTTCAAAGTCCTCGTCTTCTGAGTCGAAGAATCTCTCAAGTCGCTCCACGTCAGAAGAATCTGGAAGAAAAAGACACGGGGTTGCTCTGGGTGTGGCGTGAGGCAAGTAGCTGTGAGTGCACCAACCACACCTGCTGGCCCGCTTGCCCCGGGGCTGCCCCTGGCGCTGCACCTGGCTGAGGAGAGGGGGCAGATGGCAAAAGGGATACCAGGCTGCCCCGTGGAGGGAGTGGCCTCCAGGTCTGAGCCAGCCAGGTGCTTCACGGAGGCTCTTTTACTGAGAGGAGGTGGAGCAGACACACCTCTGGCCAATCCCAAAGGGAGCGCTGGCCCTGTGCCATCTAGGTCTGACGGGATGCTGGTCTCCATGACAACCCCTGACACACACACACACACACACACACACACACACACACACACACCCGTCTCCATCAAGCAGCAGGCTTCGGAATTGTCCCCCTTAGGCTCTTCAAAGACAGAAGCCACGACAAGTGGCTCCATCATCGTTGCCCCAGGGCAGACTTGCCTGGGTCCTCACTGGGGCCTTCCCTGAGCAGGTGGAGGGGACTGACATGCTCACAGCCTCAGAGCCAAGTCCCCCGGTCTCCGTGTGCCACACGCTCGTTCCGACGGAGGGAGTGGAGGGTCCATTCCAGGAGGCCCGAGCCCAGAGCCACGTGGTGACGTGGGAGGCAAAGCCCGCCCATGGCCATAGGAACCCAGACCAGGATGGGCTCCTGTGAAAGCCTGGCACATTCGGGGCCACAGAGAACCTGGGGACCTGAGCCCAGAAGATGCTTGTGTGCGGGGCCTGGTGACCACACGTGGGGGGCAGAACGAGGGGATACTCAGCAGTGTCCCTGGTCCCACGTCGCACACAAATCACCAAGTGTCCACATCTGGGGTTCATACAAGTCTTAAGGTGAAAAGCAGGGACAGGATGTGGGGGGAGCAAGGAGAGGAGACCAGAAGCACACAGACGACCCCCGAGCGCAGAACAGGCAGTGCCCTGTGTCCACCTGACAGGTGGTCCCGCGGCCACAGACTCACCTACGGACAGGTTCAGGACGTCGGGGCAGGCCAGGTGGGAAGGCTGCTGCTCCACCAGCTCAAACATGGGCAGGGCACCTCCAAGCAGCGACAGCTGTCAGTAACACACAGCTGTTGGAGGCAGTCTGCGGGGGTGCAGCCTCCCCCCCCTCCCAAGGGTCACCGTGAGCAGGAGAACGCTGATGAGGTGGAGGCGAGGCTCACAGCCCCGGGCCAAGCCGTCCACAGCCAGTCCCCCGTGTGGAGGCAGCCCTGGGAGCAACCCCGCTGCCCATCCCCGTCACCCCGAGGCTGATGAACTAGGAGACACACCCTAAACTTCCTGAACAGTGTTGACCCCCACACCCTCTAATCACCATGGAGAAGCAGCGACCACGTGAGGGCCACCGGACGTTGGTGCAGAGACACGTGGAGGGACGGGTGATGACCCGGAGACCCTGTCCAGGCAGACAAGGGAGCCACTACCAACCTTTCTGACTTGCTGACACCAGTCACCAAAGTCGTCCTCGGTCTCACAGAAAAAGCCCTGGAATGAAACTCAGTGGTGAGCAGGCAGCGGCGCAGGTGAACACCAGGCTGCACTTGGCCACAGCAGGGGAGTGACCTCAGGGCTGGGCTTCTGCTTCCAGTGGCACTGCAGGGACCTAGGACGGTCTCACCGTCCTCACTTCTCCAGCCTCCACCCGTCTCCACTGGCTCCACCAGTGGCTTGTGGCTCAGCCCTCTGCCCCAGGTAATGGAGGCTATGGCCCTGAGCCAGGATGGCAGGTTCAAGACTTGGCCTTGACCAGCTCAACAGCAAAGGATACCAGGACCAGATGCCTACAAGCTCCCATGGTCACAAGGGACAGGGGGACAATGTGGGGGACGCACCACCGCGATGGACGGGTCAAGCTCCCCGATGTTCATCCTGCTCGGGGGGTGCTGGCAGTGGAAGCTCTCATCCGGGATGGAGCAGCTGTCGGCGAACTCCACCACTGGCTGTGTCGTGTGGGGGTCCAGGTAAATGAGCTCCTCACCTGGGCCCGACGACACAGCGATCAGCAGAATGGGAGTGCACAGGGGTCCCACTTTGGACCTGACACACAACCCAGCCGGCAGGATGGGCCAGGACGGGCCAGGACGAGACACGGGGGGGTGAAGGCAGGGTGGGAAAGGCTGGCGTGCAGAGGCACCTGTGCCCAGACGGGACACGCTGGCACTAGGTCAGGCTGCCTTTAGGTGTGGGGGCGGGGGGACTACCCCGAAGGCCACTCTCCCCCGCTGGGCTCCTGGTGACTGGCGCATTACTGGGCCCCCGCCACTCACCCACGTAGCCGATGAAGTAGTGGGCGCTGTTGGGCTTCCCCCCGATCACTCCCAGGGACTGAGGCATCATAAAGCAGCCCTGTGGGGAGAAAGAGAGGGTGGCAGAGCGTGTGGGAGCAGGCAGCCTGCACCCCTGAACTGGGGCCTGAGGAGGAGAATAAGCCCCCTCGAGCTTAGTGGTCAGGAAGGGGGACAAGCAACATGTGCTGTGCACTCAACTCCATGCAGGAGGCGGACTGATGGAGGCGGCCACGAGGGCCCTGGGGGTGGGGAGACAGGCGCGCAGGAGGGGCCTGCACACCGAGGTCGGGGCTGGTTTGACTCCACAGAGCAAAACAAATGGAGGCAGGAGGCTGGGGGAGGGCGCAGGGCCAACAGGAGGGGCAGTCAGAGGCTTAGGACAGGGCCACGACGGTGACACGGGAGGGCTTCACCGCAAAATAGTATTTCGATCCCCTCGCTAGTTAGCGAGGTAAGAGCAGAGGGGACACTCACCTTCAGTGTCTCCACATAGGCCTCGTTGATGTCCGTGAGCCCCAGGCGCAGGGGGATGAGAAGCACCAGGGGTCTCCACGGTGACAGCCTGTTGTTGACCTCGGCTCGCGAAGGGAAGCCATTACAGTGCCCTTCGGAATCTGCCGGAAATGCAGTGGCCCCTGCACAGGGAAGGCTGCTCCTGCACAACCTCCCTGGAAAAGGGAGAGGCGCCTCCATGGGCTGAGCAGGAGCATGTCCCAGCTCACCCACGAGAAACAGGCACACGAGCCAGGCACACGAGCACCAGGTGCTCACGACAGGTTCAGACATGGGAAACACAGCGTGAGACCGACCCTGCCACCCACAGAGAACAAAGACCAAACGTTTCCTATGCATGTCCAAGTAAACATCTTCACGTGAAATGACACATACACAGAAAACAGTATAAGAACACATGTGCACCTCAGAGAGGTGCCTCCGCGACAGGCGCCATGCATCCCCTGGCCTGGCCAGACACGGCCCCAACCAGGTCCCCAAACTCCTGCGACCCACCCTGAGCAAGAACACCAAGGAATAACTTCTCCTTTAAACGTTTAGGCAACTTGCTTCTCAGGGCACTGGGAGACCTTCACACACATGTGAACCAGGGGACCGGTGACAGGAAGAAAAGACACACTCCTGGCAAGAGCACACCTGGCAACCAGCCTGGCCTCTCAACACCACTCCTCCGAAAGGGGCCGGGCTCCGCAAGGAAGGGTGGTGCCAGGGTGGAAGCAGGACGGTGTGAGAGAGCCAGGGTCTATCAGTGCCCAGAGGGGCGATGCACGATGCCAGGGATGAGCCGAAGACCGAGGGCTGCAGGAGGCAACCCCGCGCAGACCCGGGCACGCTCCCTCAGACCTCCCACAGCAGTCCCAGGAGCCAGAGCCTCGGCCCCCCGACGGGGACCGGGAGCTGCCTGCTGCAGCAAACTGGGACCCAGCCACCAGGCTGTGCCCTCGGCCAAGGTCCTTGGTCTGTACGTGACAGTGAGTAAGCGAGATGGGGTGTGGGACATGCTACTGAGCTGGCCTGGGCTCTTCAAAAACATCCACACTGGGGAGGACTCTGGGGAGGACTCGGGAAACAAAATGGAACTTCCGGGTCAAAGGGGACCACGGAAGCCTGGCTCACGCAGGCTCCAGAGGGCTGCGCAGGGAGGTGCAAGGTGCAAGGTTCAGTGGGCGTGGCTGTGGGGTTTGCACCAAGCACCTACAGGGGGGAGTCCAGGCTAAGGCTGGGTGGATGGCTGGAAAAAGGGAGAGCTGGGAGCGAGGCCTCACCCTTTTTAAAAAAAGTTATCTGGCTATTTAAACTTTCTGTGATATTGTGATTTATAAGAAACACCCAGGATCTGAAACAAGTAACGAGTACCACCCCTTTTTATTACCAGCTCTTTTATTACAAAATTCTAAGCACGTATTCTACAACAATGTCACACTCAAGCACACTGTGGGACATTTTAGGGCAAAGGTTCAAAAGAAAACTGCAAAATACTCCCCAACTGCACCCCCCCCCACGCAGGTGTCCCCGAGGCCGTGTGGGATGCTGCCCTGCTGCCAGAGCCTGTGAGGGGCCTCAGGTGCCCCCTGATGTTAATGACAGGGTTGAGGAACCCTGACCCCTGCCTGGGGAGCAGCTGACGGAGCTGACCAACCAACGGCCAGTGATTCCATCAGTCATGACCGCTACGTCATGCAGCTGATAGAAACCCAAACGAGAGGTCCAGGGAGCCTCAGGGGTAAGGGACAGACACGTGGAGCCCCTGGGAGACAGGCGCCAGGGCAGGGCGGCTCCTCCGTCTGGCAGTCCATGAGCTGTATCCTTTACAATAAGCCTGTGATCTCACTCGATTCTCTTGGGTTTGTGAGCCGCTCTGACACACAGTCCAAGGGGCTGACCTCCAAGTCATAACACTGGGTCATAAGCACAGGTTTTGTCTGAAGTGGGGGAAGGGGCACAACTTTCCAGGCAGAGCCCTTAACCTGCAAGGTCTGAGGCCACCTTCAGGTAGCTGGCATTGACTGGGTGGTGGTGTCAGGGAAGCCCACACGTTGGAACTGGTGTCCACGTCTTACCCTTGAACTTCTGAACACGGATTTCTGTGCGTCCTCCCACTCCCTGGTACCTGTGGTCTCCAAGAGCCAGCCTGGAATCTATTAGTCCCCCCACTTCTCCCTTTACGCCATCGCCCCTGCAGCTCTCCTGGGGACTCTCCTGCCCACCCTGCTGTCCTAACTTGGAGGTGTTGGCTTATTTCCTTCACTCCCACTTTTCATCATCTGACACCAAGCAGGTGCAGGTTTTCCTCCTGAATTCAGGAGGCATCGAAATGGGATCTTCGGTCTGTTAGCTCGACTTCCTCTGACCCCAAAGCTAGGGTGTGGAACTTCGAGGCAGTCCAGTTCCTTCTTCCCTGGCTACCCCGCATTTGGCTCACACACACGTTCTCTGGGCACTTTTAACAGAGGCACGTTCTGCCACCAGAATCTAGGCTTTGACCTGCATGTATTAAACTCGTCTTTGTTACTTTGGTTCTCCGTGACTTAGTTTTTCCCCATTTGGTCCACCAGGGTCTCTGTGTGCATGGGTCTGGCCTTCCTGAGCTGGAGGCCGTGTCACGGGAACGCCCTCCCGCCCTCTTCCCGTCTCTCGGGAACCACACCAGGCTTGGGGGTTGGCTCGAGATGGGCAGCGCCAGGCTGCCTCCTGAGACCCGTGAGCCCACAGGCAGCCTGGGATGTCACAGTGGTCCTGCTGTCAACGAACAGGCTCTCCCATGTCCTAAGTACCCGTCTGTAACTCTCCAGGGCTCCCCGAACGCTTTTAACTTATTTAGATGCTGTTTTTCTTTCAACGACAACTGAACGGTATTTCCTCATCTCCTGCACCAGGGTCTCAGAATTCGGAGCACGTTCTGGAGCCTGGTGGTGGAAGGCAGGCTGCAGAGCCAGTGAACAGTCTTCCTGCGCGAGCAGGTTATTATCACTACTGCCCCCTGGATGTTCATAGAAGTTTCTCATTTTTGTTGTTTAGAAACGTCACAAGGAACACGCGTGTTTTACGCACGCCTGATTGCTAACACTTGGGGTTCTTCAGACTCAAGTCCCCCTCCACCTCTGCTCTGCAGACCCTGGGCCTCCCTCCTCAGTCCGCGGCCGGGGGCTCTGAGCCCCATGCTGGACAAGTAGCTGGCCCTCCTCCCCAGGGCTCCTGCAGCCAGACGCACTCAGAACCAGCTGTTCCGGGTCATGTCTGCTCACCCGCACCACACTCCACTGTCTTGCTGGTCACGTTCTGACGCTGCTCTTCCTAAATGTGGGTGCTGGGCAGCCTCCGCCCGTCCCTGTGACGTGCACATGTACCTGCTGGTCTGGGGGGGGGGGGGGGTGCGAGGCAGTGAGACGGGGCCCCGAGCACGGCCCTCGACCACACGCGTCCATCTCCCTTGGGAGCCCATTAGAAACGCAGGCCAGACCCTCCCCACGAGCTCCTCAGACGAGCGCAGGGTCATGTCTCCTCCCAGTTCCAGCACTGCCAATCTCAACAACTGAGACCCCAGGAGAGACCCGACAGGGACAGAGGCAAAGGACAGAGGCTCCAGGAAGCTGCGTGTCTCCTGCCCCACCCTGGCCACTGCCCCGGACAGCCAGCTGTCTGAGGCCAGGGTTGGACTAGACCCTGGAGAGGGCGAAGGAGGACCCCCGAGAGCGACAGAAAGGAAACCTCGGTGTGCCGGAGCGCTGTGCGGCCAGACCGTGACAGACAGTGACATCCTCACTGACAGGAGGGAACGCCGAGGTCCTGTGTGTTTTGGGGGAGAAAAACCCACTGGAAGGAAGTGTGTCTAAAGGGCGATATGGGCTACTTCCGAACAGTAAAATCAAGCCATTTTCCCCCTTGTTTGCATTTCTGAGCTTTCCAATGTTTCAGAGAAATTTCGAGAAACAGAATGAGAAGAGCCAGGAGAAAGACAGCCTTCTGTTACACCCCCAGCTCACCCCTCCTGGGGAGACAGAACTGTTAGGGGGCCAGGGCCCTGCCAGAGTCCTCAGATCCGCAGAAGCCACGCCCCCGACTCCCCAAACCCGACAGCGTCCCTGGAGTGGGAAGCAACAACCCCGAAGCCAGCACACACGCTCGCGGCCACGCTCCACGCCAGCAGCATGCAACACCTGCTTCTAAACGTCCGTGTGTGCCCAATTCCTTCAGGTTTCCAGGGGAGCCTTCCAGAAAGGGGCAGGGCTGCGTCCCTGCTCCACGCTGCACCCCAGCCCAAGAGGGTGGCATTGGAAAGTTGTTCCTGCCTTCCTCAACGGTGCACCGCACACATGAACACAACTCAGCAGGTACAAAACCCACAGGGGGGCTAAGAAACCCGGCTCTGTAAGAAAGCCCAGGCCCTTCCCCGTCACCTGGTCCTCTCTGTGAGGAAAGGTGGGGCCCCCTGGCCTCCGCTCAGGGTGCCCGGCTATTGGGCAGGACTCCCAGGCAAAGCCCTGGGAACCTGGTCCAGGTGAGTGCCCAGTGGCCACTCCCCGAGTCCCGCCATCCCGACCCTGCTTTCCCGCACTTACTGATGTCTTCCATCACCACCGTGTTGTCCATGGCCACATGGACGGCCAGGGCACTCCATGTGTCAAAGACAGCGAGTTTCCTGCCAGAAAGGGGGGGGACATGTGAATGAGCACTCACAAGGCACAGGGGGTTCTGCTCTGCAGGACCCCGGGAGAGAAACCAAGGCTCAGAGACATCCGTGCCACAGGCAGGAATAAAGCCGAGGCCGGAACCTGTCCCTCCCCCTGGGCCCAGTGCTTCTCCCAGGACCCCCAGTGTCCCCCGCAGAGTGGAGTCTCTGCACAGCAGTCGCCTGGGGGCATTGCAACCTAAAGGCAGACAGAAGTGGGAACCAGAACACGAGTGAAGCTGGAGACCATGGCTTCCCAACAGAGGCAGGCCCAGCCCCAGCCCCTCACTCTGTGCCCCGCGCTTCCCCCCAGACACGCTGAGCTGAGCTTCCCAGTTGTGAAGGACTGAGGAGTTGTCAGCTCCAGGATTCTGGCTCTGGAAGGAGGGCAGATTCTGCCACCAGAAGCATAACAGGGGCGGGAGCCTGTGGGCTTCTCTGGGGTGTAGGGGAGGTGGGTTCCCCACAAGCGGGAGGCTCTGCTGGGTCTAGGGACACAATGAGGAATGCTGGAGTGACCACACGGAGCTCCCCTGGGGGGAAGGCCAGACGGGACACCAGGAGAGCGGCAGGGCCACCCGGCCGCCTCCCGCCCATGCTGAGGGCCAGGCGCCAGAGACGCACTGACCCGTGAGAGACAGAGCCCTTAGGGAGGCTGACATTCTGGGGGGAGGCAGGCAAGAAAGAAGTGACTCCGTGGGGTAGTCAGTGCCCCAGAGAACACACCAGGGGCAGGCAGGGCGCAGCCAGGGCAGTGCAGGAAGGTGCTGAGGCAACAGGCAGTGTGTGCGAAGGGCACAAGGTGCCGTGTTTCCGGAGGCACGCAGGGCAGCCGGGCCACAACTACAGCTGTCCTGCCGTTGCTGGGGAAGACTAGGCGTGCAGAGCAAAGAGGGACTGTGGCTGACTTCACAGCTGTTTGAAAAGACACCCCCAGGGCGGCAAAGAGAAGGGAGACCATCAAAGCGGTGAGGGGGTGGGCCCTGGACCTGGGTGAGGACAGTGAAGCAGGGCACATGGTCAGTGAGAACACGCCACACAGCCGTGTCGGGACAGAAGAGTCCGGCACAACCCCGGTGTCTGGCCTGTCTGCCGGGAAGAAGGGGCCCCTACTGCGGGGGAAGCAAGCAGGCTGGGTGGGAGAGAGTCTGCTCTGGGTTCTGGCTTTTAAGTTGACCAGCTCCTTGGATGCTCAAGGTACTAGGTGAGCGTCTTGATGTGACAAGTCGGGCCTGATTCATGACTCTGGGAGCTGAGAGGGAGCCAACAACTTCGAAAGCCGGGTGTGGACAGTGTAAATGAAAGTGGCCACAGGCCCAAGACAAGGCCCGCAGTGCCCACAGGTGGAAAGGGGGTACAGCAACAGATGTAAGGTGGCCAGAGGGACAAAGGATTGGAGAGCGTGGCTCTGTGGCCCAGGTTTCCGAAGACAGCACGTGCCTGTGCCAAGAGCCCCAACTGGCTGAGTGGGGACAGAAACTCGGCCTCCAGACATGACAGGGTTGACAGTGACCTGGATGCAGCTGCTTTGGGCAGATGTGGGGAGGAAAGCAGGAAGGTAGTGGTGCAAGACAGGAGGACCTCACACAGGTGGACGCGCACACGGGCCCCGCTTCCAAGGCAAGCAGCGCTGGGCCCGGGCTCTACAGGGCACACGGGGACGCTGAGTCATGCAGGGGCTGGGCAAGGAGACAGAGAATCAGTGGCAGATTGGGGACCCACCGGAAGTGGGACAGGTAAAAGAAGGAGTGTGCCGGAGGATCCCAATAAAGCTGACGAGGGCAGAGGCAGCCACCCACGAGGATGGATGAGAAGGGCCATTCCGGGAAGGCCACCTCAGAGTGCCTGCAGGAGTGTCCTGTGGGGACTGGGAACAGGCAGGCAGGTGACGGAGGCCAAGGCAGGAAGCAGAGCTTTCGAGGAGCAGGGAGGAGGCCAGGACAGGGTGGAGCCCCACAGTGCAGAGGGGCAGCCCCCCCCCAACTGTCGACCACCCAGCTGCTGTGCCAGATGGGCCCACCGACCGACAAAGAACAATGGCTCCAGCCAATGGGCGCACCCTGGGTGAAGGCATTCATCTTACAAGAAATCTAGATTCCGATTTGCAAGACCACATGAATGGCCACCACCGAGGACTCTCCTGAGGCCCTGCACCAACAGGCCTCCGGTCTGAGCACATCCACCCCACCTTGTCCCCACAGAGACAGGGGAGGGGCGCACGAGGTCGCACGTACTTGAGAACCTGGGCGACCGTGTTGGGCCCGTACCACTGGCCAATGGACTTGCCCTCACCAACTCCCATTTGCGCTGCAGGAAACAGATCCGGTTAGTGACACACATGTCCCGACCCCAACACCCTCCCCAACCTCTCGGAAGAGGCAGGTCCTGGTGGCAGGAAGAGCAGGTCCCAGGAGCCCAGACAGGCCTGCCCAACTCTGCCCTCAGCCTGCGCTGATGGACAGCAGGGTGCTTGCTCCAGACGGACACTCGAGGCCTCAAGGCCTGTCCTGCACTATGAGCCAGGACGCCAGTCATTCAATGAGCAGGACTGGGAAGTAAAAGGACTCACTGAACTCAGAGCCGTCTTTTTACTTCCTCCTACCACTGGAACAGGATGCTCATCACACGCTGGACTTGCCTAAGTGAAGGAGCAGTCTGACCCCCCGCCCGAGTCCGATTGGCAGAGGCTGGGATGAGTAGTCGGGCCCACCCCTGTGGCCCCTGGTGGGGACAGGCCTCCTGCCGCACACACCTCAACACAGAAAAGTTCTCGGGACATCTGAGACCGGCCGCCACGTAAACAGCCAGGACGCGGCACCCTGCCCCCACCCACCTATCTGGTGGATGGAGTAGTAACTGTCCTTCCTGTCGATGAACGCGTTCAGAACATGGAAATAGCTGTCCGGCTGCCTCTTCCGCTGCGTCCACCTCCAGTCTAGCGGAGACAGGGCAGAAGTGCAATTTTTGCCTAATGTGACAAAGCAGCCCACGCACTATGAAACACTCGGGATGCACAAAGCATCCCAGCTGCTTTGAACCTGGCTCAGGTTCAAATCCGGGCTCCCCAGGATTCCAAAGATGCCAACACAAATCCATGCAGAAGGCAAAACAATGGCTTCAGAGATTTAAAGAGAACTTCTGACAAACATGTGTCAGCATTCTTTATAGTCACTCTTGTAAATCGCTGAAGGCCAGCAGGTCGCTGAAGAAGCCCAAGCCCTCATCTCCGTCTGACACAACCTCATCCCACTGTCCCCAGCGTGACTCACCTCGGCCCAGGTGCCGGCACAGCAGGGCCTGGGCGAAGATCATCTGTCCGCAGCGAAGCATGCAGCCCCAGCCCGTGTCTGAGGTGGGGCCGGTGCCCCCTGTGGTGGAGGCGGAAAGAGTGGACTCACTGTCAGGTGGCAGTGATTGGACCATGCTGGTCACCCTGTGCGGCAGGTGTCAGTGCCATCTTGGCCACACACCCCTCCCAGCGCACAGTCCTGCTAAGGACCTGCTGCTGGAAGTTGAGACGTTCCAACAACCCTCTGAAGTGGGCAAGCCATGTGAACGAGTCACAGAGAAGCACAGGCGTCTGGAAACCACGAGCAGACCCTGCTCCTGCTAGTCATCCAGCATGGAGACCACGTGCAGGGTCGGTGCTGGGAGGGGGCGGGGCTCAGGGTCAGCCCACTCACTCACCAGCACACAGACTCTGGCACTAGGCCCGTGGTAGTGCGTGTACAGGGACACAGGCCCATACGCACAGGAAACGCCCTGATGTCCTCAGCAGCAGCAAGGCCTGGGCTCACCGGCAGTGACCCAACAGACTCAGGGGTTGGACCCTGGGGGCGTATCTCTCCTTGAGCCTGGGAGCCCCACCATGCACGCAAGGACACAGCCCAGCTCTCAGGGCAGGTGCCTGTCACCCCCCCCACCCTACCTGGGACACCAACCAGCCACATCCTGGGGCTAAGGGAGGAAACACTACACTGGCCTGCAGAACCGGGGATCCCCTCCCCCACGACCCTGTCAGACAACACAGGGCTCCTTGGCCACCCGTCCTCCTTCCCTGCATCCAGACGGCTGGCCTGCAGGGCAGTGCCGTCCCTGCTGGCACCACACAGCACACCTCGACACCGCCCCGTTCCCAGGACCGAGCAGAGCAGCCTCAGAGCAGGTGTGCAACCAGAGCAAAGAGCACCTGACAAATCACACAACTCAACAGTTACCCGTGGGGACCCTGATCTGGTCTCCCTTATTTCAGGGTTGCGAACATCAAGCACTGGAGATGTTTTATGCCCACCTCACTTCGGGAGAACAAAGGAACCGAATCGAGAGCAGGCGAGGAGGAGGTGAAGCCTCCTGGACCCAACCTCTGGTCTCAGGTGTTGTAACTGGCAAAGGCCAGGCCACGCCGGTCCCCAATGCCTGTCCTCCGGGCACAATGAGGAAGAATCGCTTTTAACGGAACGTACTTGAGTGCCACCTGCCCACCCAACGGCTCTCCCACAGCTCAGTGTGGGACATGCTGGATAAGACGATGGGCAGAGAGCTATGGCCTCCAGCCACCCTGGACCTATGACCCTGACCCTACGACACTCGAACATGTCGATAGGACGATAACCCAACGAGAGCCCCTGAAGCACCTTGCCACCACTTCATGGCCACGGTCTTCCATGCTGTCACTGCCAGTCATGGCCCCTGACCCTGGTCCTAGGCCCCAGGGTGGAACGGTGACTTATGACTGGAGAAGCGCTGCCAGGGCCTTGCCAGCTTGCCTCCCTGGGGTTGCCGGGAGCATAAACACCAAGTGACGAGTACTGGGCACACCCACGTCAATCTGCACATTGGTCTGTCGTCCTCCCTGCAAAACATGCCTATTCCATTGCATGTTGTAACACACAGGACTTACCGATGGCTGGGAAGTTCTTCCTGTACGTAAACCACAGTCTAGACGCCACATCGGATAAGATCTCATCCTTTTCTAGAAAATGTTTAAAAGAAGAAAACACATACACACAGCCTCAAGCACCACATCGCGTGTGAGAGAAACTTAGTGACTATTACCAACCCAACACGGTTTGGGAGCCCGAGCACCGGAGTGCAGCCGGCTCCAGCACGGCCGGTACCTGTGAAAACACTGTATTTCCTGCCCAGTATCCAGACAGGCTCCGAGGTCTCCGGGAAATCTTCAAACTCGGCAAATCGGAGTGTGTCATAGGTCAGAGTAGCTATTGAAATTAAAGACACACATTGATCAAGTTTTTAAAATTTCATAAAATGCAATCACTTACTGCATTTCTGTATTAAAAACCCACGAAGAGTTCTGCATCTAAGGGTCACCCAACAATCGCAACCCACGGAGCATGTGCACAGACCTGGCGGCGCTCAGGGCCGCCTCCCCACTGCCTGCGCCTTTGAGACTCAAGCCAGAGTCGTGCCCACAGAAACCAGGGTGGGAGACCACCTGGGGCCGAGCCCAGGGGAGAAAGTAAACACAAAAACAAAAACGCAAAAAACAAAGCCACCTAATTTAAATACTTGCTTTACAACTAAAAGGTTTAAAATCTAAAGGACTAAAGTAAAACAAAACCACACCTTCAGCTTGGGTGCCGGGTGCCAGGCTGGCAGAGGTGGACTGGGGCGGGGGGAGGGAGGGTTCCGCCGCCCCCCCAGGTTCACCAGGCCACACCGGGGAGCACTGGCCCAGGGCCATGATGAAGGCAGATGCTTCAGGGGCAGAAACCCCAAGCCCTCCCTGACGCCTCCCTGACGACGGGGGGCTCCAGGCCACCGCAGATTTCTCGGCAGGGAGAGGTTAGCTGTCGGGGCAGGGCACAAACTCCTGGGCACTAGGCTTCGGAAATGGAGAACAGGCCCCTGAAGGTCCGGATGCCGAGAGGCCTGGAGCCAAGGCCTGTGCCTGCTCTTCGGCGAGGCCACCAGACGGGCACAGCCGACAGCCTCCACCAGCAGCATCCCACTTTCACAGAAAGTGTGCGGAGCACGGGGTCTAACTAGCACGCTGACAAGACCTGAGCCCCACCTTACTTCCAGGGTCCCTCCTGTCCACAGAGCCCTGGCTGAGGGAACTGGGCCTTGCACCAAGCCCCCAAGCCTGCGAGGCGGGTGCTGGAAGCGCGCTTCGGATGCCCTGACACACAGCTCTCCCTGCTGCCTCTCCGGCTCCCACAGGGCCTGGCCATCGCAGCCTTCACCTGCAACCTCACACGGGTACCTGGGAAACCAATGACACCGGACGAGTTTCTCCCAGATCTTTTTTAAATTTTTTTCTTAAGATTTTATTTGTTTTATCTGGGGAAGGGAGGAGAAAGATGGAGAGAAACATCAATGTGTGGTTGCCTCTTGTGCACTCCCTACTGGGGACCTGGCCCACAGCCCAGGCATGAGCCCAGGCTGGGAATCGACCCAGTGACCCTTTGGTTCGCAGGCCCGCGCTCAATCCACTGAGCCACATCAGCCAGGTCTCCCAGATCTTAATTTACTTTTTGACAATAGCTCCACCTTTTGGTAAAAATGACACATGCTACTTATTCTTTTAAAAAGAAAAGAGAGAAGGAAAGGGAAAGGAAAGGGGAAAAACTACAAAAATACTGTAAGAAGTCACCTGCAGCCTCACACCCCGTGATGACTGTCCCTCTGGGCCTCCTCCTGCACACACCCGTGAGTGGGGCTGCAGCACACCTGTGCTTTCCTCACCTGTTCTTCTCAATGAGACCGTCGGTCCCCAGAACCATAGCTCCCTCAATGACTCGTGTCTCACTAGGTACGCAGTATGGCTGTCCGCGCCACAAGGGACTCAGGGCTGCGCTGGGTGGGCCTGTGGCCGGCCAGCACCCTGCTGGTCCTTCTGTGCTGGGCACAGCCCCAGGGAGAGGCAGAGCAGGCGGCCAGGCGCTCACAGGCTGCAGGCTCTTGAGCCAGTCACAGTGCCTCTGGGGGTGGCATCCCCTCACCCACACCATGGGGAAAACAACAGAGGCTGTCCTCACGTCACAGCCACGCAGGGACGTGGACAGAAGGGCTCCAAGGTCAGCAGCGTCACAGGGGTGAGAACTACAGGCTTAAAAGAAGCACTTCGCTCTACCAGAACCTGAACCCACGCACCGCAGAGCCTCCGTCACAAGCCCGGGAAAGCAGTGTGGACCCACCAGGTCCTCAGCCACAGAGGCTGCATGTGCGACGCAGAGTCCTCAGGCTGCAGGGCCCCAGACCCGGCTCTGCCTTCTCTGGGTCCCAGGGTCCTGTGCGTCCAGAGCAACCCCTGCTGCCCCGAGGGCCCCAGCACGACAGCGGGTCTGGGTCTCGCAGCTCCGCACTCGCCCGTCTCTGGCGTCTGTGTCCACGGTCAGGGCCAACCAGGCTGGTCAGTGGTGGGAACAAACAACATGACGTAGATGTACAACGTGACCTTTCTTACGTCAAGCAAGAAATAATCGAGCTTATTTCTCCCCTCCTACATAAGGCTTGCCTGTCTCTGCATGTGACAGTGGGAACTGAGCTGGGATGAGTGACAAGCCCATCTTTTCGAGGAGCCTGCACTGACCCCACAGCACCCCCACGCCCTCAGCCGCTGCCGTCGGGCGGTGCCCGGCCCACCCCGAGGCACGCAGACGATGCGCAGTGCCCTCTCGGGGAGGAGGACGCCGACAACACCTGTCTGACCGCCGACAACTGTGAGCCTCGCCCTGCTGGAGCTGGGACATCCTCCCAAGAGGCAGTGGCTACATGTCTCCAAAACATGGGCGAGCTCTGGGCTCTCCCGGAAATAGCTCCTCTGGCCAGTGGCACACATCCAAGGGTCATAATGCCACTGGTGAGTCTGTGGTGTCACTCTGGTCCCTGAGACACTCCTCAGAGAGCTAGCTTTCCACATGAAGAAAATGACCGGAAAGAAGGGAAAGGTTCATTCTAAAAGGGGGGGTGGGTGACAGGTGACAAGGCCTGGGCAGCTTTGAAGTTGAGGGGTTTTATCACAGGAGTGGCAAAATGCAAAGCAAGCATATTTCTTAAGTTTATTAGCGAAACTTACAGGCAACCAAGCCAACTTCAGAGAGACAGCAGCGAGAGGTGTTCTGTGAAGTTTTAACGCATCACTGGGTGTCCCTCCCTAACTAAGAAAATTACAGGCTGCGTGGCTTCAGACTCTACTGCAAGAGCCAAACACCAGCCAGGAGACCAGGCACTCGCAGGGAGTGAAGCTCAAGACCACTCGCAGGGGGGCAACATGGACGGGCGTGAGGCTCTGGCGATGGGCCAAGTGCCCAGTGGTGGCCTCGAGCCCTCCCACTCCCACACGTACCATGTCAGGCCTCGTGGTGACTCTGCTCTCAGATGGGCCAGCAGCCTCCGCCTGCCTCCCCGAGATGGCCTGCTCATTTCAGTCCACGGTCACATTATAACGTCACCCTCTTTCCACACAATGTCACATTGTTTATGAAGCAGTACCATATCTCCTGAGTTCAGGGACTCCAACCTCGAAAAGAGTGCCAGTCTCTAGACTCCCCGGTGACAACCTGAATCTGAAAGGAGACGACATGCAGGAGAAGCCAGGTGCAGAGGCATCACCCAGCGCACGAAAGAGGCCCTCTGAGAAGCACCTTCCCCGTCTGGTCCCTAGAGTGCCAGACGCCTGACCTTCCGCATCTTCCCTGGGATATTCCTGATCCCACCCAGAAGAGGATGCAGAAAGCCTTTTATTAGCATGCTGACTCCATCAGAAAACAGCTCAACTTGACTTTATTAATCTGACAGAAAAACGAGTCCTTGTGCTCATATAGTGCAACCGACTTCTCTGCCCTTGGCACCAATCACACGGTCACTTACCCAGGGAGAAGCTCAAGACACCCGACCACTGGGTTTCTCTGAGAGCTCACTGCGATGCATCAGGGGTATTTCCCCCAAACACCTGTCTTCTGAAAGGCCAGCCTTTGTAAATAAAATCAAAAGAAGGGGTCTCCCTTTCCTTTAGAAGATGCTTCTTTTCTTTTTTTGAAGATTTTACCTTATTCTTGGAAAGAGGGGGAGGGAGAGAAACTTGGATGTGAGAGAGAAACATCGATCGGTTGCCTCCTGCAAGCGCCCCAACCAGGGACTGAACCCACAACCCAGGCATGTGCCCTGACTGGGAATCAAACTGGCAAACTTTTCTTTGTGGGACAACATCCAAACCAATAAGCCACATTGGTGAGGGTCAGAAAAAACTTGTTTAGAAAACAAGTTAAAACTTGTTTAAAAAAAAATCCCAAAACTGCCCTGGCTGGTGTGGCTCAGTGCACTGAATGCTGGCCTGAGACCCCACCAAGAGCTGCTGCTTGGATTCCCAGTCAGAGTATGTGCCTGGGCTGCGCCCCCCAATAGGGAACGTGTGAGAGGCAACCACACACTGATGCTTCTCTCCCTTTGTCCCTCCCTTCCCCTCTCTCTAAAAATAGATAAAAACCTTAGAATCCCAAATACTTTGTATGAAGATGCTGGTGGTTGACTTCTGAACTTTAAGAAAAGGGGAGGAAGGGAGGGAAGAGAAGGGACAGAACCTGGAACTTGAGTGACACCAGGAGACTAGAAAACATTGCTTCAGTGAACACAGGGGCCAGACCTCCACATTAAACCTCACTGCGCAGCCTGAGTGGCACTTCTCATCACCAACACCATGTGCCCGCAGATCAGGCCCATCCCATACACGACCTCTGCAACCGAAGTGCTTATAGGACAGGAACGTGCACGTTGTTTGCTCAAGTTCTGCTCCTCCAACCACCAACCGCCAACCTTGTACACACAAGATGTACCGTGACGTACCCGAGATGCAAGCGTAAGAGCCACTCTGGCTTCAAGGAACAGACGGCATGGCCATTTAAGTGCTGGGCCTGCCAGGTCCAAAGCTCGCCAGGAGTGAGCTTTGATGGGCAGTGCTGGGAGTTGGGGGGGGGAAGACAGGCAGCCTGCATTCTGCCTGCTGCCTTTCGGACTTCCGCGCACCAGCAGCCCCGGGCCACTCCTCCCTGGCCCCTTCTCTTTCCTCCCATACTCAGGCCCTCAGTGGCCTCACCCGAAGTGGCCTCCTGCACACCTGAACCTCCAGGCCAGGTCTACTCCCTCAGTTCCAGCCTGTGGACCCAGGGCTCCCCAGACATCACAACGTGAATGTCTGATAGGCACCTCACAGTCAACACACACAGAACTGGCTCCCAACGGCTCCCCACCAAGCAGTTCCCATCCATTTCTGAGCTCAGGCCACATACCACCACACCATCTTAACTCCTTCCCCACCAGCCACACCCCTCACCATGTTCAGTCCATACACAACCCTATTGTCTCAGCCTCCTCTCCCAACCCTGACCCAGCCATCCAGCAGCTCACCTGGCTCACTTTGACAGCAGCCTCTTAGCTGCCCTGCCCCTCTTTAACACATTTTCAACAGAGCAGCCACAACGAGGCTGCTACACACACCTCCAATCTTGTTATGCCTCCTCTCAAACCTTCCAGTGGGTCACCATCTCTTTCAGGATAAACATGCACTCAGGATAATCCACGACCCAGCAAGGCCCCATGCTGGGACCCAAGGCGCCTCTCTGTCTCCAGCTCCTGCTTCTCCCAGACCACCCACTGCACCCCGGCCACATTGCCTGCTCGCTGCTCCTTGCACACCACCTGCCCTTCCTTCTGCACTGCTCTGAGTCTCGGTCAAACTTACCTCTGCAGTGAGACCTTCCCTGGGCATGCTGGCTCCAAGTTCGACCCCGCCCTGGCCAGGCCCACATCACTTTCACATGACACGTACGGCTGGTGTCACGACTGGAATGTCAGGCAGGGCATGGTTTTCATCTATTTTGTTTACTTCTCTAGTTTCAGGGTCTAGAACAATGCCCCACAAAAATCTCCCGCACAATAACAAATGTAGTTTACAGAACGGATGACTAAGAAAACAATCAGGAATCTCGTAACACTTGGCCAAGGAAGGCAGACTCTGTAAGGGCTGCGAGGAGCAGGGCAGGGCCATCAGTCACCCCTGTGAAGATGTGTCCGGTGAGAAAAAAACTCCCCGCCACACCCTGAGAACGCCACATGTACTTTTATCAGCGTCAACACAGGCTTTCAAACGCAAATGCTATCATCAAGTGTCTACTCCTAACTTGAACGTGACAGTTTTCACATTTGAGATAACAGGACTGACGTTAAACTGTTTTCCACCTTAACCAAGTCTCTCACACAAATGACTTTTAGTATCAAGCAGTAATAACTTAAAAGGAAGTGGAAAAAAATGAAAGAAAGTGGCCAAACAAATAATGCTATTGCTTCACTACCCCATGCCCCAGCAAAAGGTACAAAAATGTCAGGTACCTTTTATTTTTCAAACGAACGTCACAAAAAATACTTGTAGTTAACAGGATGAATCAGGGCTAATGTTTCTTCCAGCCACCCAACATTTAAGTGAAAAATGCCACAAATAATTGAAAAGCATTTACTTTACAGTTCACAAACTGAGGCTTAAGTAAATATATGTTACAGCTAGCAGGATAAGAAACACGAAGCAGAAACGATGTGACAGGTGGAACTAACCCAACTGAAAGTCTTCCTTGGGGGAAGGGGTAGTACTCGAAGGCAAGGCACTCCCCACAGAAATGAAAGAATTAAAACAGGTGTGGGATGAAAAAAAGCGCGGGGGTAGAATTGTTTTCCAGGCTACTGGACAAAGATTCAAAATACCTTGCCAGCAAAAATTAAGGAGCAGAAGCATGATGAGCTGGGCGGAAACACCACATACACGTATGTTCACGTATGTACGTGTGTACACACCCCTACTTTGTACTACAACACCAAAAAGTTAAGATAGGAGATGGCTTCACATTCTATCTTCCATCACAGAAAAAGTCATCTATTAGTTACTGAATAAAAACCAAAACAAGGTGTGGTGTAGAGTATTGTTTCTCGCTTCCAGCCTACCAACCTAACTTCAAAAAGTTAAACAGTTTTCACTTCATAACCCTGGCTGGGCGGACGCAATAGCTTCCCAAGACCGCTGTTTCAGGACCTAGCTCCGCCCGAGCCTCTGGCGCCGACCAGCCCTTCCTACCACCCCCCGGGCCGCGCTGCCCCTTCTCGTCCGAGCCGGCCTTGGGCATGCCGGGGCGGTCATCTGGGTGCTGCAGCCAACCGGACAAGCGCCGTGACCCGCAAACACAGGACTGTCAGACCCGAAGCGGCCTCCCCACGGACACCGCCCCTGCCCGTTCCACACGGGGCCGCACCCCGCCCACCCGCCTCCCCGCGCCCGCGCCCAGGCCGCTCGGGCAGAATCCTCAGAGACCGAGGGACCAGACGAGAGCCGTCCGCGGGTCCCTGACGCCCCAGCGGGCCCTTACCTGCGTCCATCTTCCCTCTCCTGCCGCCCACTGAGAGTCTTGTCGCTCCGACGGGACCGCAGCGCGACGCGACGGGCCGCCGCCAGGGCCAATCAGGGGCGCGGGCGGAGCCGGAAGTGAGGGGAAAGTGCGTCGGTCGCCATTTTGACGTACGGCGGCGCCTGACGAAGGAAGGATTGGACTTGCGCTGTCCGCACTCCAGCGGCCTCCGGCACGCGTTACGAAAACCCCAGCAGCGACCCGCCAGAGCGGCGGAAGCAGGCGAAGGAGGGCAGCGAAGCCTTGGAGTGAGCGCGTCAGGCCGCCCCGATTCTGGACCCGCCAGCGCGGCCATCTTGCCGTACGGACTGGGTCGGCGCGGCATGTCTCCGTACGGAGCGGCCGGCCCGGGCGCCCCTGCCTACCCCCGACGCCACTCGCGGCGGGCAGTGCCCCGCCGGGTGCCTGCAACCAGGGGCGCACCGGAGGCCGACGGTGGGCCGCGGGCGGCGGAGAGACGGGCGCCGCCATCTTGCCGTACGGTGCCGCGGGGGCCGGCTCCCACGTCCCGCAGCCGTGTCGCCGCGCGCCTCCCCTCGGGGCGGTCCCGCTCCGGGCTCGGCGCGACGAGGCAAGGGCCGGAGCCTGGTGGCGGCGCGGCGGCCCGAGGCCCGAGATGGTGATCTGCTGCGCGGCCGCGAACTGCTCCAACCGGCAGGGCAAAGGGGAGAAGCGTGCCGTTTCCTTCCACAGGTAACCGGGCCCAGCCCTCCGCCCGCCCGGGCCGGCCACGCCCCCGCCCGGCCCGGCCCCGCGCCGGGGAAACTGAGGCCGCGCGGCCCGGCCCGATGGGGAATGTCCCGCGCCCGGCCTTGGGGCCGGTCTTACGAGTGAGTCAGCGCTGGGCGCTGTGTGACCTTGGCCGGGGCCGCCGTCTCTGGGCCGGACGCCTGGGTCACCGCGGCCAGCGGTGCTCACTTCGTAGCCACCGCACGGCCACCAGCGCCCGCCGGGTTCCACCCCGAGGCCAGCGGCACTCATCCTTCGCAGACCCTTCGGCCCCTTGGCCGCCACCCCACGGCCGGCGGGAGTCCGTTCGGCAGCCACCCCTTGGCCTCACCTCTCTCGCTCCGCGGCTGCCACACTCCATTGATTCGGGGTGGCGCCGCCAGTTTCCAGAAGCCGTGTATTTCGGAAACCTCTTCCTTAGGTCGGTTGTCTTCTGAGATGGCTGTGGCTTATCTCTCGGTTTGATCGCAGGGGAGGCTGCTTTGATCTTTGCCATCGGGAATGTGGCGAAGCAAATGCGTCTTATACCTCGTGGATTAACACGCGCCGCAGGCGCTCTGTTTTTGGAAGGGTCCCCGGTGAGGGGACGGGAAGGTAGCTGTGGTCTCGGCGGGTGAGGCGAGTACCTGGAGGGGCCCGACTGCCTCCTGCTCTGGGGCTGCGCTTCCTGGCCGGCTCCCCCTCAAGGCTGCGGAGCGCTTGGCCCTGCCGAGGGTCTCCACCAGCCGGCCGGTCCAGAGGCCTCTGGAACCCCCATAGGCAGAGGAGGCCCTGCAATAGTGACCTGAAGGGTGTTATGGTTTCGTTTTTAAAGACTCGAGGAACAACGTTATTTATGGTCTTAACTAAGAGTTTGGTGTGGGCACGCAGTCTTATGTTGTCACTCTCTATCCACAGTAATACTAGACTGGTTTGAAGCAGCCCCCCTGCCTTCCTCTCAGTTTCCTTCAGAGCCTCTGGTCCCTCAAGTTTTGTTTCTGTTTCGAAAATGAGGCACAGCCCTGCAGAGAAGGTTGCTGTTGGCGTTCGTAACTGTCTAACCTGGTGTGGGGGTAAAGCTGTGTGAACTGAGTGCCTTCAGGAAGTTTAGAAGGTCACGTCCAGGAGGACTTCCTGAGCAGTGAGGTTCTGCCCTAGGTCCTGGTCCACAGCCCTCAGGTGTGTTACCAACCTTGGCTGACCTCGGAGGGAACAAATGGCCCCATGGAGCCCAGTTTGGTCAGAGTTTTCTCAGTGCAGGTCTTGCCTTAATGAGAAGGGATTAGTAAGTGTCTTACTCAGTGTCTTCCTGGGACCAGGCGTGTAGTAGGAGCACAGAGCTACCCCTTTGAGTCTGACCCCTTAAACTGATCTCCCATCCTCATGATGCTTGAGTCACTGCTAGGGCCACACAGAGCTTTTGGGATGCTCTGGGGGGCCTCTGGCTCCCGTCTCTGATGGCTGACACCTGGTCTGGCTTCTCAACAGGGAGACCAGCCATCTCACTTTTAGCACCCAAAGTCATTCATCTCAGGCACGCCTGCTGAGTGGCTTAGTCGTGACCTTCTAGAAACTACTTCCGGGGCTTCCTGGAGCTCTTCCTGCTGTCTAGACACCATCCTGTGCTTCTCTGAACATTCTGGAAGGAGCTATCTATCTCCATTCCCATCTGTCCTGCAACCATAAACTCTTTCAGAGTAAACAGGTCTTCCATCTTTCCATTCCGGTAGTAATTTGCAATACACTGCATTCCTGCAGTGTTTACCAAATTCTGAAATGCGTAAAGTCGATACAGGTTTGGGTGTTTGCAAAACACTTGTCTTGGTTTTACAGTTGATTGTTTTGGGGGGAGATAGGCAGTTCTTTCTAATTGCTCTGTCTGTTCTGCAGATTCCCCCTAAAGGACTCAAAGCGTCTGATTCAGTGGTTAAAAGCTGTTCAGAGGGATAACTGGACCCCCACTAAGTATTCTTTCCTCTGTAGTGAACATTTCACCAAAGACAGTTTCTCCAAAAGGCTGGAGGATCAGCACCGCCTGCTCAAGCCCACAGCCGTGCCCTCCATCTTCCACCTGACTGAGAAGAAGAGGGGGTCTGGAGGCCATGGCCGCAGCAGGAGAAAGGACACCAGAAAGGCCTCAGGGGGCCTGAGGGGACATGCAAGTGAAGCTGATGGGAAAGGAGCTTCAGGTTCCCCATCGTCCTTGAGTGAGAACCTGATGGCCAAGTCAGAGTCCCGAAAGTTGAAGCGGGCTGCCCTGCAGGGTGAAGCCTCCAGTCCAGAGCGGGCGCGACAGCCTACACAGGGACCTCCAGGCAACACTCTGGCCACAACAGCGCCAGGTAGCCGGGCAGAAGCAAATGGGTCGGCGTGCAGTGCCGGCGATGAGAGCAGCGCCACCCCCGATGAGGGCCTGGTGGATAAAAGTGGGATTTCCATGGATGACTTTTCCCCCCCAGGATCTGGGGCCTGCAAATTCATCGGCTCACTTCATTCTTACAGTTTCTCCTCCAGGCACACTCGAGAGAGGCCGTCTGTGCCCCGGGAGCCTGTGGATCGGAAGAGACCGAAGAGAGACATGGAGTCTGGCTGCAGCGGGACCAGCCTGGGGCCTGACAAGGGCTTGGCCCAGAGCCCCCCAAGTTCATCTCTGACGGCAACGCCACAGAAATCCTCCCAGAGCCCCTCTGCCCCCCCGACAGATGTCACCCCGAAGCCGGCTGCAGAGGCTGTGCAGAGCGAGCACAGCGATGCTAGCCCCATGTCCATCAATGAGGTCATCCTGTCAGCATCAGGGGCCTGCAAGCTCATCGATTCACTGCACTCTTACTGCTTCTCAGCTCGGCAGAACCGGAGCCGGGCGTGCTGCCTGCGGGAGCAGGTGGAGAAGAAGAACGGGGAGCTCAGGAGCCTACGACAGCGTGTCAGCCGCTCTGACAGCCAGGTGCGCAAGCTGCAGGAGAAGCTGGACGAGCTACAGAGGGGGAGTGCACCGCGCCCCAGAAGCCTGCCGGCCCCCGGCCGCGGTCAGTACCTGCCTCAGGCTCCCACTGCCCGTTCTGTAGAGGTCTGTCTCCGCTGGGGCTCTGGTAGTAGCTGGACCCTGTAGGCAGAGCCCAGGTCAGACAGTTGACAGCAGTCAGAGGGCCTCTTTCTGTGGAGGCAGCTACTCAGTGAATGGGCCCCGATACTTAGTTTTCGCCTTAGATGGGGTAAGCTCGGCATACCTCACAAACTAGATGCCAGGTGGGTTAAGATCTACGTGGAAAGTCGGACAGAAAACTGTTAGGAGACTCAGAGTTGCAGGGAGGGTCTTTCAATTCATGTTTTCATAAATGCCCTTGTAGTTAAGTCATTTTGAACATTAGAAATAACTAAGACTTCAAACATCTCATTACGTAGAATATATTCTGTAAAAGTTAAAACATTATAGAAACACACAGGTGAAAATTCCCTTCTCCCCCGCTCCTACCTTTTATTCCTGTTGATGTTAAAATTTGGTGTTTGATCTTTTAGGTTATTCTCTCTGCTGTAGCCTACATGTCTTTATACCTATATCAATAGATTGGGTATATTTTTCATGTGGTTATTGGCTTTTTTTCTGCTCCCCCCCCCCAACTGTTTAACACAGTAGTTGGTTTCTAGGTTGGTTTCTAGGTTTAGTCTTTATGTATTGAGGGTGGGATTGTTTCTTTTTTTAGTCCTCAACCAAGGACCTTTTTTAATTGATCTTAGAGAAGAAGGGAGAGGGAGAAAAATTGACATGAGAAACATGGATTGGGCGCCTCCTATACACACCTAAACTGGGTATCAGAGCCACAGCCTCTCGGTTCTGGGATGCTGCTCCAGCCAGCTGAGCCACCAGGCCGGGGCGAGGAGAGGAGTCTGTGCCTGTTACAGATCGGTGAAAAGCGTTATCCGGCCACGCCATGCGTTCGGTCTGGATCAGCCTGTCTTGGGAGTTGCAGCTAGCGCTTCAGGAAGAAAGAGGCTCCCGCGCAACAGGCCGCCCAGGGCCGCCTGGACCCAGGGCAGCCAGCACAGCGCGGCCCCGAGCCGTCACATGCGTTTCCGGGTGCGCTCTGGGGGGGGGGGGGGGGGAGCCATCCAGGTGACCGCCACTGATGTCCAGGCCAGGATGACCCTCTGGCTTCTCCTGTCCCTCTTAAGCTGTTTTTAGTAGTTGCTTGATGTACTTTTCGGTCACTTTTTCTGTTCTCTTGGTCAGGTGTCCCGAAGTTTGTTACTGTTGCAGGTCTCTCCAAACTGCCAGCCTTCCGCTCCACTGGTCAGGCCCGAGTTGTTTCTGCCTCATTCGCCCCTCACTTCTTTCTGCTGGTCCTCAGTTTCATTTTGTGGTGGTCCGGCTCCTGGGCAGGGAAGAGAAGCACAAGTAGCTCACTCTTGTGCGCGTCTGTTTCCTGATGCCCCGGGTTGAGGCTCAGCCCTTCCTTCGGCGGAGCCCCTGGGTGTGGCGGGCCTGGTACTGCTCACGCTGCTGCTCACCCCCAGCCTTTCCCAGCCTCCGTCCCGTGCCTCTGTAACCCGAATCAGCTGGAGTTGTCAGTGTTTCAAGTGGGTAGGTTGGGGGAGGGGAGCTAATTTATTTGCAACTATTTAAAAATTGTATTGCTTTAAGTTCCAGTAATGTGGCCTCTTAATCTTAAAGAGTTGCTTTTTAGAATCTTTGGAGAGTTCTCTGTGGCTTAATCCAGTGGGGGGTTTTTGGGTTTTTTGTTTCTGTCTCACTGTGGTCTGAGAAGTCAACAGATCCGTTTCCTTCTCTGCGAGTGTTGCTTTTTAATTCGAGGCCAGACAGACACCTTGGAGGTGTCTGTCCCCGGCAGTTACCCTCACAGAAAACCTCTCACATCCCGTTAAAGTCTTATTGCTTAATCTCCTTATTTCTAATCCTTTTACGTCCCTTTATTATATAGTTACATATTAATGCAGTCTGAGAGCCTTTGTTTTTTTATGGTGATTAGTCTGTCTACACCTGCGGTTATTGGTAGGTACAGATGTGGGCCTGGTGGTGTATCTTAGTTTTCAGTTGGGTGAGCCTTCTCGTTCCCTCTCCTGCTCTTCAGTAGCTGTCCTCCGCTTGCAGACGCCTCGGCCGGCCCATCTCCCAGTAAGTGCTGTGCCCTGCCCTCCCACCCTCGCCTCTTGGGCTGCCAGGGCCAGACCCGCTGTGGGCTTGGTGCCGTATTCTCAGTGTCCCCTCCACGTGACCCTAATTAGTTGTCATTTTACTGGTTACAGTATACATTTTATTGGTTATTTTATTCACCACGGCTTACTGTATCCATATTTTTCCCTTTCTCGGGGGAGATACTCAATAACTGTTTTGGAACTCACATGACAGAAAAATTTTCAGAGGAACTGAGGATGAGACCCTCCGTAGGTACTGATGTAGGGAGCCGGCGCCCAGCCCCATAGAGTTCTGTGCACGTACCTGCTGTGGTACAGTGGTCAAAGGGGCTCAAGGTCATGGACTGCATGAGGTCACCTGGAGAAACTGTGTAGCTGGGGAGGGGGCCGACACCCAGCCCCCTGGGGAGCAGGCCATGTTTACAGATGTGCAACCCAGAGGGTCCGGAAAGGAGATGGGAGAAGGGGGGCATGGGCCACAGGCTGGGGTGGGGTGGGGCTTCCAGGCGGGAGGGTGCTCCGAGGTGTGGGAGCCTGAGGGAGGGCGGTGTTCAGACAGCAGGCCTGCTTGGTAGGGTTGCATACGGCTTTCATCAGAACGAGGACGAGGTGACGGGACTCAGCCACATGGGGTCACTGGTGACCGTAGTCTCCTTGGAGTGATGAGAGTAGAGCTGACTGTGGGGAGCGGAGCCAGGGATGAAGCATTTTAAGAGGTTCAGCATGGAAGGGAGTCACAGAAGTGGATGGCGGCCAGAGTGAGTGTGGCTGCGGTGGAGCATTGTATCTGCAAGGTGGAAACAAGCTGTCAGGTCTGTGCTGGCGGGAGGGGGGGAGAGGCCAAGCAGGGGCGGGCTGGGGGCCCTGGGCAGTGCTGGGCTGGGCTCTGGGGAGGGGAGGGGAGCGTGGGACTGAGGCTGCTCTCGTGGGCCCAGTGCCCTCTGCCTCCGTGGGGTGCGGTGGCACAGGGCTCCACTGGCAGTGACAGACAGGGTGCCCAGCACGGTCCCCACGGCTGGGGACCCCACTGGCTCAGTGGTCCCCAGGGCTCCCACTGGATCTGTGGCCACTGCCTGCTGTCTTTCTTTGTCCTCAAAACATCTGCTCTTTTGGTGGCTCACAGTGCTGTTAGGACTTTGCAATCAGTGAGGGGATCTTTGTGTACAGGTTTCATGTCGAAGGGATGGTGCATGTGTTTATTCAGTTATCCTTGGCCAGTCCCTTTATTTTTGGACAGAGCAGTTGGGCCAGTGGGCCGTGGGTTCTCTGGTTCAGGGTTGGTCCCAGCTGCCCTCTGTAAAGCCGGTGCCATTTGTCCTTCTCATAGGACGTGGTGACCTGTCCTGGAGTCTGCTCTAACTCTGGGTGTCAAGACGGTTTAAAGCCCGGAATGGTTGTATCAGGGCACATTAGTATTTCTGAACCAGAGAGGGTCCCTGTCCATTATTCCTGTGTCACTTCCCTGCCTGCTGACCGCGTGGGGTGGGTGTTCTGGGAGAACACGCGTGTTCACTCTGTTACATGGGAGTCAACCATTTCCTCCGGTTAATAATTTCATACTTGCTTCCAAAAATATCTGTTTACTTTTCTTGTTTTATACATATAATTTTTCTTATCCTTACCCTAGCACATTTTTTTCTTTGCTTTTTTAGAGAGAGGGGAGGGAGAGAGAGTCACACACACGGAGACAGTAAGTGAAACCTTGATTGGCCGCCTTCCCCTGCAAACCGCAACCAAGGCTGCACCTGCATCTTGTGTCCTGACCGGGCCTGGAACCCACAGCCTTTGGGTTCGGGGTCAATGCTGCATCCAGCTGAGCCATGCCAGCCAGGGCCTTATAATTCTTGAATAAACCTGGAGTTTTAAAAACTTTACTGTGGAAAATCTTGAACTCAAACAGAAAAGTATAATAATCCCTTCACGTTCCCATCCTCAAGCTTCAGCAGTCACTATTTGATATTCTTGTTTCATCTGTATTTCTACTTACTCTCTATTTTCCTTTGATTATTTTTTAATTGAATTTTCTTAGGAAAATTTTAGATTTCCAGAAAATTCAGCAAACAGTTCAGAGACTTTCTCCTTCCCCCTCCCAAGTTCCCTCTCTGTTCTTCACATCTCACCTTACCGCCGGTGCTGGAGGTTCATTCATTACAAGCGATGAACCAGTTTGATACGTCATCATTAACTACATCTTTCATTTACATTGAGGTCCACTCTTGTGTCTTGACAAACAATCATCTTACGTGCCCATCGTTCCAGTGCTGGATCATACAGACCAATCAAATGACCCCCAAGACCCCGGTGCTCCACCCATCCATCCCTCCGTCCGCACGCCGGCATCCAGGGACCTCTCCACTGGCCCTGCACTTGGCCTTCCTCGAGGGCCATGCAGTGGGAGCACAGGAACACAGGACTCGAGTATGTGCTTTTCCAGGCTGGCTTCTTTCACTGAGAGACATGATTTAAGGCTCCTTGTATCTTTTTGTGGGGTAATAACTCATGACTTTTATTTTTTTTCCTTTTTTATGTTGAGCCAAAATACATATAACAACAAATTTACCGCCTCAGCCCTTCTCATCACCCATCACGTCAGCGGTTGTTAACACACTCATGTTGCCGTGTGGCCGTCACCACCGTCCACCCCAGAGCACCTGTGACTCTGAGACTGTGTCTGGCAGGCCCGGCCTCGCCCCCCACGCTTCTGGCAGCCGCAGTCTCTTTGGTTGGGACGACTCCAAGCACCTCACGGAAGTGGGACCCTGCAGCACCTGTCTGAGTCTGGCTCGTTTTGCTCAGCGGAACACCCTCCAGCATCATGCCTGCCGTGTCGCCTGTGTCCGAACCTCCTTCCTCTCCGAGGCCGAGGCAGGCTCCC